AAAGCAAACAAAAAGAACTAATTTCAAACTATGAATATAATACATCCGCAGAATGCAACAACTATTTATATAATATAGATTATTTTTCTACAAAATTATTAAGGTTTTGAATAATTTTATTTAAAAATTAGAAAAAATAATTTAATTTTGGAAGAACAGCAGTTATAATTTTTATAGAAATAATTAAGTTTCAAAAGGTTTTATACATTGAAGTTACTGCTTCCTCATAGAGGAAGGATTGTATTAGCAAAATTTTGGATTGTGATTTTTTGACATATTTATAAACTTTTTTTCATTATACCTAATCTTTTAGTACTTTATGCACGAATGGGCATTGCCCGTATTAATGTTATAAATAAATAAAAAAAAATTTGATGTAATTTTATCTCAGAAGTCCAAAAAACGGATTTTAAAAAAATGTCCCGATGTGTGTGTGTATATTAACATTACATTTGCCTCAATATCTCAGAACGAGAAAGAGCTAAAGGCTTCAATTTTTTTTTAAATTGTAGGTCCCCCCGGGGGACATAAAATTAGAGTATTTTCAGCCCGATTCATAAAGTTTAACTATATTTTTTTTACATTTTTCATTTTGTAAAAAAACGTTTTTTGGCCATAACTTAAAAAAGATGTTAGGACAACTATAAATGTTTTTCTTTACTTTTGTAGAGTTTTTTCAGGTGCATCTTTTGAGCCTTCATTGAACATTTTTCGTCTGTATTAGCCAGAGATTTTGTTGATTTTGTTGAAAAATATAAAAGTAACTTTAAAAGTATCATTACCAACTTGTAGAGTATTAAAAAACGCTTCGATTGATTTATTTTTGAATCTGATTCGGTCAGAAATTATCAAATTATTGGCATTTGAAAAATCAAAAATTGTGGAAAATATCATTTTTTTCAACATTTTTGTTTATTAACTTATGTGTAATTGTTAAATTATTACAACCATCTTATCGAATATATAAAAACATATTTTTTAGACCAATATTTAATGATTTTAACTCTTTTATAAAAATTAATTCTTATATTTCAATTATTATTATTTCTATGCGAGGAAGCAAAGTGTTCATGAAATGAACACCAAAATTATAAAAATGTACAACTTGGCAGCGGTTTTTGAAATTTTAATTCATGCTGAAAAATAAATAACAAAAGTATTTAAATATTAATTTTAAAAAAATTATTAAATCTTTGAATAGTTTAATCTTTAAATTCTGAATGAAATTAAGTTTTTGAAAAATTGTATCTGATTAAAATTTTTTGAAGTAGTTAATTCGCGAAAATTTTATGTAAAAATTTAACATTTGTTTGAGTTTTGATACTATTTTTCATTTCTAAATTCAGTTCGAGACTTAGATTTTCATAAAATATGACTTTTTCGACTTTCCTTTAGCTCTTATTGCACAACGTTTGAAATTTTTATTAGAAAAACTGAGTTTGTATATTTAAATAATTAAATATTCTTCGACAACTTTCTGAAAATTATGAAAAATAATTGATTTAGAGAAGATTAATTGAAATTTTTAAAAAATATTTTAATATTGGAAGTGCAAAAATTTTTTAAAATAATTGAATTTTCAAGGGATTTTGAAAAATTTAAATTATATTTTTTTTAAATTATTCGAGTTTTTGAATATAATATTTAATTGTGAAAAATTTTCTAATAATCGAAATTTCGTAAAATTTCAATTTTTAGATGTTTATTAATAATATTGAATACATTAAAACTTTTTAAAAATTATTAAAAATGATTGATTTACAGAAAAATTTTACTTACAAATTCTAGAAAATAATTAAATTTTAATGAAATCGCAGTAGCAATTATATCTATGTGAGAGAAAAAGTTAATTAAATTAACTAAGTAAATAATTAAATTATTCGACAAAAATTACTTTTTTTCTGTGCCTATAAATAATATAATTTATTTGAAAGAGAAGAAAATTTTGTTTTCATTAACAAAAATTATCTCCGGTTATTCAACTTCCGGATTCCATAAGCGCGTGTAGTGTGTATATAGGTAAGAGAGGGGAATTGAAAGTGCGCCTCCTCAACAAGTTAATATGTAAAACCAATCGCTCTTGATAATTTTGAAGAATAACGAATTTTATGAATACTTTTATTTAATTTTATTGCATTTTAACTGATGTGTATCTAAAAACCTTTTTTTTTTATTTATGAACATTATTTTTAGAAATGAAACGATGAGAAATGACCTGAAAACTACTATAAATATATAATGTGTAAATAAACGCAATACAGTAAATTGGTATATATATTAAAATAAAAATTAAGTTTTTGAAAAATGTAAAATTAATTTAAATATTGTTAAATATTCTATCCCATTTAGGAATTTTCTGAGTAAAAGAAGACATACAGGCTTAATTTGCACTCATCTACTATAAAACCTACTATTTACTATACTTCTTTTACGTTATGCTATTTCTGTTTTTCTTTTTTGAAAATTTCCACTACTTTAAATTCGCTAATAGAAATCAAAAAACTATTCTCAAAAATTTGAAATCAAATTCTTTAAAACAATCCAATATTATTAAATTATTATTTTCAAAAAATATTCGAAATTCAATAGTATTTTCATGAAATTTCGCAAAAGAATTCAATTATTTAAAAAAAATGAAAAAATCCATTCAGAAGTAAATTATTTTCATAAATAATAAAATATCCACAGAAATTCAATTAATTTAAAATAGCATTTTCAAAAAAATTTTGAAAAAATCAATTATTTAACAAAATTTTTAAACAATAATTCTTCACAATAATTCAATTACTTTCACTAATATAATAACATTTTTCATGAAAATTCAATTTAAAAAAAAAAATTCTGATAAAATTCTAATCAAGAATTCAATTTTTTTAATAAATATTAAAACTCATAGGAGAATTTCAATTATTTTTAATACTATTTTAAATTAATTCATCGAAAAATTCAATTATTTTCACAAATAAAGTTTTCCACAAGAATTCAATTATTTAAAATAAAATTTTCATAATATTTATATTATTTTTCAAAAAAATTAATTATTTAAAACAATGTTTATAAAATTCTTATAAAGAATTTAATTATATTCTAAAGTAACTAAATTTTCCACAGAAATTCAATTCTTTTTAAAACAATTTAATAAAATTTTTCGCAATAATTCAACTATTTACATAAATAATAAAATATTCTACTCAGGAATTCATTTCTTCTTTTTGAAAATTTTAATAAAATTCTTAGCGACTATTCAATTATTTTCGTAGATAATAAAATTCATCGCAGAATTTTAATTATTTTTGACACAACAGAAAATGCTCCAAAAATGTATCTATTTTTCAAAATTTTATTTCAATTCCTCAAAATAAGTAATCTTTTAAAAATTATGTTTTTTAAAAATTCTTTGGAAGAATTTAATTATTTTCAAATATTTTAATAAAATTCTTCGAAAGAATTCAGTTATGTCGATAAATAACAAAAATATTCACAAAAATTCAATTTATTATTTTGAGGTATTTTAATAAAATTCTTTACAAGATTCAATTGTTTTCATAAATAACAATATTTATCTCAAGAATTCAATTATTTTTAAAAGCAATTTTCTTCTTGAAAATTCAATTCTTTTAAAAAATTCCTAATAAAATAAATTGATAAAATTCATTCAAAATTCGATTTTTTTAATAAATAATAAAATTCATCGAAGAATTTCAATTATTTTCAATACTATTTTCAAATAATTAATCGAAAAATTCAATTATTTTTACAAATAAAGTTTTCCACAAGAATTTCATAAATAATAAAATTCATCGTATGAATTCAATTATTTTTAATACAATATTTTATAAGAATACTCAAAAATGTAATTATGTATTCTTAAAAATTTGATTTAAATTCTTCGAAAAAATAAATTATTTGAAAAAAATGTTTTTTAAAATTCTTCATAAGAATTCAATTATTTTCAAATATTTTAATAAAATTGTTTTAAAGAAATCAATTATTTTAAATACAATTTTAATTGAATTTTTTTTTTGAAATACTCCATAATTATATTTTTAGATTTTAATAAATTTCTTCTTGGAAATTCAAGTAATTAAAAATTACTTGAATTTCAAATTGAATTTTCAAATTTCAATTAGTTTCATAAAAAATAAAATGCTTTTTAGAAATTCAATTATTTTCAAAAAAATTTAATAAAATACCACACAGACATTCAATTATTGTCAAAAATTTTAATACAACTCTATAAAATTTATTTATTTTTAAAAACTTCTCGCAATTTATTGATTTTCAATATCTACTATTTTCATAAAATTTCCAAACAGAATTCAATTATTTAAAAAAATTTTGTAAAAATCTTTGTAAGAATTCAATTTTTTTCATGAATAATAAAAATTTCTCAGGAATTCAATTACTTGAATAAAATTCTTGGCAAGAATTGGATTATTATTTTTATAAATAATATTTAAATTCTTTTATGAATAATAAAATTCTTTGCAGGAATTGAATTTATTAGCAGGATAAGAAAGAAGTCAATATTTCTTATGTAAATTAAGAAACAGTGAAGAAAATAAAATATAAAATGGAATTTTGGTCGCAATTTTGTGAAGTGTCTAAAACGAGTTTTTTTAGTTACTTTATTTTAGTTACTTTTTTTAGTTTTGGAAGCTACTTTTTTAAAATTAATAATCGAGTGCGAAGTCTGGACATATTTTACAGATGTAAATAAAAAATGGGGTAAAATAAGTAAATAATACATATATAATGATTGTGAATCAGTGACCTACTAATGACAAGCAAGTTTAACGATCAGAAAATAAAGACAAAGGCAAAGTTGTTTCTTTTCTAGCCCAATGTTTTTTCCACGCACGCTACATTCGCACATTAACCAATGAGCGTTAGGTTTGAGTGGTTCTGCGATTTTACAGGAATTCAGAAAGCGCTCATTTCATCTTGTTTGAGGGGGGGGAGGGGTGTGGCACTCGCAATGCTCACACTGGCAGTACAACGGGAGAGGTTAGAAGAGGGATCAAAGCTCCGGATGCCAAAGGATCTTGGGGAAGGGGTTGAAAATTGAAAGTGGGGGTCATCACGTGCCGAAATCTCGCCTCTCAATTGGTCGAAATCGAGCGTGTTCCCTTCTATCCCTTGTGACCTGGAGAGAACTCTCCTCGCGTTGTTCGACCGTTTGCTCAGAATAGTTCCAGATGTGGCCATGTTTAGTTAACTTTCAAGTTCCGCTAATTCATTCAACAATTTTTATAATTACTGCTGACATTGTAAATCCGCTCTACCTGCCGATCGTACTCATCGCTCTACCTGTGGCATTGATCGCCCATGTATCAATCTGATCACCGAAAAAAACAACAACGCAAAAGCACTGATTTTACCACCTACAAAATTTACGACACACGAGACACTCCGCGGCAAGCTCGCTATTAACTTTTTTTGATAAAAGCCAAAAACGTGCGTTTATTTCACGAGTTAACGACGGATCAATAGCGAGCCATTTTTTTTGCTAGACTCTCTCTCTTTTTTAAAAGTCCGGGGAAAAAATTCAAGTTTTGCAGCTCTGAAGATATTTTTTCTTGTGGAATTTGAAAGCTGACGCATAAACACACATACGCACACGAACAAGTTTTGTTTCGTGGGCGTCACACATACACATACACACTGCATGTACTAACCTTACCTTCACACACACACGAACACAAATACATAGCTTAAAATAGACGCCATTTTCTTCGTAAGACTGTCGACAATCCTACAGACTAACGCTCTTTCTTTTACATACTCGCATTGATTTACACAGATACATTTATTGCAAAGATAAACCGGATGTATTCGGTATTTGACACGTCAGCTCGCATGACGCGTCGTTGAGAAAAAGGCTGCGCCATTTTCCTAAATTGACCAGCAGAAAGACAAGTGGAACAATTTTCCGTACATTTAGTGTATTTTGCTTTCCATTTTTCATTTTTTTTTTTTTTGGGAAAAAGAGCCAGAGGCAACTTTTAATGTTGTAAAAAAAGAGAGAGAGAGAGAAAGAAATAGCTCGCATTACCGTCGAATAAATAATTCAAAATAATTAAATGTAATAATTTTTATTAGAATTGACGCGTTTTTTGTGTAGAGCTATAGAGCATTTTTCATGTCAGAGTCAGATGATTTCAAAAATAAGAAAAAGCTGTCGAGTGTTGCTCCAATCGATCGAATGATCATCAAACAGTTCGTATAGTGGCACATGGTAAAACTCGATCGATCTCCGATCGGGAAACAATGGCTCTAGAGAGTGTTTTCGCGGCCGAGACTCTAATCCAAAGGTTTGCCTCATTTTTTATTCATCAAAATGAAAAAAAGAAACTCGGACTTTTATACAGCTCCGTGTTTAAAAATTATGTTCGTGCTCCTCTAATGCCCCGGTCTCGCCTTCTTCTCCAAAAAATCGATTTTTTTTTAATTTCTTATTTTTAATCTAAAATCATCATTTCTTGACAGACTCGCAAAGACCGATCGGAAGGGAAACAGTCCCTGAGTCCTTTTTCAATCGGCCTTTGTCTAGGATTTTTTATTCTAGTTTTCTTTTTTATTATTTTTGTTCTAAAATCTGACATATCGTCAGATCGATAAATTGGTATTGGTTGAGGAGTTAAATGGAAGAGGTGGGGAGGGAGACGCAATTTGTTACGCAATTCTCGTTGCGCGACATATTTGGTTCTTTTTTTTCATTGTCAGGAGGGTAAAGGAGATATTGATTTTTTTTAAGTAGAGAATTCTTAGGGGTGTTGGGGGAGCGATAAGAATACACACGAAAAAAAACGTGTTCATCTGTGTAAATTTATTCAGATGTACACGTTTTCATGAACACTAACACAGACTGACAACAGTCAGGGCAACTCTATATTCTATAATGATGCCGATTGAAAATCCATTCAAGAAATTCATTCTCTGAAATGTGTGGTTGCTTTGGCAATAACAAGGCTTTTTATCTCGATGAGGATATGATAATGATTATGATGTTTATGCTAATGTTCCTGATAAACGGTAAGAGAATTTTCATTAATTTTTTCCGGAGGACAAGCTCTGTAAATAATAAGAGTAAATTAGGATTTTTTTGCATTTTTTAAAAATTGATTATTATTATTATTATTATTATTGTTAGTGCGATTGAGAATGACGCTGACTGTATATAGGCTTGTTTTGGGTTCTGCCCAAAAACAAAGAGGTCGAATGTTGCAAGTACGTTTTGAGAAACGTCCTTCAGACCTCCAGCTATAACGTATTTGCTCAGTCGCGTCGCACTCAATACTACGATGTCTCTTTAAACAGGTTGTTGACTTATTTCATTCAAAACTGTTTAGTTTTAAGTGGGTCATTTCAATAATTCAATATTTCACAACCAGAGACGTAGGAAATTAAATTTTCCTTCTAAATTCCAAAAAAAGAGGAAAACTTTTTTTTACTTGAAAAATTATTATACATTATTCTCAAGAGCTTAAAATTTTTCTTCACAGTTTGACTTTTAATAAATAAGTGCTTTATTTTAGTGCTAACCAATAATTAAGCACTCATTGAAAAAAATTCTATTTTGGTGCATTGAAAGTAACGAAAATAAATCTTGCGTAATGAACAAAGTATCTGCTTATATTTTACTAACAACTAGACAAGTTATAACATTCCATCTCCTTGTTTACTAAAATTCTATTTACTCTCTCTCTCTTCTCTTTGTCAATTTAATTCTCTAAATTTTTTTCATTTCTCTAAATTTTCTATTTTCTTTCTATTTTATTATTTTAGTAAAAAAAATAAATATTTAATAACACGAGCAAAATTTTTAAAAAAATTTGAAGTCAATCGAAAAAAAGGGATTTAAACGAAAACAACTTTGAAAAAAATATAAATTCTGATTATTCGCTTTTGTTGTAAAAAGTTGTAAAAAAAATAGTTGATTTTTAATTTGGTTCATTTATCGATCCAAGTGGGAAGTAAATTTGTATAGGAGGATAAGGTCAACTTATTTTAAAAAGGTAGTAAATGTGAATCCCTCTATTACATCTAAAGAATGAAGCATTACAGCTGTTTCAATTTAAAAAAAACTTTATCAATCGCAATCTTTTTTCGAAAAAATTTCGCTCGTCAGCAAAGTGAATTATTGCAATATTTCTTAATATTAAGTTTTCAAAAATAAAAAGTAATGGAAAAAATACATAAATAAACATTAGAGCTTAATCGAATGGAATATTGTTTATTTAAAAATTATTTCTTTCAAATAACCGATTACATGTCTATTATCGAAAAAATATTTATTTGAGTCAAATAATTTTTATTTAAATCAATTAAATTTGATTTCTTTGATTTATTCGAATATTTTCAATACGATTTATTTTTTGTTTTTATTACTTCGATTTATTTATTTATGGTCGATTGAAATAATGTTTTTTATACACTGAAGAAAAATTATTTGATTCAAATAACCGACTACTTGTCTATTGTCGAAATATTTTTCAATGCACTTACAAGGTGGCCACATGTCAGTAAAGTCAGGGAAATGACAGGAAAAAAATTTTTTGGCAGAGAAATATTAAGAAAATTGAGGCTTTTTTCAACTTTTCTTCTAAATATTGTAACAAAATAACATTTTTACTATAAAATGCTACTTATTTTGATTTTATACATAACTATTTATAACTAAAGACAAATCTTTCAAAAATTATTTTTGTATAATTTTTTTAAGATAATTAAATTTTTTAAATATAATTATAATTTAAATATGTTTGAATAATTGAAATTTTGTAAAATTTAATTGAAAATAATTGATTTTTTCATAAATTTTATTATACAATTGAAATTCAACTTTTGGAGAAATTTAATTGAAAATTTTGGAAATATGTAATTGAATTATCAAAAATGTTAATGAAAAATCTTAAAATGTAAATTTAAAAATGAAAATTAATCAAAATTAGCTTCTAATTTTTTAAAATTCAATATTTTCAGTATTTTCAATTATAACATTTTAGAATTATTTTGGAGAAAAAATCATGTTTAAAATTTTTAATTAAAATTCTTGAAAAAATTAATTAGTCTTTTTTAAATTATACAAAAATTCTTCAATTATTTTCGAAAAATTACATTAAAATAATATTTTTAAAAACTAATTCTTAGAATTGTGTATTTTGACAAAATTCTAAAATAGAATTCAATTCTATTTTGATTCTAATTCTTAGAATTGTTTTATCACAATTTTTCAAGATTCAATTATCAACAACAAACAAAATAAAAATTTATAAAAATTTCGGAGAAATCATAATTATATTTGTAATTCAAATTCTTCAAAAATTTGATTTTTTTTATTTATATTTTTCAAAAATTCAATTATTCAAAAGTTAGTTAAAAATATTTTTAAAAATTAATTGTATCTAAGAATTTCTTTATTATAATTTTTTTGAAAATATTTTCCTTAAAATTTTTTCCTGCTTTCTTGTAAAATGAATTTTGGCAGAGAAAATAATTTTAATGTCAGTAAATTGTCAGAGAATTGATAAACTGAAACTTGTGACCACCCTGACTTAGTCGATTGAAATATTATTTATTTATTAAAAAGAATGAAATGCAGGGATCACAGTAATTTTTTCATGTAATATTAGGTAAAAAAAGGGAATTTTATTTTCCAAAAATGGGATTCAGTTCAAAAATAAAAAAATTTTCCAATTACAAGTAAAAATTATGTGTATTTAACTATATATATACGAAGTAAAGTTTAGAAAAAGATTAATGAATTATACTTGAGACTTGAAATAAAAATTTGCATTTCTGGAATAACTTTCACTATTTTCAGAGACAATTCTTTTGTTTATAAAAATTACAAATATTTACTTTATAAATAGTAAAATTTACTCTGAAAACAAGAATTTTTAATAGCTAATTGTAATGTTCGAGGAAATTTTGAATAATTTTTATTAAAAAAATTAACTTTTAAACTTTGCATTTTGCTATTGAAACTTCTTAGTTTTAGAGTAAAAATTTTACTATTTTTTAAATAAATATTTCTAATTTTTATGAAAAAAAAATTGCCTTTGAAAATAGTGAAATTTTTACACTAAAACTAAGAATTTTCAATAGCAAAATTTATTATTTTCAAATTATATTAAATTTTATAGTAAATATTTGTAGTAAATTTTATTGAAAATTAGTTCAATATACTTTTAATTTAGTAAAATTTATTCTGAAATTAATACAATTTGTCAAAAAATTTCAATCAATTTTGATTTTTCTCAGAAGAAAAAAGTTATTTTCTCTTTGTTACTTTTTATGGAAATTTTTCTAAGTTTAAAACCTCTGAGAAATAATATAAAAAGATTTTTAAGTTTCAAAAAACTAAAATTTTTCCGAATTTTTCGAAAAGTGAAAATTTTTTTCTTCAAAAAAAACTAAAATATTTTCTAATTTACAAAAAAAGACAATTTAAAAATTTTTTTTTAAAAGGGAAAAAGGAGAGAAAATTTATGATTTTAGGTATTTAGGGGATTTTATTAATTTAAGTTGATAAAAAAAGGGAAAAGAGAAAAAAAGAGAATCACCAAAACGAGTTGAAACTTTTTTTCCACATAAAGATTGTAAAATCGATTGTTAAATATTTCGACACAAAATTTTTTGAAAGAGATTGAAAATATTTATTCAGTTTCAATCTAATAGTTTAGTAAATCCTACTTTTTAAGTTTTATTGTATTATAATCCTATTTACGCTTTTTCGAAAGACGAACACTAATATTGATTTAATTTTTTATTAATAGTCGCACTAATAATCCCCTTTGGGTGTGACAGGCGAAACAAAAGAATAATGATGAAATGGATTAAGATTCTCCTATAGCCGTGACAGTCTCGTTCCAATGAAAAATGTAGTCTAGGTATTTATAGAAAAGAAAAGGAATAACTTTTGTTCTCGGCTGAAAATATTAGCTTCTTATTTTCAAGGCAGTTTTACATTATCAAGCGAATTCTGCGAGCCACTTGATAAATTTTATCTTATTACCAGTAGTAATTCGTACACTTTTTTCCACTAACATTTTCAATTTGTATGATAACCGCAACCAAAATATGATAACCAACAAACACAAAGCAGTGTGAGTTTTAAAACTCTTGACAACATTTATTGTCAAATATTATTAAAAATAATAGTTTTAAAGTAGGCGATTTTTTATTTTTTTTTGCCAAAAGGGTCAAAAACAATAGAAAGAAAAGTAAAAATAGATATTTTGTTTTTTTCTCACGCAATTAGTGGAATATTAGCATAAATTAGAATAATCAGTCGAAGAAAAGCCAAGTACCACACAATTTCAGAAAATTATTATTATAATAATAATTTATTAATTTATAATTTAATACTATGATAATAATAATTATTATTATTCAATTTATCGTTTATTCACAAAAATCAATCGAAAGAAATAAAAATTATTTTCTAAGATGAAAATTGATGATTTTTAGAACTCCGGACAATGATAATGATGACTTGGAAGACGGTGAGATTCCTTCGGACGAAGATGACGAAGAAGTTGTGCCGCTTCCAGCTCCAGCACCAACGCCGACACCAACACCAAAATCCGAACCGGTGGTGTCTTCAAAATCCTCAAAAAGCAAGGAGGATTCCTCCTCAAAAAGCTCCTCGTCGAAAAGTTACGATAGCAAAAGTAGCAAGAGCAAGAAGCAATCTTCCCAAAGGTCGGGGAGTAACGATAGGTCGAGCAAGTCCAGTAAAGGCCCAACGGAAGATTGGGCTGGAGATGTCGAGAAAGCCATCAAGGCGGCTCTAGATAAGGACAAACCCAAACACCAAGAGAGCAATTCCAAATCGAGCAGAAGTAGCAGGAGTAAAAGCAGAAAACGGACGAGAGACGATAAGGAGGAGGAGCGAGCGAAGGAACAGAAAGTGGGTTTTTTTTCTTTAGAATAATTGAATAATATTTCTGGGACAAGTTTTTACAGGCCTCGGATATTATGAATTTTTCCACTTTTTACCACTATTTTCAAAAAGTGCAATTTTTTTGACTTATTTTCAAAACTTGCGACTCTCGACTTTTCTTCTAAATATTGAAACTAAATACTACATTTCTAGTATAAATCGCAACAACTTATTTCGATTTTTATAGTGTCAAAATTAACTACAGACAAATCTTTCATAAATTATTTTTGAATATTTTTGAATAATTTTTCGAATTAAATTTTCGAAATATACAATTAAACTGATTTTGAATAATTGGAATTTTGTAGAATTTAATTGAAAATAATTGATTTTTTTCAAGTATTTTATTAAAATTTTTAAAAATCAACTTTTGAAGAATTTTAACCCTTAAACCGCACACTGCCGAATCCATCCTTAAACCGCACACTGGGTGTGCGACACCCGGGGACTTTTAAGTGTGTTCTCCAAGCTGGAATAGGATATTATCTTTCGGAAAAATTATCTTGTATAGCTCATTACATCTAATATATATTATATATATATTATATATAATATATATAATGATTTATTTAATTTTAATAATTAAAAAATTGTTTTTTAAAACTACTGAAATTACCTTAAACCAAAAACTGGGTGTCAAACAAGCAGAAATTTTTCGCCGACAACTTCATAAAGTTATCAAATACACAAAGACACTTGGAAGACTAATGTCCCTCACGGAACATAAAGTTAAGTACAAAATGTATCGTCCAATAACGACACATGTTCAATTTTTACGAACTTAACCGAAATATTAGAGTAAAAAGCTAGAATATGGGTGTCGCACACCCAGGGTGCGGTTTAAGGGTTAATTGAAAATTTTGCAAAAATAAAATTCTTAAAATTTTAGTGAAAAATCTGCAAGAATAGAAATTAAGGGAAAAAAGTATTTTAAAAATTATATTACAAATATTTTTGAAAAAAGTAATTTATAAAATTTGTTCATTATAATTTTTTAAAATTCAATTATTTTCAAAATTTTTAACACTTTGAAGAAAACAGTCATGTTCAAAAGTTTCAATTAAAATTCTTTAAAAAAAAATACAAAGTTGGCACAAATCAGGGAAATTAGGAGAGAGTCAGAAATTTTTATTAAAAGTACTGAAAAAAATTGAATTTTTAGAATTCATAAGAAAATTCTAAATTTTGGACTTTTTAATTTGCCTGATACACTATAAAATTGACACGATTTTTAATAGAAAACCTTCAATTTTTTCTACTTATGACAATAATTTATTTTCAAATAACTCAATTATTATTAAATTATTAGAAAAAATATTAAATTATTTAATGAATAATTTTACTTAAATATTTCAAAATTGAAAATTTCAAAAGCTTTTAAATTGAAATTTTAGAAAACTTCAATTTTCAATGAATTTAATTAAAAAATTTTAAAGAACTCAGAATTTAAAAAAATTTTAATAATTTAAATTCTTCAAAAAAATTAGTTACATTTCTTAATATATTTTTAATTAATTATTAAAAATAATGGATTTATGAAAGAATTTTAGTTAAAAATACTAAAATAATTGAATTTTAGAGAAAATACAAATGATTGCAGAAATTCAATTATTTTCAAAACTAATAAAATTTTCTGCAGAAATTCAATTATGTATGTTCAAAAATTTTTTTAAAATCCTTGTCAAAATTTCAATTATCTTTATAAATGATAAAATTCTTCTCCAAAATTCAATTATTTTCAAAAACTTTTATAAAATTCTTGGCAAAATATTAATTATTTTCAAAAATTTTCCTCAATTTAATGATTTTTAAAATTTTAGATAATAATAATTGAATTTTGAAAAGGTTTCAAATTAAAATCTTTGCAAATCTGAATTTTTAATACTTATTTAATTATTAAAAAGAATGAATTTATAAAAGAATTTTAGTTAAAAACACTTAAAAAACTGAATTTTGAAAAAGTTACAAATGTTTGCAGAAATTCAATTATGTTTAAAACTTTTTTAAAATTCTTTTCAAAAGTTTAATTATCTTTATTAATAATATAATTCATCTCCCAAATTCAATTATTTTTAAAAATTTTAATAAAATTCTTGGCAAAATTTTACAGAGATTCAATTACTTTTATAAATAATTATATAAAATTTTTACTGTGATTTAATTATTTTCATAAATAATAAAATTCTTTTTAGAAATTTCAATTATTTTTATAAATACTAAAATTCACCGCTCAGAGTTTCAATTATTTTTTACAATTTTAATCAAATTCCTCGAAAAATGTAATAATTCTTAAAAATTTTATTAAAATTTGTCAAATCAATTCAATAGTTCAAAAATTTGTTATTAAAATTCTTTATGAGAATTATTCAATAAATTATTTTTGTATTTAAATAATTGAATTGTCGTAAAATTTTCTAATAAAAATTCATTTAAAAATTAATTTTTGTTAAAATTTTAGATTAAAAGCATTATAGCATGAATTTTTAGAAATAATCGAAATTTGAAAAGGATTTAAATTAAAATCTTTGATAATCTGAATTTTTCGTTCTTGTAACTAAAAATTCTGTAGAATTAATTTTCCTGAAAAGGTTTAATTGAATTTATTTTTGAAATTATTTGTATGTTTTATTTTCGATTATAAATTTAATTGAAGAATTTTCGTATAATCAAAATTTCGTAAAATTGAATATTGTAAACAAATGGATTTTAAAATTTGCAAATAACGTTTCCCAAAATGATTAAAAATAATTGACTATAAGAATTTTAGTTAAAAATTGTAGAAAATAATAATTGAATTGAAATGTTGAAAATAATTATGAATAAGTTATAGTCACAACATTCTTATAAGAAAATTATAAAATTAAAAAATTATATAATTATTTTATCACTCGGTCATCTTTAATTATTATAAAACATGAAGATACCGATTGCTCCAAGTCGAAGACTCGGAGTGATCGATATCTTCATGTTTTATAATAATATTCTTATAAGTTCTTTGATTTCATAAAAGTTTGAATTTGAAATAATTGAAAATGTTAATTCTTTTAAAAAATAATAATGATTAAATATTTATTTAAAAATGAAGTTATTGGTGTTTTCGAATAATTTTACTTTTTAAGAAATTTGTAAATAAATGTAATAGAACATTTTTTTGAGTATCTAATAATTTTTAGAGTGAATCAAAATATTCTTCAAGGTCAGAGAAAAAGTCAAAATTTTGTCTGGAAATCAGGGAAAAACATAATTACATTTTTCTGGCAACCTTGTTTTCGACATTTTTTTATAGTTTTAATTTACTAAAGTGACTAATTTTGCGCCTTAAAGTCGAACGGAAATCTGATTTTATTATCTGTTTCAGAGGAGAAAGGTCAGCGACGAAGAGAATGGAAACGAGGACGATGATGAGATGCTTTTCGTCCGGGGAGCTTCTCCCGTTCGGAAAGGATCCCACGAGAATTCCTCGCCCTTGAGGAGGAACAACGATCATGACAATTATGACAGCAGTTCGGACTACGACGACCGATCGAGTTCGAATCGTCACCGAGACAACGACAATAAGCGTAATTCCCGAGGTAATTTCTCTTGAGATTGTGCTTTTAAAATGAATTCCCTTGACAAATTAGCGTTAGTTTTGGAGAATTTAGCGAAATTTCGTTAAAGTTTGGCATTTCTTTGGATTCAGGTCGAAGAGGCGGGAAGAACGAGCGCGGCGGCGGAGGCAAGAGCAAAGGGCGAAGCCAGAACCGCAACGAGCGCAACGGCCGGAGGAACCAGAACCAGAACAACGACCACAATCAAGATCCCGACTCGATTTGCAGCTACTACATGCAGGGAAAGTGCCACCGGGGAGATGACTGTCCGTACTCGCACAATGCGCTGCCCCCGCGGAAGATGGAGTTGTGTAAATTTTATCTCATGGATTGTTGTGCTAAAAGGGATAAATGTCTTTATATGCATCATGACTTTCCATGCAAATTCTTTCATACAGGGTTAAAGTGCGGCCAAGGGGAGAACTGCAAGTTCTCTCATCAGCCTCTCAACGAGCAGGTAATTTCAACAAATTTATCTTTTCTTTTTCATTCTTAATGATCCCTTTTTTTACCAGCCACAGACTTCGCACTCGATAATTAATTTTTAAAAAGTAGCAAAAAGTACATAGCTTTCAAACTAAAAAATGTAGTAAAAAAGTAGCTGTCGAAAAATTAAACTTGACGACCGAAAAACTCATTTTAGACGCACTTCACAAAACTGACAAAAATTCCATTCTATATTTTATTTTCCTGACTTTTTCCTAATTTTCAACAAAAATATTTACTTCTTTCTTATCCTGCTAATAAATACAATTAGTACAACGAATTTTATTATTCAGGGAAGAATTTAAATATTTATAAAAATAATTTAATTCATGATAAGAATTTAATAAAAACTTTTTAAAAATTCATTTCTTTCGACTAATTTTATGCAAATTCTAATTTAAAAAATTTTATTCCTGAGCAATTTTTATTATTCATGAAAAGAATTGAATTCTTACGAAGATTTTTACAAAATTTTTTTTAAATAATGGAATTCTGTTTGGAAATTTTATGAAAATAGTAGATATTGAAAATCATTGAATTGCGAAAAGTTTTTAAAAATAATTAAATTTTACAAAGAATTCTATTCAAATTTTTGACAATAATTGAATGTCTGTGTGGCATTTTATTACATTTTTTTGAAAATAATTAAATTCCTAAAAAGCATTTTATTATTTATGAAAATAATTGAATTCTTGCGAAAGATTTTATAAGAATTTTTAAAAATAATTGAATTTCCAAGTAGAAGTTTATTACTTTCAAAAATAATTGAATTCTTGTGATGAATATTGTTATTTAGGAAAATAATTGAATATTGCAAAGAATTTTATTAAAATGCCCAAAAATAATTGAATTTTCGAGAACAATTTTGTTATTTATCGACATAATTGAATTCTTTCGAAGAATTATTTATGTAAATAATTGAATTGTTGGGAATAATTTTATTAAAAGCTAAAAGAATAATTCAATTATTTCAAAATAAAGTTTTAATTAAAATTGTATTTAAAATAATTGATTTTTTTCGAACAATTTTATTAAAATATTTAAAAATAATTGAATTCCTGTAAAAAATTCTAATATTTTTGTAAATTATTGAATTCTTTCAAAGAAATTTAAAAAAATATTTTTTTATCCCACATGCACAAAAATGACGCTTTTAGATAGCTGACGACAGGGAGTAAAGTCACTCATTTGTTCGACCATATGAAAATGGCGTCCATTTTCTCCCATGTGCAAACATAACCGCTGATCCCATGCGTTATTTTTCCCCAAGGGAGAAAACGGCCGCCATTTTCACATAAGTCGAACAAGTGAATGACACTTTTGTGCATTATGAATAAAAAATATCGTAAGTAACATGGAAATAAAGGCATCCCAATTTGTTTACAATGATTTTTTGTTCAAAAATAATTGAATTTCTGAGACGAATTTTATTTATTTGTGAAAATAATTAAATTCTTAAGAAGAATTTTATTGTTTAATAAAATAATAATAATAATTTAATAAAATAATTTTTCGATTAATTAATTTAAAATAGTATTAAAAATAATTCAAATTCTTCTATGAATTTTATTATTTATGAAAATAATTGAATTCTTGCTTAGAGTTTTATCAATAATTTTTTTTAAAAAATTGAATTTCCATGTAAAATGTTATTATTAGTGAAAGTAATTGAATTATTGTCAAGAATTGTAAGAAAATTTTGTTAAATAATTTATTTTTTTGAAAATTATATTCTAAATTAATTGAATTCCTGTGGAAAATTTATTATTTATGAAAATAATTGAATTTTGGATGAATTTTATCAATTCTTTTTTAAATAATTGAATTTTTTTGCGAAAATTGATGACAATACTAGATATTGAAAATAATTTAATTTCGAATATTTTTTGAAAATAATTGAATCATTTTAAAGAATTTGATTATAATTTTTTAGAATAGTTTTTTGATTTCTAGTATTGGCGAACTTAAAGTAGTGGAAATTCTCGAAAAAAACAGAAATAGTAACTTTTAGTGGCTGAAATGTAAAAAAAGGAGCGAAAAAGGAGCATAACGTAAAAAAAATAGTAAATAGTAGGTTTTAGTAAGATGAGTGCGAAGTCTGCTTTTATTTTCCCCTAATTACAAATAAATTTACCCAAATCCATATTTTTCTTCTCCAGGTCAAGAACATTCTACTCAAACATTTGGAGACTGCGCCGAAAGAAATTCTAGGCAACTTCCCAAGACTGAGCAGGGATGGTGCTTTGACCATGATCAACAACACGGAGAAGAATTTGGCCCAGGGTCAGGAGGGAAGTCAAAAAATCCCCAGTCTCTTCGAATTGAATATTGCGAATCGTGATGAAAAAGAAGAAGGTGAGTTTCATTTCCAGCATTCAAACCCCACGTGTTTCTTTAATATTCAAAGTTTAATTGACAATATTTTTAACGTGGATAATTTTTGTAATTAGAAAATTCGTGTACGAAAGAAGAACCTACGAGTGGGCAGCAAAAGTTGTCGACAGCCACAACGACCGCGACAACGACGACGACGACGACGACAGCATCGAAAGAGAGAAAGTCGTCGGGGAAGAAGACTCGATGGGGTTCCGACGAGGATCGCGTCCCTTACGAACAAATAATGCTTATGCAGTCCGTCAGTCAACTCGGAATGCAATTTCCCAATGCCGCTTTAGATTTAGCCGTTCAAGATCAACGTCCGCAAATTGAAAATCCAATTTCAATGGACTTTTACAGTGAAATAAGTGAAAATGACGCCGCAAGCAAATTGAATTCCAAGGAAGATTTCACGAAAGATGTGGAAGAAGATGAAATTCGAGCACAGGTAATTTCTCTCTTTTTTTCTTTTTTCGTTGATTTTCTATAGGGTGTTATTTACATTTGAATAATTGAATAATTTTACAGTCAAAGGGGAGAAATTCTACAGTTTCGGAAACTCCAAAAGACGTGGATTTGCGGCAAATGCTCACGGCGCCGTCGAAACCTCGTGTAGTGAGTATAGCAGACGAGATAGCGAATATTACTCAGTCCAAAGTGGACGAGGACAGCGAGGAGGAGGAATCCAATTTGGTCATAGAAATGCCAATGGAGGAAGAGGAGCACGAGAAGGAAAAGGACTTGAAGCAAACCGAAGGTGAGCGAAATTTTTTTATTTATAAAATTACGGACCAATTTGACAAGAATTTTATTTAAATTTTTGATAATATTTGAATTTTGGAGAAGAATTTTTATTATTTATAAAGATAGTTGCGATTCTGACGAGAAATTTTTAATTTTTGTTGAACATAATTAAATTTCTATCAAGAATTTTATTACTTTTGAAAATAATTGAATATCTCAATCTTTTGTAACGTCTTAGAAATTCTCTAAACTATATTGTACAATTTATGAACTTGCCTGACTTTTTCAAACAAATTACGGACTTTATGGCCGTTTTTAAAAAAAAACTGACTTTTACGGACTTGAAGCAAATTTACGGACCTTTACGGACCTAATTCGAGTCGTTTGAAATGACGAAGTTTGAAAATTTAACAATTCTTTCTTCTTCCAGAAGTTCCGGAACAAGTGGAGAGTGAAAAGCCCAGTTCGCCAAAAGCGCAAACGCAGGAGATGCCGCCGAATCTTCCAAAGAAGGCTCAAGAATTGTTCAAAAGGATACAGCAGCAGCAGCGCGAGGCTCAGGACAGCTTTAAAAATCTCGAGAACGAAGACGAAGAAGACGCTGCCCGCCAAGACGACTGGTACTCCGACGACGATGACGACAAGGACGAGGCTGGCAGCTTGACGATCGACGTCAACAACGACGAGGACCAGGAAATGGAAGAACCACCGAAAGTCGAAGAGAAGAGTCCTCCAGTTCCGAGCATACCTCAGCCGGCGCCTTTTGTCGATAAACTCGGCGACTTGAGTAAAATCGACATCAGCGCCGAAGTATCGAAACTATTGTCTTCCCTGAAGGCGAAGAGCAACGCCAGCCCGCCGGCGACGGTCAGTGCGGAGAGCGCCGAGGTCAAAGTCAAGAGCGAGGAGCCGACGGGCGCCAAAGAGCAGGACTCGAAGAACCAGAACGAGGGCGCGTCCTTCAGTCCCGCGTCGTCGCCAATCTCGCAACCTTCCGCGCCCTCCAGAGATCCGCGCATGGCCCGCGACCCGAGAGATCCCAGGGATCCCAGGCAGCGCCGCGAGGAGCCCAAGGCCGCGCCGCCCGGCAAGCACGAGATGAAGGACCCGCGCTCCCACCGGCTCGAGACCAGCATCTACAGTTCGGGCATCACCGCCATGGACTCCCCGATGGACACGGACCTCCGCACCCGCCCCGACCAGGACCACCGCCGCAAGGACATGGACCTCCGGCAGTGCTTCTCCGACTTCGGCGACACGGACCTGCGCCTCGTCGGCGGCACCTTCAGCAGCTCCTCCGTCAAGTCCGACATCGACCTGCGCCAAATGCTCACTCTGCCCTTCAAGCCCGTCCCCGCGCACGTGCCTTGCACCGAGATCGACGGCAGCATCGGCTCGCACCCGCCCATCGTCTACAAGGTCCACGTGATCGACATCCCCCGACCCGACTACACGGGCCTCAAGCTCAGCAAGAACGATCCCCTCGTGAAAATCGACCCTCGCCTCAAAAAGATCTTCCGCATTTCACTGAGCGACATTGCCGACTCGCCAATGTCGCCACCGCCAATAAAATTCGACACTCCAAAGTCACCGCCTCCGGTCCGCATGGACCCCAGGCGCAAGGCTCTCGAATCACAGACTTCCCAAGGAATGAATGCTTCCCTCCCTTCGCATCACCAGGGCCTTCCGGAAATGAACATGAACATGGGCCAGTACATGCAGCCCATGCCCATGATGATGCCCAACGCGATGATGGGGCCCATGATGGGCGGTCCGATGGGCTCCAACATGCCCATGATGGGCCACAACATGAACTCGAACATGGGACCGAATATGGGTCCTAATATGGGACCAAACATGGGACCGAATATGAATCAAAACATGGGACCGAATATGGGTCCAAACATGGGGCCGAATATGGGTCCCAACATGGGACCGAATATGAATCAAAACATGGGGCCGAATATGGGACCGAATATGGGCCCAAACATGGGGCCGAATATGGGTCCAAACATGGGTCAGAATATGGGACCGAATATGAATCAAAACATGGGGCCGAATATGGGTCAGAACATGGGACCGAATATGGGTCCCAACATGGGGCAGAACATGGGTCCGAATATGGGGCCAAACATGGGTCAGAATATGGGTCCCAACATGGGACAGAATCAAATGAACTTCGATCCGCGTTTCAATGCGCAACGGAACAACGGCGTTGGCCTTTTGGGCCCGGGGCCCTTAGTGGGCTATGGAAACGACAATGGTCCGAACAACTTTGATAACGGAGGCGGCTACTCGAATGGGAATTTCAATAACTTCGGTCCCGGACCGGGTGATCCGCGCAACTTTGGACCGAATTCGGATGGACCGAACTTTGGCAATGGCGGCGATTGGAACAATTCGAATCAGAATCAAAACAGAAGGGGCGGACGAGTGCGGAGAAGAAATCGAAATAAAAATGGGCCTTCAATGAATCGATCACCATCGTAGGGTTTAGATCTTTTATACGAACAATGTTCCGTAGTGTTCGCAATTATTTTTACTGTTATTTCGCAGGAGACGAAAATATTTTCTGGATTTGTTATTCTAACGACTCAGTTATTATTTTGCATAATATATTTAATAGAAAAGAAAAAGGAATTAATAATAAATAAATTAATTATATAATAATTCTTCGAACACTAAAGTAAGCGAATTAATTAATTAAATAATTTATTATTAATTCTTCGAACACAAAAGGAGGCGAATCGAGTGCGAAAGGGCGCTGTTTTTTTCGGGAAAAGTTTAGATTTTTTGAAAATTGAATAAATTTCAATTTTGAAATTGAAGGGGGAAAGTTTGAATTTTTTGAAAATTGAAGAAATTTCAATTTTGAAATTGAATTTTTACGATTCACTTTTTATTCAATTGTGAATTATTTTGATGAAGGATATTTAAAGTTTTTTTTATTTTCCTCTAGAGAGTTTTAGCTGTGATTTCTTATAATGAAGTGAATAATTGTGAAATTCGATTTTCTGTTTTAAATAAAAAACTCAGCCCTAATTTTTCTCGAGTTGCTGTGTTAATTGTTGCGACAGTCTCGAGAAATAAATAAGTCAATACTTTCTTAAATTTAGATCATTTTTCATGATGAAAATTGTTGTCATATAGTTGCAATTATTATATTATTATTATTATTATAATTACGTTATAGAATGTATATAAAAATGTACATTTAGGAGACGATAGGAAAAGAAAAATATTTGAAGGATAAAAATGACGATTCCTCCGGATCAAGAAGTGCATAATTAGCATAATTAGTAAATCGAAATTTTCTAAATTCGCTTCGACTTTATTTTTTTACGTCTTCCGTGTACATACAATAAATACATAAATTGCGTTTAATTTATAAGATGTACATACGTTAAATAATGCAAAATATATTTGTCTACTTATAAAGTCTGATTTGATAAATATAGAAGAGAAAAAAAATTATGGACTTGAGATATTGTTACTTCGACTACCTCTGTGATAGATCAATAGTCCCGAAGGAAAAAAAAGTTGTTCTTAGGATTCGTCGTTCGTTTCAATAATTTTTTTTACGCTTGTAAAAACTCGAAACTTATTTATTATTCATATTATGTTTACAAATTACATTTAAGATATTTTGGTTTTATTTTATTTTACTTTCTATATATGAAAATAAATTATTTAGTGTAATAATTGTAAATTTCAAGGGAATTCGAAAACATTCCAAAGTTTATTCACAAATTTTTTTTGTGCAATTTAATCGGACTTAAAAAGTAAATAAATAATTTACCTGATTGTAGTTAAAGAAATATGGTTTCCTTTATTTTTTGCTTAAATTTAAAATTAGATCCTTGCAATGAAGCAGGTACCGTGGAATAAAAACTATAAATTTGTATTGAGTCATCTTCTGCTAGATTCGATTTTCATGGAGTTTCGAAGAATTTCATTTGCTCATGCAGTGAAAATGAATGTTTGTGATTTCTCTTTTTGAAATAAATTATTCGATATTTAACAGAGGATGAGTCGATCCATTTGAAATTGAATTCTAATGCGTTACTGCAGATAAAGGCTCTGCACGTATCGTTGCAAGATCTAGTCTAGCATCCATTTCCTCGTCCAATTCGCCTACTATTGCACTGTAAAAATTCAATTCAATTACTTTTTATAGGAGATAATGATTTTTAATTTATTTATTTTCTTATTGCCCTGATTTACAGAGAAAATTTTAACCTTTTTCGTGATCCTTTAACAATGAAAAGTGTTTCTATCAAAAATCACAAACTTCAGTAATAATTTTAACTTTTTTATTTAATTAATTTTCAATTATTTTAATTATTTTTAATAGAATTCTTGGAATTTCAATTATTTTTAACAGAATTCTTGAAAATTTTTATTATTTAACAAAATTTAATAATCTTTAAAAAAAATATACTGGGAATATTTTACAAAGCTAATTTTTCAAACTCTTCGACATTTGAATTTTTTATTAAAACTAAAAATCTTAGTTTTTAAAATTATTTATTAATGTACTAACAATTTTAATTGTAATTCATTCATAAATTAAATTATTTTAGTTGCAAATTGAACCCTTTAAGGTCATGTTATTCAGTGGTCACGTGTTCCCATAGTAAAGTATATGGAGCACGTGACCACTGAATAACATGACCTTAAGACTATTTGTAAAATTCAATTATTAAATTTACTAATTTTTGAAAATTATACATTTTTTAAATCAGAATCTTTAATGAAATTCTTTAATAAAATTAATTATTTTTAATTCAATTTCAAAAATTTTCTATTAATTTGGTTATTGCCTTTTAAATTTAATGTACAAATTTTTGAAAAATTGAATAAAAATTTTTCTGAAAGCAAATTTTTACAGAACTTTAAATAAAATTATTTTAAACTTTCAGAGTGTTTAGCGAATTGATTATAAATTTCGAATTTCAAATTTCAAAATATTAAAAATAATTCTTTCAATTTAATTTCACAAAATTCCTATTAATTTGATAATTATTTTTTTTTAATTTAAGTACATATCTTTGAAAAAGTGAATTAAAATTTCTCGGAAAAATGAATACAAGGTTTTTAAGTTTTTCAAAAATATTTTTTAGAGACCAAAAAACAAATTTTTTTTAAATGATTCTAGAAATTTAATATTTTTCCTGCTTTTTTGATAAAGTTCTCTAAAAAATTTTTTTTTTTTTGATTTCCCTGACTTGTGGCAACTCCGATTTAAATAAATTGTTCTCTAAATGTTATCAAAAATTGATAATATTATTTTTTTAAATAGAAAAATCTTTGCAAAAATTCATTTATTTTTAATAAAATTTCACGAAAGAATTCAATTTTTTTCTGAATTAATTCATTATAAAATTTTTCAAAAGAATTCAATAATTTTCTAAAATTTTTGAAAATCCTTCGAAAGAATTCAATTTTTTAAAATTTTTAATAAAATTTTTCTAAAGAATCAAATGATCTATTTTCTAAAATTTTAATAAATTTTTCGAAACAATTAAATTATTTTTATATATATATAGTAAAATTCACCGCAAGAATTAAATTATTTTTAATAGAATATTAATAGACTTCAAAAATCAAATATTTAATTATAATTATTAACAGACACAATTATTTTAAAAAGTTGGAAAAAATTCTTGGTTTAATTAAATTATTTTCAAAATTTCCAATTAAAATTATTCAAAAAACTACAATATTTAAAAAAAAAACTTACAGAAATTCTTCAAAAGAATTTAATGATTTACAAAAACTCTAATAAAATTGTTTAAAGGAGTTTAATTTTCCATCAATAATTTTAATAAAATTTTAATAGGTAGTAATATTATTAATTACAATTATTAACAAAATCGAATATGTTCAATAAATTAAAGAAATTTTTTGAAAGAATCCAATTATTGTCAAAACCGTCAATAATTCTTCGAAAGAATTTAATTATTTTCTATATATTTTAATAAAATTTCTTGAATGAATTAAATTATTTTAGAAAATTGTAATAAAATTCTAAGAATTTAATTATTTTCTAAAAATTTTAATAAAATTCAATAATTAAATGTTTAATTTCAATTATTAAGAAACACGATTATTTTAAAAACTTTAAAGAAATTGTTCACAAAATTCAATTACACAAAATTTCCAATTAACATTTTTTAACCCGTTAACATTTTGAATAAATAAATAAATTAATTAAAATATTCAAAAAAAACTCAATTATTGTAAAAAACATTGTAAGAAATTTTTCAAAAGAATTTAATCAGTAATTTCAAAAATTTTAATAAAATCTTTAGCAAGATTTCCATTATTTTCATAAATAATAAAATTCTTCGAAGGAATTTAATTATTCTCAAATTTTTTGATAAAAGTCTTTGTAAGAATTCAATGATTTCCAGTGCATTCATTTTAAAATTGAAAATATTTAAAAAGAACAATTATTTAAAAAGTTAGAAAACATAAAAGCAAACAACTAACTTCAAACGAACAGATTAACCTTTAAAGTGCTATGCCGGTCTGACAGACCGCTATTAAAATTTTCTTTGCTTGAAACTTTTTTTCAAAGTATAATAAGAACTTGAACTTTTTAGTAGCTTCATATTTTATGAAAATCTGTTAGGAGACAACTTTTTCAAAAATTTTTATTCGTTAAATTTTGTAATATAAATAAATATTTGAAGTATAGCGGTCTGTGAGACCGGGGTTAGCTTTAAGTGAAAGTATATTCCAGTACATTCCCATGAGTGACGTCTGCGCAACTTGACGCGCAGCTAGTTCTACTGACAGTTCTCATAGACTGCATTTATAAAATAAATAAATGCATAATACAGAAATGACTTTTTTTGTTAAAAAGTAAAAAATATTTATAATAGTTGTCTTTTAAAAATGATAAATGACTAAAAAACTGTCAGAAGAGAATAGCGGTCTGACAGACCGGGGTTAGCACTGAGCGTGATTTTTCAACACTTAGCACTTTAAAGGTTAATTACCCGAAAACATCGATTGTAAATATAGATTTTTATTTTTCGTAAACAAAAAATTTTTTTCTGGGAATGTTCTACTTTTTAAAGAAGAGAAACTTTTTAAAAATGTTTTTATACAAAAGTTTATAAAAATTTGCTTCGAAAAATATACTTTTTCTTCTAGATCGTTGATTATAGACGTTGTGAATTTGACTAAATTTTTACTCTTCTTTTCAATTCTGTTAAAAATTGAATTAAACACAAATACGAATTAATAATTTTGATGACTTGATATATTTTAAGTAATGTTTGAAAAATTGCAACTGTATATTAAATGACATTTAAGTCATCATCCTGTTGAAATTGAAAAGAATTACTTACACATTATCGCCTCTAATTATGTGTAGACCTAAAACAACCTGATCAACACCTCGCGTTGTGCTGTAAACTCTTTCGTGTGATTCGTCCAAAATTAAATTAATCGTCTGATCGAATCCTTTTAATGTGCCCTGGAATATTTTAATTGAAATTTTTATTTTTTCCTAACGAAACTGACAGCAAACACGTATAAAAGCGAACATGCGACTTTTGTTTACAAAAATTAATTCTGCAATTTTTAGTCATACCTTTAAATTAATTTAACAATATTTCATTAAATTTAAAGTGTACGAAAATTTATATATTGCATTTTTAAGCATTTTTTTTATATATAATATAAATGTTTACTTACGATAAAATTACGACCATCATAGGTGATGATAGAAACGGTATCTAAAAAAATAATATAGGAAAAATACGTGTGATATAAATTAATTCTTAAAAATATGGTAAATTTTTTAAAAGGATACGATTCACAAAGCTCTCTAAGCTACTGGCCATTATAATTCTTAATAAATAATATATTAAGAAATTATTAAACGTATTAAACGTTTTGTGGAGGTTATTATTTTGTATTTGTAGGTTATGTAGATGTAAGCCGCGAAAACAAAAACTCTTAGTTCATTTGCCTACTCATAGAGGGCAACTTGTCGTTTTGCCGCGAAAATTCAAAATATTTTATGCTTTTAATAACACTTTACAATTTAGCAGAAGAAAAATATGAGGCACATGTGTGAATTCTTTTCCAAAGACAATTTTGATCAATTAGTCACTGGGTCAAACGGCATTCGCTCGAACAGACATTTTATCGAATAGACATTTAAGCGAATAGGCATTTGATCGAAAAGACATTATTAATTAATTTCTTTAATCAATTTATTAAAATCTGTAACTTTTACCAATTTCGAAACGATTAGTTTGATGAGACACATTTTCCAATGTCTGTATTACAGCGGAAATTTCGACAACATTCTTCCCGCCTCTGACACTATAGGGATTAGAAAAAAAAATTTATATTCAGTGGAATTTTAATTAATTATCGTTTCATATAATAATGAGGTTAATTATTTATCGTACTACTTGACCATGTTGTCCACAATTTGATCCTACTTCCACACAATTCTCGTTTGTACTACATTTGAGAGTCCCACAGCACTGACGATCTAGATGACACTAAAAGTAAAAAACAATTTTAATTATTAATTTTTTAATATTCATTACAACAAAAATTATTTTTAAAAAGTGAATATTAACTTATATTTAGTTAATTGTAGGAGGGCAAAGCGTAAAATAAAGTAGACAAATATTAAGGTGTCAGGCTAAAGTCTTCCCACATAGCACCATAGTATGAGGTAAGGTTATGTTGAGTACTAATCGTAAGGCACATAAGGTTACACAATATTGCTGCGGTAGACCTGAGGTGAACTAAAAACTTCCGCCATGGAGGTAAGGTTACATGTTAGGGTGTGGTGAGTATATATGATAAGGCCATGGTAACCTTACACGTTAAGGTTAAGGTAACCTTACACGTTAAGGTTGAGGTAACGTTACATGTTAAGGTTGAGGTAAGGTTACATGTCAAGGTTGAGGTAAGGTAATTATTAAGTTGTAAGGTTGAGGTAAGGTTAAGGTAAGGTTGTGATAAATTTACCAGTTATGGAAAATATTGAAAAAATAATTAATAAATAAATATTCAATTAAAAAGTTAGTTTGTTGCTCTTCTCTATTTTGGAAACCTGACATGAAGCAGAAAATTTTGAAAACAAATTTGGGGGGAATGGGATTCGAACCCGGGATCGACGCGCATAAACCTATCATTCTAACTAACTGAGCTAAGTAGAGAACTGGCAGAAGGAAAATTAATGATGCCTTTAAGGTGAACCAAGAAGATGATTAACTCCTTAAAGGCAATATTAATTTTCCTTCTACCAGTTCTCTACTTAGCTCAGTTAGTTAGAATGATAGGTTTATGCGCGTCGATCCCGGGTTCAAATCCCAGTCCCCCCAAATTTGTTTTCAAAATTTTCTGCTTCATGTCAGGTTTCCAAAATAGAGAGGAGCAACAAACTAACTTTTTAATTGAATATTTATTTATTAATTATTTTTTCAATATTTTCCATAACTGGTAAATTTATCACAACCTTACCTTAACCTTACCTCAACCTTACAACTTAATAATTACCTTACCTCAACCTTGACATGTAACCTTACCTCAACCTTAACATGTAACGTTACCTCAACCTTAACGTGTAAGGTTACATCAACCTTAACGTGTAAGGTTACCTTAACCTTAACGTGTAAGGTTACCATGGCCTTATCATATATACTCACCACACCCTAACATGTAACCTTACCTCCATGGCGGAAGTTTTTAGTTCACCTCAGGTCTACCGCAGCAATATTGTGTAACCTTATGTGCCTTACGATTAGTACTCAACATAACCTTACCTCATACTATTGTGCTATGTGGGTTTATTCTTTCAAGTACATGAAGGAACTGATCATTTTTGATCCTTTACAAGGTTTTCAGATTTACCTGCAAGGTAGCTTACCAATAAGTGCGAAGGTGGGGGATCGCAGGTCATTTGTCGTCCGTAATTGCCAGGAGTAAGAAAACAGATGTTTTATTACTCCTGGAAAAACCCAAAAAAATGAAAGTAGGGAAAACCGAAAATCTGAGTAAATATTCCACTCAAGACGTTCATAAAAGAGTTGTAAAATAGTTGTTCACTACATAATATTAATTAATAGTTAATAACAATAAATAATATTTAATAAATATTAATTAATACGTAAGACTATTTATTAAAATTTATAATTGACAATAGCCGTAGTCGTTAAGGCACGTGAATTAGCGAGTGGTAGTTTGGTTCAGTGGTTCGATCCCCCCAGATCATAAATTTTTGATAGTAAATAATAATATTAATTAATAGTTATTATTCATTAATTAAATATATAGTATATTATTAATACCTAATAATTAATAATATTAATTAATATATAATAATTTAAATTAATATTTAATAATCAATCTATTAATAGTAATATTAATTATATCTAATATAGGTACAGTAACGAATATTAGTTTTTAAAAAATTAATTATGGAAAATTATAAATAAATTAATAACTTACCCGTTCACCATCTTGTAAACATTGCTGACCTTTAACCACCACGACGAAAAGTCCAACACACAATGGTAAAAGAGTACAAGATTTCATCTATAATAAATTCTTTCTACTTTAAAATTCAATTAAATTAATTTATATTTATTGCTAAACTTCTTTCGAAAAAGTTGAAAAACTCAAATTGACGTTGATAAAAAATTTCTTCCAATTTTTACCTTTAGGATACTATTGTTTTTTTCTTTTAAACAGTTGTATTATTGTTTAGATAAAAATTTACATTGGTTTTTTTTTTAAATGCTTATAATATGTTTTTTTTTAAATTCCGTTTTGAAATGTTTATAATGAAATTAAGTTCAATATTAATTTTGTTTTTATCAATAACATGGATTTTTTTTTATTGTTACAATTATTTTTGTCAAAACTTCAAGTTCTCAAAAACAAAATTCAATTAAAGTTTTTCAAAAAAATTAATTCTACAGAATTTTTTAGTTAAAAATACCAAAAATACAGATTTTTAAAGATTTTAATTTGAAAACTTTTCAAAATTCAATTATTTCTAAAAATGCAGGCTTTTAATATTCAATTATTATCTAAAATTCATATTAAAATTTATATTAAAATTTTAAATACAAAATTCTACGAGAATGCAATTATTTAGATACAAAAAAAAATATTATTAAATAATATTTAATATTATTAAACAATTGAATGTTTCGTAAAATTGAATTCTAATAAAGAATTTTATCAACAAATTTTTAAACAATATTGAATTTTTTTGACGAATTTGAATAAACTTTTTAAGAATAATAACATTTTTCGAGAAAATCGATTAAAATTGTATTAAAAGTAATTGAAATTCTGCGATGAGATTTATTATTTATGAAAATAATTAAATGTTTGCGTAGAATTTTATTAAAATTTTTTTTCAAATAACTGAATTTTGGAGAAGAATTTTATTAAATTTATAAAGATAATTGGAATTTTGACGAGAATTTAAAAAAAAATTTTGAACATAACTGAATTTCTGCGAAGAATTTTTATTATTTTTGAAAATAATTGAATTTCTGCAATTATTTGTAACTTTTCTAAAATTCAATTTTTTTAGTGTTTTTAATTAATTCTGCAATGAGTTTTTTTATTTATGAAAATAATTGAATTTTAGTATTTTTAAACGATGAGACTTTTTTTTTTTAATTTTTGAACATAATTGAATTTTTGCGAAGAATTTTTATTAAAATTTTTGAAAATAATTGAATAGCTGTCTATTATTATTTAAAATTTACTCGAGTCTGAAAATATTTTTGCAGACAAATGCATTTGATGAATATATAATAGAATTATAAGCAATTTGACAACGGAAATAATGATGATTGTAAAAAGAAGTGAAATTGGGAACCAAAAATACATACAATTGAAAATACGAAACTAGTGGGAATTGCAAAATGAATAATCATTTGTACTTTATTAAATTATATTATTATATCTAGTGAACAGAGATACACTTTAATATCAATATAATGTAAAGCAATATTGAAATTGCCGAAGTAAAAGTCGGCAAAGCAAAAAAAGAAGGTATATAAAGAAAGAAAAATTGTTTCATGATTTTTCTGACAGTCGCTGATGATAATTTACACATTCACTGAAGGCTTTACATTGAATTCGAATTGACACACTATACAATTATTTGAAAAATGGCTCCTTCCCTCAACTCGTTATCATTGGCATGAAAGTCAAGATACAATTCTAAAACCTACCGAAACTTATCGACTTAAATGCATCCTTAATTCCTTACTCTTACTCGCCCGGCATTCTCAGCAAATAGAATGTCATTTGTACCGATGCATCTCCATGCGCGAAGGACTAGAGTAAACCATCAGATTTCTCTTCCGAGTTTGCAATCAAACTTGATCGTGCTCATCCTGGTCGTCTCCCGATCTCGAGCTGTAGTAGCTGCGCTTCGAAATGTAGCCGCCAGCTCGCTGTGTTTCGTACAATCGTCGGTTCTCCAAATACCGCTTGTAATTGTTCTCGCGCTTCTTCCTCTGCTCCTCCGCCTGCTGGCGCAGCTTCTCGGGATTCATGTGCGTTGTCACCATGTGTCTTGTTAGAGAGCTCATGAATTTGTAAGTGATGCCGCAAACCTCGCAGGCCAAAACCTCCTCGCTTTCTCCTTGCTGAAAATCAAAGAATCAGTCGCTGTAGAGTTACATCTTTGCGGCACGAACACAAGAAAATAATCGCAAGGAACAAGTCAAGTATGTTTAAAATTAAAATTTAAAATCAGACATTACGACTAGAAACGAAAATTAGTGATTTTCAATCTGTTAATTGGGTGCCTGGAAAGCATAACCGACGCTGCGCTCGAAAATCTTTTATTATTTACTAATTTCAGACTTCGCACTCGATAATTTAAATTAATTTTAAAAAAGAAGCAAAAAGAAGCTTTTGAACTAAAAAAATCTTGACGACCAAAAAAACTGGTTTTAGAAACTTCACAAAACTGCCCGAAAATTACATTCTATATTTTATTTTCCTAATTTTCATAAAAAATGTTTACTTTTATCTTATCCTGCTAATAAATTCAATTTCTGCAACGAATTTTATTATTCATCAAAGAATTTAAATAAATTTATTTATTAAAATTTATTTATAAAAATAATTACATTCTTGCCAAGAATTTTATAAAAATTTTTAAATAATTAATTTCTTCCGACTAATTTTATGCAAATTTAAATTTACATAATTGAATTCCTGAGAAATTTCTATTACTTATGAAAAGAATTGAATTCTCACGAAGATTTTTACAAAAATTTATTTAAATAATTGAATTCTGTTTGAAAATTTTATAAAAATAGTAGATATTAAAAATCATTGAATTGCGAAAAGTTTTTAAAAGTAATTAAATTTTACAAAGAATTCTATTAAAATTTTTGACAATAATTGAATGTCTGTGTGATAATTTATTACATTCCTTGAAAATAATTGAATTCCTAAAAAGCATTTTATTATTTATGAAAATATTTGAAATTCTTGATAACGATTTTATTAGAATTTTTTTTAATAATTTCTTTCTTGTGATGAAAATTGTTATTTATGAAAATAATTGAATTTTACAAAGAATTTTATTAAAATGCCTCAAAATAAATGAATTTTCGGGAATAATTTTGTTATTTATCTTTAATAATTGAATTCTTTCGAAGAATTATTTATATAAATAATTGAATTTTTGGGAAGAATTTTATTAAAATCTAAAAGAATAATTGAATTATTTCAGAAAAATTTAATCAAAATTGTATTTAGAATAATTGTTTTCTTTCGAAAAATGTTATTAAAATATTTGAAAATAATTAAAATCCTGTGAAAACTTCTAATATTTTTGTAAATAATGAAATTCTTCCAAAGATTTTTAAAACAACATTTGTTTAAATAATTGATTTCTTCGAGGAATTGAAATTAAATTTTTAAGAATAATTACATTTTTTGAGCAATTCCTGTAAAATTCTGTTAAAAATAATTGAAATCCTGCGATTAATTTAATTATTGATAAACATTGTTTTAAATAATTATTTTTTCGAAATATAAAAAATATTATGAAAATTTTATTTTAAATAATTGAATTCTTGTGGAAAACTTTATTTGTGAAAATAAACGAATTTTTTGATTAATTAATTTAAAATAGTATTAGCTTAGAAACTGCTACCTATACTGTAACTTACCAAAATTATTTTCAAAGATTTCAATTCAATTATTTTCTAGAAATTTTAACTAAAATTCTTCTCTAATTCTATTATTTTTAATATTTTTTGAGAAAGTTGTTTAAAAATTCAATTATTTCAAAAAAGATTCCACGTAAAACTAAAATATTTTCAAAATCCACTTGTTTTCAAGACAATTTCATGAAATCTCGAATATTTAAAAAAAAATTCAATTACATATATATTTAAATATATAACCAATTAACCAATGTTACGCGCGGAACGTAATATTCAGTTTATTATATTATTTTCATAAACAATAAAATTCTTCTGAAAAAATCAATTATTTTTATAAATAATATAATTCTTTGAAAAAACAACAAAATTTTAATGAAATTTCACGAAAAAATGCAATTATTTTTATAAAAAGTAAAATTGTTTGGAAAAATTCAATTATTTTGAATATAATTTTAATAAAATTTTATGAAAGACTTCAATTTTTAAAATTTATTTTTAATAAAGTTTTTCGAAAGAATTCAATTACATATTTTCAAAAATTTCGAAAAAATATTTCTAAAAACTTCAATTATTTTCATAAATATAATAAAATTGTTTTTACAAATTGAATTATTTAAAAAAAATGCTTATAAAATTCTTCGGAAAAATTCAATTATTTTTTTAAATAATAAAATTTTTTGAAGAAACAAAACCATTCTAATGAAATTTTACGAATGTAATCAATTCTTTTCTAAAATTTTAATAAATCCTTCAAAACAATTCAATTATTAAGAAACACGATTATTTTGAAAAACTTGAAAGAAATTGTTCATAAAATTCAATAACTTACAAAATTTTCAATTTAAAATTATTAAAAAAAACTCCACTATTTAAAAAAAATGCATAAAAATTGTTCAAAAGAATTGAATTAGGGTTTTTTAAAATTTTAATAAAATTCTTCACCAGAATTTTATTAAAAAATTTTGTATCTGAAATTATTCAAAAATTAAAGATGATTATTTAAAATAAAAAGTTTTGCAATTTACATAATTATAATAAATTAAATAGCTTGTTTTCCTAGTAATTCATATATTATTTACAAAAATTAAAAGCGCAACTTTTAAAAAATTAAATTATTTTTTGAATTTTTCAATTAAATTACTCCCAATATAATTTAAAATAAATTCAATTTCACATCTGTAAAGTTCAATTATTGTCTAAATTGAAAAGAATTTAAAATTAAATTGAATGTTTTCTTTTTCTTAAAAGACTCTTGTGTTGAACAACAAAGTTCAGAATTTTCTCATGACTTCTAAAAATTAAATAATTTTCCAATACTTTTGATGAAATTCCCTGACTTTTTCTCTTTTTTCTCTTACCTGTGGCAACCCTGAATATGTATTTTAAGGAAGAATCTGACAAATAATCGGAACAAAAGTTAGTCCAATGTAATAATTTCGTATTTTAAAAGAAAACGTCAAATTAAATTTTTAATTTCTTCTTGTAGAAGCGTAAGAAGTTTAATTTTCTGCATTTTTAACAATTTAAAGTTATATTCGAAGAAAAATTACAATTATTTGTCAATAATAAATTATTTAAGTCATTTACTATTGTCCCGTTTATAAATAAATAAATAAATATAACAAATGTTTCTTATTGACAGAAAATTGTAATTTTGATTCAAATGCAACTTTCAATCTTTCCACCAAAACGAATTTAAAATTTAATTTGTCTTTTTCTTTTGAATTACGAAATTTTGACATTGGACATTGGATTTTTTAATAAAAAATTTCAAAATTCCCAATCGAGAAAAAAATTTCCTGTAATTTCCCTGTGAAGTGTAAAGTCTAAATTTCGTGTGCGAAAATCGTGATATCCGCACAGTTGGAGCGCGAAATCGGTTATGCTTTTTAGACCCTCAATTTTGAGACTGAAACTCATCATTTTGTGAATAAGAAGTGAAAAAAATCGCCACTAAATTGAAAACTATTGAAAACTAAAATACTTGAAAACAAAGAACAAATTTGTCTTTTTAAAAAAGAGTAATTTTAACGTACTTGTTGATGCACCATCATATGACGTTGCAAATTGTTAACACGATTAAATTCACGACCACACACCTCGCAATCGAATTTCCTATCCGGATCGTGAGTTTTCAAGTGAATACTCAAGTCTACTGAGCTGACGAATGTCTTGTGACAGACGTCGCAGGCGTGGTGTCGCTGTTCCGCTGCACGGTGGGACAATTCGTGTTTATCGAGGTTGGCTTGCTCCAGGAATCGGCGTCCGCAGTAAATACAAGGAAGTGGCTTTGAATTGGGATTGTGGAGGCTCAAGTGCCGGCGGAGAGTCGGCGCACTTGGGAAACACTTGTGACACTCGAGGCATTGGAAGGGACGATCTCCCGTGTGCGTCTTGCGATGACGCGCCAGCGAATTCTGGTCCGGATACCTGCAGAAAAAAATTATTAGATACTCAAAAAATTTTCTAATGCGAATTATTTTAATTGTAAAATTATTCGAAAACATCAATAACTTCTTTTTTAAATAAACATTTAATCATCATTATTTTTCCATAAAAATATTATTAAAAAAAACATGAAGATACCGATCACTCCGAGTCTTCGACTCGGAGCAATCGATATCTTCATGTTTTTTAATAATTAAAGATGACCGAGTGATAAAATAATAATATAATTTTTTAAATTTTTTAATTTTCTTATAAGAATTTTGTGACTAACTTATTCATAATTATTTTCAACATTTCAATTCAATTATTATTTTCTACAATTTTTAACTAAAATTCTTATAGTCAATTATTTTTAATCATTTTGGAAAACGTTATTTGCAAATTTTAAAATCCATTTGTTTACAATATTCAATTTTACGAAATTTCATACAAATAATTTCAAAAATAAATTCAATTAAACCTTTTCAGGAAAATTAATTCTACAGAATTTTTAGTTATAAGAACGAAAAATTCAGATTATCAAAGATTTTAATTTAAATCCTTTTCAAATTTCGATTATTTCTAAAAATTCATGCTATAATGCTTGTAATCTAAAATTTTAACAAAAATTCATTTTTAAATGAATTTCTATTAGAAAATTTTACAATTTAATTATTTAGATACAAAAATAATTTATTGAATAACTAAATGGTTCTTGAAATTTAATTCTCATAAAGAACTTTAATAACAAATTTTTGAACAATTGAATTGATTTGACAAATTTTAATAAAATTTTTAAGAATTATTACATTTTTCGAGGAATTTGATTAAAATTGTAAAAAATAATTGAAACTCTGAGCGGTGAGTTTAGTATTTATAAAAATAATTGAAATTCCTAAAAAGAATTTTATTATTTATGAAAATAATTAAATCGCTGTAGAAATTTTTATATAATTATTTATAAAAGTAATTGAATCTCTGTAAAATTTTGCCAAGAATTTTATTAAAATTTTTAAAAATAATTGAATTTGGGAGATGAATTATATTATTAATAAAGATAATTAAACTTTTGAAAAGAATTTTAAAAAAGTTTTAAACATAATTGAATTTCTGCAAACATTTGTAACTTTTTCAAAATTCAGTTTTTTAAGTGTTTTTAACTAAAATTCTTTTATAAATTCATTCTTTTTAATAATTAAATAAGTATTAAAAATTCAGATTTGCAAAGATTTTAATTTGAAACCATTTCAAAATTCAATTATTATTATCTAAAATTTTAAAAATCATTAAATTGAGGAAAATTTTTGAAAATAATTAATATTTTGCCAAGAATTTTATAAAAGTTTTTGAAAATAATTGAATTTTGGAGAAGAATTTTATCATTTATAAAGATAATTGAAATTATGACGAGGATTTTTAAAAAAATTTTTGAACATAACTGAATTTCTTCGAAAAATTTTATTACTTTTGAAAATAATTGAATTTCTGCAATTCTTACAACTTTTCTAAAATTCAATCTTTTTTATTGTTTTTAATTAGTTCTGCAAAGAGTTTTTTTATTTATGAAAATAATTAAATTTCTAAAAAGATTTTATTAATTATCAAAATAATTGAATTCTTGCAAAAAAATTTATAAAAATTTAATTTCAGTGAAATTTTTATTATATTTATGAAAATAATTGAAATTTCGCCAAGAATTTTATTAAAATTTTTGAAAGTAATTAAATTTTGGAGAAGAAATTCAAGTTATTCAAGAATGAAGTTATTTGAAAGTAGAAGAAATTATAGTCAAAAATATAAAAAATTGAAGGTTTTATTATTAGAATTCGTGATAATTTTCATGGTTTATGAGGCACAAACAAAGGTTTTTTTGTTTGTCATTCTAAAGATGACCGAGTGATAAAATAATTATTTTAAATTATAAGAATATTGTTAGAGTAACTTCTTCAAAATTATTTTTATCATTTCAATTCAATTATTATATTCTGCAATTTTTAACTAAAATTCTTCATTAAATCAATTATTTTTAATCATTTTTGAAAAAGTTCTTTTTGACAATTTTCAAATCCAATTTCAGGGTGGCCGCAAGATTGACTTTATCAATTTCCCTGACATTTTACTGACATAACAACGAATTTCCCTGACAAAAATTTGTTTGTTTAGAGCAAAAAATGTATTGCATGACCGTCCTAATTTCTTTAATTGTCCTGACAAAAAAATTTTTCCTGACATTTCCCTGACTCTAAGAATAATTACATTTTTCGAGGCGAGGAATTCGATTAAAATTGTCTAAAAATAATTCTATTTAAAATAATTGAATTCCTGTGAAATTTTAATTATTTATGAAAATAATTGAATGTTTGCGTTGAATTTTATTAACATTTTTTTTTTAAATAATTGAATTCTTCAGGAAAGTTTTCTTAAAATAGTAGTTTTTGAAAATCTTTGAATAAAGAAAAACTTTTAAAATCAATTGAAATTTCGATAAGAATTTTAAAAAATAATTGATTTTCTTCGAAGAATTTTGCTGTTTATAAAGATCATTGAAATCTTGACGAGATCTTTTTTGTCATTTAAAATAATTGAATTTTTACAAAGAATTTTATTACTTTTGGAAATAATTGAATTCTTTATGATGAATATTGTTATTTATGAAAATGATTAAATTTCTTGGAAGAATTTTGATATTTATCAAGAAATTGAATTCTTTTTAAGAATTGCGTTGAAATTTTTGAATTTATATAAAATTTGTAAATAATTGAATTTCTGTGAAATATTTATTATTTATGATAATTAAATGTTTGCGTAGAATTTGTTTAAAATTTAAATAATTGAATTCTTTTGGAAAATTTTATTAAAATAGTAGATATTGAAAATCATTGAATTTAGGGAAATTTTTAATAATAATTGAAATTTTGACATGAATTTTATTTAAATTTTTGAAAATAATTTAATTTCGGAAATACATTAGTTTTTGATCCCCTCGATTTTTTTATAAATTTTGAATTTTAAGTTTGTATTCAGTCTGAAGAAAACTATTAAGTTCCAAAACTTATAGGAAAATCGACTGGGACCTAAAAATTTATGTATTTTCTGCGGGTTCTTTTGACGAAAAAAGTTTCAAAACTTTTCAATTAATTATTTTTGATGATTCAATTACCTCAGAAAAATTTAAATTAAAATGTTTCAAAAACCGAACTGTTTCAAAATTTCTAAATTAAATTTTTCTCGAAAGTTCAGTATTTTTGTTAAATTGATATTTAAATATTTATTGTTATTTGTCTTTCCACAGGAAAGTGAAACCAATTATTTCTAAGAATTCTTGACTAAAATTTTTCAAAAGTTTAATAATCTTTTAAAATAAATATTTTTCATTATTCACGCGAGTCGTTCAAACTTGAGAGTCGTTCTAAGTCAATCCCAGAAAACTAAAACTTTTACTTGATCGTTTCACGTGAAATGGCTTTTCAATATTCAATTATTTTTGAATAAATAAAATAAAATAAATGCAGTTATGCCTTTTCCCCTCAGAAGTGAAAATCGAATAAAAATGTAATTTGAGTTTTACCTTTTTGGACATAAATCACAAGGGAAATTTCTTGTTGTGATGTCTTCCTCGCGTGCGTGTTTCAACCTATTATGTTTAAGTAATTGTAAAGACGTCTTAAAGTTCTTATTGCATATCTCGCACTTTGTGTTCTCTGCAGTTGGAATAATGACCTGAGTTCGCTTCTGGCCATGCTCATCTTCCGAAATTATTAGAGAAATCGTCACAGTACTATCTTCATTGTCCATTTCTTGTTGAATATTGGAAGCTGTCACTATCGAGGTCTGAAATACATAGAATAACATTAAAATTTTCAAAAATAACTAAATTCTCAAGAAGAATTTTATTAAAATTCTTTTAAATAATTCATTTTTTTTAAATTCAATAAAAATTGTTTTTTTAAACAATAAAATTCCTTTGAAATTTTTATTATATTTATGAAAATAATTAAATATTTGCAAAGAATTTTATTAAAATTCTTTTAAATAATTGAATTATTCTGTGAAATTTTGTTTAAATAACAGACATTGAAATAAATTGAATTTCAGTGAAAATTTTCCTTATTTGGGAAAATAATTGAAATCTTACGAAAACTTAAATTTTCTTATCATTTTTAAAAATAGTTCAATCATTTTAAAGAATTTAAAAAAACTTTTGAGAATAATTTTTTTATTTCAATTATTATTAGCTTATTTAAAGTAGTATCCAAATAGTAGGAAATCGTAACAAAGTAGTAAATAGTAGGTTTTAGTAGAAATGAGATCTACAATTTAAAAAAAAAATTTATCCCTTTAGCTCTTATCAGACTTCGCACTCAATATTTAATTTTAACAAAGTATCAAAAAGTAGTTTTCAAACTAAAAAAAGTAGCTATCGATAAATTAATTTTCACTTTATCCCTGACCATAAAGAATATTCTGATTCACTCTAAAAATTATTAGATACTCAAAAAATCATTCTATTACATTTACTTACGAATTTCTTAAATTGTAAAATTATTCGCAAACATCAATAACTAAATTTTTAAATAAGTATTTCATTATTATTTTTCCATAGGAATTAAAATTCTTCAAAATATTCAAATTCAAACATTTTTAAAATTAAGCAACTTATAAGAATATTATATTATAAAATATGAAGATATAAATTACTCCGGGTCTTCGACTCAGAGTGATTGATATCTTCATGTTTTATAAAAATTTTAATTTCCATAAAATTTTTCAAAAAAAATTAAATTATTTACAAAAATTATAATAAAATTCGTTGCAAGAATTCAATTATTTTCCATAAATAATAAAATTTTTCACATGGTTTCAATTATTTTTAATACAATTTTAAATAAATTTCTCGAAAAATAAAATTATCTTCAAAATTTTTTGCAAAAATTAAATTAGGTACATTTTACAAAGAATGAAATTCTTCGCTGAAATTCAAAAATTTTCAAAATTTACATTTTTAATACAAGTTTTCAAAAGAATATTATAATTAATTGAATAAAATGTAATAAAATTCGTTGCATAAATTCAATTATTTTTACAAGTAATAAAATTTTTCACATGAATTCAATTATTTAAAAAAATGGATAAAATTCGTTGTAAGAATTCCATTATTTTCATAAATTATAACATTTTTCTGAGGATTTTCAATTATTTATAATACAATTCAAAGTAAATTCCTACAAAATGGAATTATTCTCTTAATTTTTTTCTAAGAATTTAATTACATTTCACGAATATAATGAAATTCTTCGCTGAAATTCAAATATTTTCACAAACTACTTTTTTAATAAAAGTTCTCAAAAGAATTCAATTATTTTAAAAAATGTAATAAAATTCGATGCAGGAATTTCAATTATTTTCATAAATAATAAGATTATTTACATTATTTCAATTTATTAAAAAAAAAATTGAAAAAATTCATTGCAAGAATTCAATTACTTTTATAAATTAATAAAATTCTTCACAGGGTTTCAATTATTTTTAATACAATTTTAAGTAAATTCTTCGAAAAATGAAACTAAATTATCATAAAGAATTTCATCAACAAATTTGAATATTTTCGAGAAATTTTAATAAAATTTTCAACAATAATTAAATTTTTCGAAGAATTCAATTAAAATTGTATTAAAAATAATTGAAATTTTGTGATGAATTTTATTATTCATGAAAATAATTGAATTTTTGTAAAAAATGTTATTATTTATGAAAATAATTGAATTATTGCGAAGTTTGCTTAGAATTTTATCAACATTTTTTTTTTAAATAATTGAATTCTTTTGAAAAATTTTATTAAAACTGTAGATATTGAAAATCATTGAATTGAGAAAAATTTTTTGAAAATAATTGAAATTTTGCAAAGAATTTTATTAAAATTTTTGAAAATATGTAATTGAAATTTGGAGAAGAATTTTATTATTTTTAAAGATAATTGAATTTTTATGAGAATTTTTTTTTAATTTTTGAACATAATTGAATTTCTGCGAAGAATTTTAGTACTTTTGAAAATAATTGAATTTCTGCAATCATTTTTAATTTCTCCAAAATTCAATTTTTTCCAGTTACTTTAATAAAAATCCCTGACTTTTCCCTGACTTGTGGCAACCCTGGAAGAATTATTTATGTAAATATATGAATTCTTGGAAAGAATTTTATTAAAATCGAAAAGAATAATTGACTTATTAAAAAAAAATTAATCAAAATTTTATTTAAAATAATTTATTTCTTTCGAACAACTTTTAAAAAATTTTTGAAAATAATTGAATTCTTGAGAAAAATTTTATTAAAATGTTTAAAAAGAATTGAATTTCTGTGAGAAATTTTATTTTTAAAAATAATTGAATTCTTGATAAGAATTTTATAAACATTGTTTTAAATGATTAATTTGTTTCGAAATATAATAAGTATTATGAAAATTTTATTTTAAATAATTAAATTCTTATCAAAAATTTTTTTAAATAGTTGTATTTCCATAAAAAATGTTATTATTAATGAAAGTAGTTGAATTATTCTTAAGAATTGTATAAAAATTTTGTTAAACAATTGATTATTTTGAAAATGCTATTATTATAATTATTATAATTTTTAAAATTATTTTTTTGATTTCAAGTATTATTTATCAAATTTGAAGTAGAAGAAATTCTCAAAAAACAGAAATAGTAGCTTTTAGTGGCTGAAATCTAAAAAAGAACCCAAATTAGTAGCATAACGTAAAAAAAGTAATAAATAGTAGGATTTAATAGATGAGTACGAAGCCTGTCTTATGGAACTCGAGATATTTATGAAAATATGAAATTCTTTTCTAACGTTTAAAAACCTCATACCTTTTTGCTAGTCACTTGTCGAGAGAAATCCATTTGAGGAATGTAATTCGTTTCTTCGTCTTGCTTATCTTCTTCCATTATTTCCTGTTGTGGTTCTTGAACCTCAGGCTCCTCGTTTCCAGTTCCGGCGATGGCATAGTTTCCATCCTCGGTTAAATAAACGGGCTGCAAAGTGCCAGTGTCATCTTTAAAGTAAAGCTGCCCGTCCTCGTCTTCGTGGAGAAATATTTGATCCTGTAAAATGAAAACATTGTGAAAATGCAAAATAAAAACAGTGTAATCAATTTGGTTCTATTTTTCTAGAATTTACCTGGTTACTGTCTTCCTGGGCCGGCTCAGCAGATTGCTCCGGCTCCCAGTCTTGTGCGTTCTCCATGGAGACGTCTGCGAATTCGTATTGCTGTTGATTTGGAGTTTCTACGATTGTCTCATTGTTCACGTACAAGGCGTCCAAATCTCCGCCTTCATAGCAGATTGGCTCATCTTCCATTCTCTCCATCTAATTAGAAAATTACATTTATTAACGTTAACATTACATTTACATTTACTTACATTTGCTATTGATTATTCGTTAACTTTTTCATTCTTTACAGTTTGAAATTTAGTTTTAGAAGCAAAAAAGAATACCTTTATAAAATCCGATTCCTGATACTTGGGATTATGGTTCGGCCTCACGACAGTCGAGGATTTCTTTGGATTAAGAACAGTATAAACTAAATTATTTTCTGCATTTTTTACAATCTCGTCCTGACTTTCGCTGTCAGCGTTACTTAAAGTATGATGATCGTATTCTACTTCGGTCCGGGAATTATCAGCGTCGATGTGATTATCTGCAAAATATTTGTTAAGTTAATAAATTGACACGAAATTTAGTATTTTTCAGAGATGATTTTCAATCATTACTTACTTCCTTGTTCCAATTCCTCGTCTTCCCAATCCTCTTCAACGTGATAGGCGACGATATTTCCAAATTCTCCTTTCGATAAACCATTGCCAACTCGATTCTTGACGCGTCTCATCGAAACGGCTTGGCCGTTCTCGATAAAATTGTCCTTTATGTACTCGTCAACTCTCTCTTTTTCAGAACATTCTTCTCGAGTCCCTCTTCTTTTCTGCACATCTTCAAATTCTTCTAAATATTCCTCCTCCAAATTCTCTGCCTCTTCCTCTTGTTGGCAATAAATTTGTTTCTGATGTGACTCAATTGCTTCCTCGTCCACTTCATCCTCCTCTACTTCCTCAACAATTTCTTCGATTATTTCCACAATTTCCTCGACTTCGCCATCCTCGCCATTTCCAACATCTTCAGATTCGAATATCACTTCCTCGCCCTCGACAACTTCCTCCAATATTTCTGTCATCGTCTTGCCATTTATTTCCGCATTGCCCGCCATCATTTTTTGCTTTTATTAAAAACACTTATATTTTCTAAATTTTATTTTGGTACATTATTTACCAATGAAAAAAACCTGCAACAAAATTAGACAATTTCCTACTCATGATTTTGCTGAAACTTATGGGTGATTCTTCCCTCAGTGGTCACTTTTGCTTTCCCACACGAAGTTGAAGTCCACAACGTTTATCAACGAAAAAAATTTATTTAATGCATTCAAGTATTATTTTTAATTTAATATTTAATTGTAAATTTAATTTGCAAAATAATTATTATGAAAATATAAACATCAATCTTTTTTTTCTAAATATTTTTGTGTCAATATTGCTGCGTCATTTTTAATTAATTTACTTAGTGAACAATTTTTTTTCGTTGGTCAACGTTCTGGACTTAAACTTGGTTCCCCACTGTTCCCTATTTAATAACTCTCAAAATTATTCTCAAATCTGCTTCAATTTTTTGCACAATTAATCTTCACTATGCTTTTAGTAATATCATAATTAATAAAAAATAATTTTTTTAAACAAAATAAATTATAGTTTAATTGGAAAAGGCTTAAAAATGCACTTTTCTTGACGTCTCAGACTTCGTACTCGATAATTAATTTTAAAAAAGTAGCAAAAGAGTGTCTTTAAGACTGAAAAAAGTAGTAAAAAAAGAAGCTACCGAAATATTAAATTTGACGACTCAATTTTTCCATAATTTCAAAATTAAATTACATTCAAAAATAGAATAATTTTTTAAATAGATATTTAAATACGTCTATTTATTTTTCCATGAGAATTAAAGTATTTCAAATGATTTCAATGTAAAGCCTTTTTGAAATTTAACTATTTCTAAAAATTACAACTGTAATTCTTCCAATATTAAATCATTCTTTTTTTTTTAAATTTTTAAATAAAATTATTCAAAACTAGAATCATTTTACTTCAAAATAATTAAATTTTAATATTACTACAGTTTTACAACAATTCAAATTTTCAAAGATTTCAATTTAAAAAAATCTTAAAAAAAAAAAATTAAAAAAATATTAAATATTATATATATATATATATATATATATATATATATATTATATTTATATATATTTATTATATATTATTATTATATATTATTATATTATTATTATATTAAATTAAAAAATCTTATGATATTTAATTGTTTCTAAAAATTCTGGCTATAAAACGTTCAATATTTAATTATTATCTAAACTTTTAACTGAAATTCATTTTTGAATGAATTTTTATTAGAAAATAGGTACTAAAAGAATTCAATAATTTAAATTTAATATAATAAATTATAATTTATTGCATAATTCAATGTTTCATAAAATTGAATTCCATAAAGAATTTCATCAACAAATTTTTAAGTAATAATTACATTTAAATAATAATTCTTCTTACAAATTTTAGTTAAATTTTTAATAACAATAAAATATTTTTAAGAATTTGTGAAAATTTGTTAAAAAAATATTTAAAATTCAGCGATGAGTTTTATTATTGATAAAAAAATTGAGTTCCTAAAAAGAATTTTATTTTTTATCAAAATATTAAATTGAATACTTGTAAAAAGTTGTATTATTTATAAAAATAATTGAATTTTGGCTAAGAAATTTATAAAAAATTTGTAAATAATTGAAATTTTATAAGAATTTTATTAAAATTTTTAAAAATAACTAAATTTTGGAGAAGAATTTTATTATTTATAAAGACAATTGAAATTTTAAAGAGCATTTTTTTAAATTTTTGAATTTTGTTTCTGCGAAAAATTTTATTACTTTTAAAAATAATTCAAATCCATTTGTTTATAATTCAATTTTACAAAATTTTAATAATGCGAAAATTCTTCAATTAAATATATAATTAGAAAATAAAAACATGAAATAATTTTCAAAAAAATTCAATTAAACTTTTTCAAAAAAATTAATTCTACAGAATTGTTAGTTAAGAGTGTGAAAAATTTTAAATTTCAAAGATTTATATTTGAAACCTTTTCAAAATTCAATTCTTTTTAAAAATTACGCTATAATGCTTTTAATATTCAATTATTATATCTAAAATTTTAATTCAAATTAAGTATTAAATTAATTTTTATTAGAAAATTCTACGAAAATTCAATTATTTAAATACAAAAATAAATAATTTATTGAATAATTCTATTATTTCGACGAATTTTTCGAGAAATTCGATTAAAATTGTATTAAAAATAATTGAAATTCTGGGATGAGTTTTATTTATGAAAATCATTGAATCCTTGTAAAAAATTGTATTTTTTATGAAAATAATTGAAGTATTGCGAAGAAATTTCTAAAAAAAAATTTGTAAATAACAATAGAATTCCTGTAAAATTTTTATTTTTTATGAAAATAATTAAATATTTGCGTAGAATTTTATTAAAATTTTTTAAAATAATTTAATTCTTTTGGAAAATTTTATTAAAATGGTAGGTTATGATAATCATTGAGTTGAGAAAAATTTTTGAAAATAATTGAAATTTTGACAAGAATTTTGTTAAAATTTTCAAAAATAATTGAATTTTTTGAAAAGAATTTTATTTCTTTTGAAAATAATTGAAATTTTCACGAGAATATTTACAAATTTTTGAACATAATTGAATTTCTGCGATGAATTTTATTACTTTTGAGAATAATTTAATTTCTGCAATTATTTGTAACTTCTTCAAAACTCAATTTTTTAAAACGTTTTTAAATAAAATTCTTCTATAAATCCATTATTTTTAATAATTAATTAAATATATATTAAAAATTTTAACTAATTTCAGAAGAATTTGAATTATTAAAATATTTCATAAATCTAACTTCTTTAAAATTTCTAATTAAATTCATTTAAAAGTGAAATTTGTAAAAATTTTGAATTAATTAATTTATTTTATTAATAGACAAAACTTGACTTTTTTAAACTTATTATTTAACCTGTAGATTAAAAATTAAAAAATTATTTATATAAAATACAACATTTAAGTTTATTTATCTAAAAAATAATTATTTTCAAGATTAATTAAAAAGATCTACGTAGGAAATTTTCAAAAAAATTAATTTTTTAAAAAAATAGTTACTGTATATATATAGTCAAAAGTTACCACTTCGTGGAGAATCACCCATATGCTAAATGTTGGAATCTGTTTTTTAATTTTCAATCCAACAATACTTTCTAAAAAATATTTTCTTTTTATTGTAAATTTCCACATGAAACGTCAAATGCACTAGTAAGAAAAGAACAAAATTGCTTTTAAAAACTTTGACAAACCAAAGAACTTTCACACACTAAAATTATTACTGCATCATATGCAGGCCTGATCATATGTGCATTTACACAAGAACACGAAAAAGCCGGAAAATAATCTAAAGTAATTAATTCCATATTTCAGAAAGTCTTGAATAGTCGTTTAAAGTATAAACTGTATAATTTCGTTAAATCGTTAGAAACTAAAGGAAAAAAAATTGATGAACCGAAAAATTTCAATCTCAATATTCAGACTGAATCAATCAGTCCAACACAGCTAGAGGTACAATTCATCACTATAGTCAAAACATGCAACAATGACTACAAAAATATCACAATTGTTCCAAGTAGAGGCAAAATTCTAAACAATTGACATTTACTGTACTTTTATTATTGATAAAGTGAATGAATGTAAAAACAATAGAGACAAGATACAGAATTCCCTTTAAAATGAGACAAGCTCTCTCCACAAAATTCTATTATAAACCAAAAGAAAATATCAATATTCCCCTTAAATAAAAATCCTACCCAATTAAATAAAAAATAAAAAAATCGAAAAAATCAGAAAACGCAGAAAACTATCAAAAATTTAAACTCAAATTTTTCTCAGTACGCGAGAAAACAATATAAAAATATTTTTATATTCAATTTCGATACAACAGTCGGTATGCAAATAACGAGTATTTATCAACGGATCGTCAAAATGGCTACGAATTGAGATATTTCACCTTCGCGCACTTTTCTCACTTGAGGAAATTAACAAGGCAAAAATAATAATTATCGAGTGTATATTTTGATTGTAAACACTTGACGAACCTTTTGTTGCTTTTCGAGTCGTGTATTTAGTGGAAAATAGGGAAAAAGGAGAAGCCACAGCGACCAACAAATGATTTTTACTCGGTCGATATAAATCAGGCGTTCTTCTTTCTCTTCACTGTGTTTCCTCACCGACTGACGCCACATTAGTTTCACCCACACGAAATTTACACATATGTGTATGTGAGGGACATATGTAACTTCCGGTTTCTTTACGCGGGAAATTTTAAAACTCTTCGCTTTTTCTCATGGTTGTCGCATATTTTAACAATTCAGTAACATTGAATTGATTAAAATACTATTTTCTTTGCATGTAATACGAAGATTTACATAAACAGCAGTTTTTAGAGGGTCTAAAGTCAAATTTTCCGGATGTGAACGAAAAGACCAAAAAGTGAGGTTATGTAACATCTTAATTCGTTAATCAATAAATGTTCACGTATTTAATGTTCCAACCAGTTGAAAGTAGACTTAACGGGTAAATTGACAATTTATATAATTTAATTTCTTCCGGTTTTTCCATATTTCAAATTATAAAAGTAATAATTAAAATAAAAGTTCTCATGGATTATTGAATTATATGAATTAATTTCAATTTTGAACAACGCCATCTGCAACTTCCGATTCTGCCATCTTCAGCTTTTCTCATGAAAACAAATGTCAGAAAACCGGAAACTTGTATTTTTAGTTCATTTGCCGCCAAACCATCAGTATTCTCCCGCGAATTAATTGTTTATCTGTAAATTTATTCTTTGTAAATACTTGCAAAAAATAGAAACTATCGGCGGTCGTACAATTATTTTAGTGTAAAATTTCAACAGAGAAAGTCTCTGTTGAACAGAAAAATTTGAAATTCCAAAGTATATTTATTTTAATCGCAAGAAAATAAATCATGGCTAAAGTTCAGTTGGCGAATGTAGCTGTTTTAGATAATCCGTCACCGTTTTTAAATCCCTTTCAATTTGAAGTTACTTTTGAATGCATTGAGGAACTCAAAGAAGGTAATTTTGTGACAAGCGAAATGTGACAGCAATGAAAAATTGAGTTTTGAATTAATTTCTTTTTTTCGCTATTTTGAGGTTATATTTGTATCTGGTCTGCGTGCATTTTTCACAAGTACGTCATTTTCAGATCTAGAATGGAAGATGATTTATGTCGGCAGTGCAGAGTCGGAGGAATTCGACCAAGTACTTGACACCATTTACGTAGGTCCCATTCCTGAAGGAAGGCACATGTTTGTCTTTCAAGTGAGTATTCATGGGGGTATTTATTCTTTCTCCTGTCGCAGTCGGAGAATTTTGCGCTGATGACACATTTTCCTGGCGATTCTCGACTGTTAAACGGGGTTTATTTTTTTATTCATTCTTCACTTCGATTTTTCTTCTATTTTTAAAAATTAAGCCCTTTTCCCCTTTATTATAACAGGGTTGCTACAGGTCAGGGAAAAAGTAGAATTGTTCTGAAAAATTAAGGGATTTTTAATAAAAGTACTGAAAAAAATTAAATGTTTAGAATTTATAAGAAAATTTGGAATATCTTTGTCTTTTTATTTGACTCATAAACTATGAAATTACCACGAATTTAAAAAAAAAACCTTCAATTTTTCTATTTCTGTCATACTAATTTATTTCGAATAACTTAATTCCATTGGAGACTTGCCATAAAGTTGTTACTTATAAATCATTCAATGAAGTATTTTTTTGAATAATTTTAATTTCAATTTTAAAAGTTTCGACGCAATTCTTTGAAAAACTTCAACTATCTTAATAAATATCAAAATTCTTTCTAGAAATTCAATTATTTTCATAAAATCTTAAATAAATGTCAACATTTCAATTATCTTTATAAATGAATAGTAAAATTTTTCCACAAAATTTAATTATTTTCATGAATTTTGATAGAATTCATTTCAAAAGTGCAATTATTTACATAAATAACAATATTCATAACAAAAATTTTTTTTAAATTCTCGTCAACATTTTAATTATTTTTATAAATAGCAGAATTTTTCGTCAAAATTAAATTATATTGAGGATTTTTTATAAAATTAATTGCAAAATTCAATTATTTTCATAAATAACAATATTCATCACAAGAATTCAATTATTTTCAAAAATTTAATTAAAATTCATGTCAAAATTTAAATTCTTTTAAAAAATTTGTCTTAATTCAATGATTTTCTATATTCTATATTTTAATAAGATTTTTCAAAAGAATTCAAATATTAAGCAAAAATTTTTATAGAATTTTATACAAACATTCAATTATTTTTTTTTTAAAAATGAAAATTTCACAGGAATTCAATTATTTAAAATAGAATTTGCATAAATTTTTTCGAAAAAAGTAAATTGTTTGAAACTTTTTTAAAAAATGATAAAAAAGACTCTTTGCAGAATTTCAATTATTTTTAAGAAAATTTTAATCAAATTCCTTGAAAAATGTAATTATTCTTAAAAATTTTATTAAAAGTCGTCGAAAAATTCAGTTATTTAAAAATTTGTTAAAATTCCTGATGAGAATTCAATTTTAAGAAACATTCGGTTATTCTATAAATTGTTTATTTTTGTATTTAAATAATTGAATTCTAGTAGAATTTTCTAATAAAAATTGATTTAAAAATTAATTTTAGTTAAAGTTTCAGATAATAATTGAATTTTGTAGAAGTTACTAATAATTGCAATTTTTAGAAATAATTGAATTTTGTAAAGATTTCAAATTAAAATCTTTGAAAATCGGAATTTTTCATACTTTTAATTAAAAATAGTATAGAACTAATTTTTTTAAAAAAGCTTTATCGAAATTTTTAAAAATTATTTCATGTTCTTATTTTCTAATATGTACATTTAATTGAAGAATTTCCGAATAATCAAAATTTCGTCAAATTGAATTATTGTAAACAAATAAATTTGACAATTCTTAGTAGAACTTTATCGAAAATATTACAGAAAACTTTTATTTGAACCAAATATAATTTATTTGACTTAAATAAAAATACATTTATCTCAGACCGTTACGAAAGTTTAGTTTCCTTTTAGTTTCTGAGTTGCCACAATACTAAATTAAGAAACTGAGTTTAGTTTCGTGTCGACCCGAAATTTAATTAACCAAATAAATTTAGTTTCATGTCGACTCGAAATTAAATTCTGTTAAATTCTACAAAGAATTCTATTAAAATTATGGACAATAATTGAATGTCTGTGTAGTATTTTATTACATTTTTTTTTAAAAATAATTGAATTTCTAAAAAGCATTTTATTATTTATGAAAATAATATTTGCAAAGAATTTTATTGCCTTAAAATAATTGAATTTTCGGGAATAATTTTGTTATTTATCTTTAATAATTGAATTCTTTTGAAAAATTATTTATGTAAATAATTGAATTCTCGGGAAAATTTTTATTAAAATCTAAAAGAATAATTGAATTATTTCAAAACAATTTAATTAAAATTATATTTAAAAGAATTGATTCCTTTCGAACAATTTTATTAAAATTAATTATGTGTTGAAAACCGAGTGATTAATATATTAATTATTATTATTATTATTATTATTATTATTATTATTATTATTATTATTATTATTATTATTATTATTATTATTATTATTATTATTATTATTATTATTATTATTAATATATTAATTTTATTAAAATATTTGAAGATAATTGAATTCCTGTAAAAAATTCTAAAAGTCTTGTAAATAATTGAATTCTTCCAAAGAATTTTATTATTTATGAAAATAATTGAATTCTTGTGATGAATATTGTTATTTTTGAAAATAATTGAATTTTTCAAAGAATTTTATTAAAATTCCTCAAAATAATCGAATTTTCGCGAATAATTTTGTTATTTATCGACATAATTGAATTCTTTCGAAGATATATTTATGTACAGTATTAAAAAAATAATTAAATTTCGTCGATGAGTCATGGTGGCCACATGTCAGTAAAGTCAGTAAAGTCAGGGAAATGTCAGGGAAAAAAATATTTTGTCAGTAAAGTCAGGGAAATGTCAGGAAAATTTTTTTTGTCAGGGAATTTTGATCGATATCCTGGAAAATTGTTATTTTCTAAAGTTTATTCTTGAAATCTAATTTTACATAAATATTTCAAAATTAATTAAATTTTAAAAAAGTTGCGTTTACAATTTTCATAAGTAGGTACATATGAATTTCAAAAGATTTTAATTTGAAATTTTGTAAAATTTCAATTTTTAATGAATTTAACTAGAAATCGTCTTAAAGAACGTAAATTTTTGAGAAATTTTAATTATTGCAATTCTTCTGAAATTAGTTAAATTTTTTAACCATTTCGGTGGCGTGGCGTTCCAATTGGCGTTCCACGTCCCTGGCCAAAAGTGGCGAAAACAGCGAAATGGCGTTCCAACTTTTTCTAGATTTTTAAAGAGTATATTTAATTTTAACCTACTGCAACAATATATTTCTATGTTTTCAATATCAGGGAACACAAAAATGACAATAAAAATTTGTTTTTTTAAGATTTTCATTGTTTTCTTGGACGTTGCAAATTGTCATTTTTAATATATATATTTAATTGATTATTAAAAATAATGGATTTATAGAAAAATTTTATTAAAAAACACTAAAAGAAATTGAATTTTGAAGCAATTACAAATGATTGCAGAAATTCAATTATTTTCCAAATTAGTAAAATTCTTCTTAGAAATTCAATTATTTCCAACAATTTTAATAAAATTCATCGCAAAATTCCAATTACTTTCAAAACTTTTCACAATTCAATGATTTTTAATAAATCTACTACTTTAATAAAATTTTTCAAAAAATTCAATTATTTAAAAAAAAATCTTAAATTCTATGCAAACATTTCATTATTTTTATAAATATAATAAAGCTCATCTCAAACATTCAATTATTTTTAATACAATTTCAATGAAATTCCTAGAAAAATAAAATTATTCTTAAAAATTTTATTAAAATTCATCAAAGAAATTCAATTATTTAAAAAGACATTTTAATAAAATTCGTCTCAAGAATTCAATTATTTTCAAAAGTAATATGATTCTTCGCAGAAATTTAATTGTGTTCAACAATTTACAAAAATTTTTCTCCGAAATTCAAATATTTTCAAAAACTTTAATAAAATTCTTGGCAAAATTTCAATTATTTTCAAAAACTCTTATAAAAAAAAAAGTTTCAAAAACTCTTTTCTCTTTGGAGAAATTCAATTATTTTAAATAAAATTTTAATCAAATTTCCGAAAAATAAACTTATTTTTAAAAATTTTATTAAAATTTATCAAGAGAATTCAATTATTTAAAAATTTGTTGATAAAAGTCTTTATAAAAATTCAATTTTAAGAAACATTCAATTATTTAATAAAATGTTTTTGTATTTAAATAATTGAATTCTCGTGGATTTTACTAGTAAATATTGATTTAAAAATGAATTTCAGTTAAAATTTTAGATTATTATTGAATATTGAAAGCAATATAGCGTAAATTTTTAGAAATAATTGAATTTTGAAAATGTTTCAAATTAAAATCTTTTAGAGAATTTGAACTTTTCATACTTTTAATTAACAATTCTGAATTTATTTTTTAAAAAAGTTTAATTAAAATTACGTAAAAATTAATATTGAAAATAATTGAATATTTACGAAGAATTTTATCATTTTTGAAATGAATTGAATTCTTGTGTAGAATTTTATCAATTTTGAAAATAATTGAATTCTTGGGAAGAATTTTATTCAAATTTTTTGAGAATAATTGGATTCCTGCGAATAATTTTATTATTTATAAAAATAATTAAATTCTGGACAAGATTTTTAAGGAAATTTAGAATTAATTTTTCTCAAAAAGTTTAGGTAATGCGGAATTTTTTTATAATTATTTAAAGTTTTTAATTTCTAATTTATTTTTTTGAAAAATGTCAGAATAATCGAAAGTTTAGGTAAAATTGAATTGTAAACAAATGGATTTAAAAATTCTCAAAGAAGAACTTTTTCAAAAATTATTAAACAAAATTGTTTTAAAAAAGAATTTTAGTTTAAAATTCTAGAAATGAAGAATTGAATTGAAATGAAAATAATTTTGAAGAAATTACAGTAACAATATTTTTATAATATAAAATAATGATAGTATCAAGTTTTAATTATTATAAAACATAAAGAAAGCGATATCTTCTTGTTTTATAATAATATTCTTATATTTAAAATTTTTGAAAATTTTAATTTCTGTAAAAAAATAATAATGATTAAATATTCATTTAAAAACGAAGTTATTGATGTTTTTGAGTAATTTTACAATTAAAGGAATTCGTAAATAAATGTAATAGAACAGGAAAAAAGTCGTTTTGTCTGGAAATCAGGGAGTTTGGTAAAATTAAGAATAAAATTAAAAATTAAATTAAAATTAAAAATTAAATTTTGTAAAATATAAATGTAGTTTTAAAAACCTGGAAAAATTACGTTTTTTAACCTGGAAAACCTGGAAAAGTCAGTGAATTTGAAATGAGGAAAAGCGTGGCAACCCTGAAATTATTTATGTAAATAATTGAATTTTGGATGATTTATTGATTTTCAGTATTAGCGAATTTAAAGTAGTGGAAATTCTCGAAAAAAACAGAAATAGTAGCTTTTAGTGGCTGAAATCTAAAAGAAGTATCCAAATAGCAGCATAACGTAAAAAAGTAGTAGTAATAAAAAATATTTGTAATATGTTTGAGCTAAAAATGATTGTCTTGCAGGCGGAGCCTCCAAATGTGAATCGGATTCCCGTAAATGATGCCCTGGGTGTGACAGTCGTCCTCCTCACGTGTTCGTACCGAGGCCACGAGTTCGTGCGCGTGGGCTACTTCATCAACAACGAGTACACCGACGTCGAGCTCAGGGAGAACCCGCCCCCGCAACCCCAGTTCGACAAGGTGCAGAGGAACATTCTCGGCGACAAGCCCCGCGTGACGAGATTCAAAATCAACTGGGACGACAGCACAAGTCCCAGCGCGAGCGCCGATGCGGACGCGATGGACGCCCAGACCACCGTCGAAGAGACCACCGAGGACATGCCTTCGACTTCTCTGAGTTTTACGGAGAACACGCAGAACAGTATGGAAGTTATGTGAATCCCTGATAATATTTCCGCTGATTTCCGCCAGCAAATGTGAGTTACGTTTCATTTCCAGTGGGGACAGTATTCACATTCACCTTAACGAAGGGATCGATTAGCAAACTCATTTTTAAGTCATCAAGTTATTTAATTACATGTGTATAAAATTGTTCGTCGATTGCGACATCTGTTAAAAAGTCATTTTTTTTCTTTTTTTCTTTTTCTCTTTTTTTGACACTGAATTTAGTTAATTTCAAAACAACAAATTTATTCATTGAATGTTGTGCTTCGAATCGTATTATTATTTTATTCAATGAATCTTTTTAGAATAAGTCAAAATATTGTTCCAACATGTACATAAACATATAGAGTTACTAAAACGCGATAATTACATATGTTTTCTATTTAGATAAAAGAGATTGTCTCATTTATTCTACTTCCTGCCAGCATCGTTTTTTTATTCAAGAATAATTTAATTTCTTCTTCTCAATTTTTACAGAACCTGAGGATTCTATTAGTGGAGATTTGAAATTCGCTGCACACTGTGGGATTAACTGTAGTTAATCCCCTTTTTTATCCCCTTAAATTAATAAAATCCTCTAAAACACCTAACATCAGGCAATTAAAAAATTGTCATTTTTTTTAAGTTAGAAAAATTTTTAGTTATGTTAAAGAAAAATATTTTTACTTTTTGCAATCTTCGGAGAAATTACTTCCTCATAGAGAAAGGATTATATTTTAGTTTTTTGAAACATAAAAATCTTTTTGTTATTTTCTCAGAATTTTAAATTTGAAAATTTCTAAATTTTAAGCAAATAAATAACAAGAAGTATTTAAATAATTATTTATTTTACAAAAATTATTGAAATTTGAAAGATTTAATTCGAAAATTCTGAGAAAAATTAAGTTTTTGAAAAGTAGGTAGTAATTAAAATTTTTTGAAGATAGGTACTTGAATTCCCGAAAATAATTTTTAAAAAATTGAAACAATTGGAGATTTTGTAAAATTTTATTAAAAATAAATTTTATATTTTTTTAAATAATTCAATTCTCGTAGTACTCTATCTAAAGAGCAATTATTTAATCAAAAATATCTCACATTCAAGTTATTGTTACAAATATCTTGACGATTTCTACACGAGTTGTTCAAATAATTCTTAATTTTTTATTAAATTTAAAGAAAAACTGTTAAAAAAACTTATATTGTTTAAGAAATAAAGAATAATTTCAAAAAGAAAATCTTTTAAAGTAACAATGGCAATGAAAATTTCACGCGCGTATAGTAATGCTAGTTTTTATAAAAATAATAAAATTCTTCGCAGTAATTCCATTATTTTTTTCCATATAAATAAAATTCTTCGCAAGAATTCAATTTTTTTTTTCATATAAAAAAATTCTTCTCAGAAAATCAATTATTTTCAATACAATTCTCGAAAGGATTCAATTATTTAAAGAGAATTTTAATTTCAATAAAGTTTTTTGAAAGAATTCAAAATATTTTTAAAAATTTCCAATTAACATTATTAAAAAAATTACATTATTTTCAAAAAATTTAAAGTAATTCTGCAAAAGAATTTAATTATTTTCGAAAACTCTAATAAAATTCTTGAAAAGAATTCAAATATTTTCATAAATAGTAAAAGTCTTCGTAGAAATTCAATTATTTTCAATACAACTTTAATAAAATTTCTCGAAAGGATTCAATTATTTAAAAAAAAATTTAATTTTAATAAAGATTTTCGAAAAAATTCAAAATAATTTCAATTATTTGCAAATTTTTTTTATGAATTTCTTCGCAATAATTCAATTATTTTCATAAATAATAAAATTCTTTTTATGAATTCTATTATTTTCATTAATAATAATTATCTCATTGCAGAATTTCATTTATTTTTTATACAAATTTAATCGAATTTCTCCAAAAATTATTCTTAAATTATTCTTAATTATCCTTAAAAAGTTTATTTAAAAACTAGCAAATGTTACGCTCGCCAGCGCGCAGAAATTGATATTCGATTTTTTATTATTATTATGCAAATTAAAAAAATTTTTATTTTCAAATATGAATTTTAAAATACATAATTTCAGATTTTAAATTTAAAAAAATTTCAATTATTAACTAATTTACTAAATAGTTATTCTTGTCTATTAATTTCAAAAAATTTAGTCAAATTCTTCGTAAGAATTCAATTATTTTCATAAATACATAATAACATTCTTCGTGAGAATTTAAAATATTTTTTATAAATAGTAAAATTTTTTACAAAAATTCAATTATTTCCAGAAAAATTTCTCGAAAGAATTGCATTTTTTTCTTAATTCGTTATTAAAATTTTTCAAAAGAATTCATTTATTTTTTTAAAAAATTTACGAAAGAATACAATTTTTTTCTTAATTCGATATAAAATATTTCAAACGAATTCAATTATTTTCTAAAATTTTAATATAATCCTTCCAAACAATTCAATTATTTTTTTAAATGGTAAAATTTTTTGCAAAAATTAAATTATTAAAAAAAAAAAAAATTTCGCGAAAGAATTCAATTTTTTTCTTTAAAATGTTTCAAAAGAATTCAATTATTTTCTAAAATTTTAATAAATTCTTCGAAAGAATTCAATTATATTTGTAAATAGTAAAATTTTTTGCAAAAATTTCATTATTTTCAAAAAAATTTAATGAAAGAATTCAATTTTTTCTTCATTTCTTATAAAATGTTTCAAAATAATTCAATTATTACTTTCTAAAATTTTAATAAAATTCAATAATTAAATGTTTAATTTAAATGATTAACAAACGCGATTATTTTAAAAACTTGACAGAAATTGTTCATAAAATTTAATTATTTAAAAAATTTTTAAAGACATTACATTATTTAAAAAAAATTTCAAAGAAATTCTTCGATGGTTTTCAATACATTAATTTTAAAATTAAAAATATTTAAAAAGAAAAATTATTAAAAAATTTACGAAACAAGAAAGCAATTAAAGCAATTAATACAACGATTATTAATATAGAAGATTGGTCAAAAGAATTGAATTATTTAAAAATTTGTTGATAAAGTTTTTTATGAGAATTAAATTTTAAGAAACATTCAATTATTCAATTTAATTTAATTTTTATTCTATAAAGTCCGAATTTTTAAATACTTTCACTGGTTCGAGACTTGTAAAATAGTATTTTTTGCAAATACATACTGAAATTATTGCTTCAAATACAATTTATTTGGTTTTAATAAAAAAAATACTCGATTCAAGTATTTAGATACAAAACCTCATTGGAAAAGTAATCGATTATTTAATAAATTTTTTTTTTAGTGTAAATTGTAATTAAATGAAGTAAAAAGTGTTGAAGAAAGTTGAAAGCTGCTTGAATAATTTATATATAAACATTTATTGTACACGAATAATTTACAATTTTATAAAGGTAACGAAAGGCATGTGATTAGCAACAGCGATTTTTAACGATTGAATTTTCTGCGTATTAACTATCATGAATCAATCATATGTGTTTATTCAATTCAGACATTATTTCAGAACTCCGTGCTTGGCAAGAAACTTTAAATAATTATGCATTTCACTTCTTTGTTTCATACGGCAACCATGGAATTCTTTAAATTCTTTAAACACAAAGGCCCTTGTTTCGCTTCATACAAATTTTCAAATATTTTTCTTTCAAAACTCATAGGTCTTTGTGTTTCACACTTATAGTTATTCTCAAATAATAATATTTCTTTATATATATATATGTATTTATTTATAAGTCAACACTATCTACAAATAGATTTTTTCATTCTCAAAGTGGCCGCCGCATTTCGTACAATTCACTTCGAAAATTCTACGAAATGCGAACGGTTAAGAATTTTACCACAGTAACATGCAGTGCACGGTAACAATAGAAAACATTATTCTATATGTACGTAAAAATCTTCAAAATTCACAAGTCAACAAATTAAAGTGGGATTCCTCTGGGAACGTGTATGATTATTCTTCCAATTCTACTTTTCGCATTTATCAGATTATGGAATTTGGGAATAATTTACAAATTCACAACACTTTTTAAATTAACGTCATAATCACAATTTTTCTCTTCAGAAAATCGGTGATTTTTATTAAACAATTTTTTATTAATTTTTATTATTAATAATTTTTTAGCATAAATTAATAATTCAATAGCATTTTTTCTTAAATATTGAAAATAATTTAAGAAAAATTAATAAATAAGATTATTTTTATATGCACAATGAAAATATTATACCTTTTTTGATTTAGAAAAATAAATATTTCTATTAATAATCAGGAACTATGAAAATTATGAAAAAAAGAAAATGAAAATAAACTTTTCAATTATATTTTAATATTTTTCATCAAAAGCCAAAAGTACTTAGTAGAAATGCTTTTGAAATGTTTTTATGGTAAATTTTTGATATAATTATTTCCTCAAGTTTCCCATTTAATAACTTAATAACGATTTTTTTTTATGATTTTCCGAACAATAACAGACTTTGCACTCGATAATTCATTTAAAAAAAGTAGCTTTCAAGCAAAAAAAGTAGTGAAAAAGTAACTGTCGAAAAATTAATCATGACGACCCAAAAATCTCTTTTAGACACTTCACAAAACTGACAAAGATTCAATTCTATATTTTATTTTCCTCACTTTTTCCTAATTTTCATCAAAATATTTACTATTCTGCTAATAAATTCAATTCCTGCTACGAATTTTAATACTTATCAAAAAATTTAAATATTTATAAAAATAATTTAATTCATGCCAACAATTTTATAAAATTCATTTCTTTCAACTAATTTTATGCAAATTCTAATTAAAAAAATTTAATTCCTGAGAAATTTTTATTATTCATGAAAAGAATTGAATTCTTACAAAGATTTTTACAAAAAATTGTTTAAATAATTGAATTCTGTTTGGAAATTTTAAAAAAATAGAAGATATTGAAAATCATTGAATTGCGAAAAGTTTTTAAAAGTAATTAAATTTTACAAAGTATTCTATTAAAATTTTTGACAATAATTGAATAGCTGTGTGGTATTTTATTAAATTTTTTTGAAAATAATTGAATTCCTAAAAAGCATTTTATTATTTATGAAAGTAATTGAATTCCTAAAAACGATTATAAAATTAATTAAGTAATTTTTTATCTAATTACCAAGAAGAATTTTATTACTCTTAAAAACAATTCAATTCTTGTGATTAATATTGTTATTTATGAAAATAATTGAATTTTGCAAAGAATTTTAGTAAAATGCCTCAAAATAATTTAATTTTCAGGAATAATTTTTTTATTTATCGACATAATTGAATTCTTCCGAAGAATTATTTATGTAAATAATTAAATTCTGTTTGGAAATTTTATGAAAATAGTAGATATTGAAAATCATTGAATTGCGAACAGTTTTTAAGAATAATTAAATTTTACAAAGAATTCTACTAAAATTTTTGACAATAATTGAATGTCTGTGTGGTAATTTATGACATTTTTTTAAAAAATAATTGAATTCTAATTCTAATTTTTGAAAATAATTGAATTTCCAAGAAGAAATTTATTACTATTCAAAATAATTGAATTCTTGCGATGAATATTGTTATTTCTAAGAACAATTAAATTTTGCAAAGAATTTTATTAAAATGCCTCAAAATAATTGAATTTTCGAGAGTAATTTTGTTATTTATCTTTAATAATTGAATTCTTTTGAAGAATTATTAATGTAAATAATTGAATTCTAGGGAAAAATTTTATTAAAATCGAAAAGAATAATTGCATTATTTCAACAAAATTTAATTAAAATTGTATTTAAAATAATTGTTTTCTTTCGAAAAATTGTATTAAAATATTTGAAAATTCTTGAATTCCTGTGAAAAATTCTACTATTTTTTTAAATAGTTGAATTCTTTCAAAGAATTTAAAAAAAAACATTTTTTTAAATGATTGATTTTTTCGAGGAATTGAAATTAAAATTTTTTTCGAATAATTACATATTTTGAGCAATTCCTATAAAATTTTATTAAAAATAATTTAAATCCTGCGATGAATTTTATTATGTATGAAAATAATTGAATAGTTGCAAAGAATTTTATTAAAGTGTTCAAAAATAATAATTGAATTAATGCGAAAAATTTTATTAAAATATTTAAAAAGAATTGAATTTCTGCAAAAAAATTTTTTATTTTTGAAAATAATTGATTTCTTTATATGAATTTTATATACATTGTTTAAAATAATTAATTTCTTCAAAATATAATAAATGTTACGAAACTTTCATTTCAAATAATTGAATTCTTGTGTAAACCTTTATTTGTGAAAATAATTGAATTTTTCGATTAATTAATTTAAAATAGTATTAAAAATAATTGAAATTCTTTGATGAGTTTTATTATTTATGAAAATAATTGAATTCTTGCTTAGAATTTTATCAAAATTTTTTTTAAAAAATTGAATTTGCATGAAAAAATTATTATCAGTGAAAGTAATTGAAATATTGTGAAGATTTGTATAAAAATTTGGTGGAAATTTTATTATTTATGGAAATAATTGAATTTTGGATGAATTTTATAATTTTTTTTTTAATAAGTGAATTCTGTTGCGAAATTTTTATAAGAATACTAGATATTGAAAATAATTGAATTTGGAATATTTTTTGAAAATAATTGAATCGTTTTAAAGAATTTGATTATAATTTTTAAGAATAGTTTTTTGATATCTAGTATTAGCGAATTTAAAGTAGTGGAAATTATAAAAAAAAAACAGAAATAGTAGCAGCTTTTAGTGGATAAAATCTAAAAAAAGTACCCAATTAGTAGCATATAACGTAAAAAAACTGGTAAATAATAGGTTCTAGTAGATGAGTGCAAAGCCTGTTATATTGTTTTAGAAAAGGTAGTTAAAATTGAAATATTTCCCAAATAAATTTAAAAGAAAAATTAATAGGAATTAACGCAGCAGAACATACTTGAGAAAAGTAGAAATTAAAAAAAAATAATCATCCACAAAATTGTACAACTTTATAATTTTCGATTAAGCATAAAATTGTTAATATTTGAATTTAAACACGATGAATTGACAGTTTACACTGTACTACGTGCACTTACTCCATTTATTATTATTAACAATATTTTAGTTTAATTTTCTTTTTAATTATTCTTTCTCTTTTAAAATTATCTTTATGCAATGTTTATTTAATTCTATAGAAAATTATGAAGGATTCGTCCATCTCTTCTATTCTACTTGTGCTTTTAATCTTATGAATATTCGTTTGAAAAATCACTTGTTTGGTAATTAAAATATACTCTAGCAAGAAACGAGAGACTAGAATGCTAGAATGCAATGAATAAAACAGTTGAAATAAGGCCATTGCTGCGAGTACAAGAGAGTCATCATCACTCTTTCTCAATATTCTAATTACCATTTTTCATATAGTTTTTAGGTTCTTCTCAATTTGATATAGATTATCATTTATTGATAATTAACATTTCGTTGCTCTAACATTAAGAAATGGATTTCGTGTGAAAACAATAAGTTGATGATGGTGAAACAGAACAATATTCTTATACATATACATATGTACATATTTCGATTTTCGTAATTCTATGTAATCACGGGGAGCTTGCACTAAGTTCGACCCAAAAATTCTTGCACGACCAATTTTTTTCTGGTTGTCTCAGTAATGTTTTATTTTTAATTAAATAATTTTTTTCCTTTCAAAAAAATTCTCAAAAAAACGTCTAAAACGCCGTTAAAAAAGTTTTTAAAAGTAATAAAATTCTTCACAGACATTTAATTTTGTTCAAAAATTTTTTTAAATTCTCGTCAAAATTTCAATTATTATCTTTAGAAATAATAAAATTCATCTCTGAATTTCAATTATTTTCAAAAATTTTAATAAAATTCTTGGCAAAATTTTAATTATTTTTAAAAATTTCCCTCAATTCAATGATTTTCAATATCAACTATTTTAATAAAATTTTCCAAAACAATTCAATGATTTCAAAAAAATTTAATAAAATTCTACTCAAACATTCAATTATTTTTATAAAATAATAAAAATTTCACAGGAATTCAATTATTTACAAACTTTTTATAAATTTTTTCGCAATAATTCAATTATTTTCATAAAAAATAAAATTCTTTTTAGGAATTCAATTATTTTCTTAAATAATAAAATTCTTTTTAGGATTTCAATTATTTTTCATAAAATTTTAATCAAATTCATCGAAAAATGTATTATTCTTAAAAATTTTATTAAAATTCCTCAATAGAATTCAATTATTTAAAAATTCTGTTGATAAAATTCTTTATGAGAATTGAATTTTAAGAAACATTAAATTATTTAATAAACTATTTGTTTTTGTTTTTAATTAATTGAATTCTAGTAGAATTTTCTAATAAAAATTGTTTTAAAAAATGAATTTCAGTTAACAAAACAAATGGATTTGAAAATTCTCAAAAAACTTTTTCATAAAATTATTAAAAACAATGGATTTATAGAAAAATTTTAGTTTTGGCGAAGTTACAAATTATTGCAGAAATTAATAATACAATTTTAATCGAATTTTTCGAAAAATTCAATTATTCCTAAAAATGTTATTAAAATTCGTCAAAATAATTCAATTATTTAATAAATTATTTATTTTTATATTTAAATAATTGAAAAAAATTGTAAATTTTAGAAAAGTTAAAAATAATTGCATAAAATCAATTATTTGCATTAAGTAATAAAATTCTTCATATAGAAATTCAAAGATGTTCAAAATATTTTAAATATCCTCGTCAAAAATTTCAATTATTTTCAAAAGAAATTAAATTTTTCTCTGAAATTCAATTATTTAAAAAAAAATACCTCAATTCATTTATTTTCAATAACTACCTACTATTTTTATAAAATTTTCCAAAAGAATTCGATTATTTTCATAAATAATCCAATTTTTACAGGGATTCAATTATTTTCATAATCAAAACTCATGCAGAATTTCAATTATTTTTAATTCAATTTTAATTGAATTTCTCGAAAAATGTAATTATTCTCAAAATTTTTTATTAAAATTCGTCAAAAGAATTCAATTATAAAATAAATAATTTACTTTTATATTTAAATAATTGAATTCTCGTAGAATATTCTAATAAAAATTAATTTAAAAATGAATTTCAGTTAAAATTTTAGATTATAATAATTGAATATTAAATTAAAATTGACTATTAAAAGGATGGATTTTTAGAAATAATTGAATTTTGAAAAGGTTTCAAATTAAAATCCTTAAAAGTTTTGAATTTTTACACCTTTAAGTAAAATTAATTTTTTTTGAAATAGTTTAAATGAGTTTTTTTGAAATTATTTGAAGTTTTTAATTTGTAATATTAATTGAAGAATTTTTGCATTATTAAAATTTCGTAAAATTGAAATATAAACAAATGGATTTGAATTATTTTAATTTTATTTATTTATTTATTTATTTTATTTTTTTTATTTTTTTTTATTTATTTTTATTTTATTTTTTTTATTTTTATTTTTTTTTAAATTTTTTTAAAAATTCTTTTTAGGAATATTATCTGTTTTTATAATAATAATAAACTCATCGCAGAATTTCAATTATTTTGAAAAAAATTTTAATTAAATTCCTCAAAAAATGCTATTGGTATTAAAAAAGTTTTGATAAAATTCTTTATCAGACTTCAATTTTAAGAAACATTCAATTATTGCATCATTTCTTTATTATTGTATTTAAATAATTCAATTCTCGTAAAAATTTTCTAATAAAAATAGATTTAAAAATGAATTTCAGTTAGAAATAAATTTCATTTTAGATAATAATTAAATATTAAAAGCATAGCGTGAATTTTTAGAAATAATTAAATTTTTAAAATAATTTTTTTGAAAAAAGATTAATTGAATTTTATTTTTAAATTATTTGTTGTTTTTTTTTCTAACATAGATATATATTTAATTGGAGAATTTACGAATAATTCAAATTCGTAAAATTGAATATTGTAAAAGAATGGATTTGAAAATTGTCAGAGAACTTCTTTGAAAATTAATTGATTTAAAAAAGAATTTTAGTTGCAATTCTTGAAAATAATAATTGAATTGAAATGATGAAAATAATTTTTAAGAAGTAGAATATTCTTATAATATAAAATAATTAATTTTATTAATTTTCCATCTTTAATTATTATAAAACATGAGGAAGTCGATCACTTCGAGGCGAAGACCCGGAGTGATCCATTTCTTCATGTTTTATAGTTATGAAAAAATTTAATTTATAGTTTTAAGTAAAATAGAAAGATTTGAAATATCTTTAAAAAAAATTGAAAGTTTCAGTTTTAGAAATTCCTCGACTAATTATTTTCATTTTTAGCCTTAAAATCATTGCTGGCATCGGCATCACTGAAGCAATGTCAGAAAAAAATTCGAAGTGCAAGAATTTTTTGTCGAATTGAATCCAAGCTCACCGTGATAACAAACTTTATATTACTTTCGTTTTCTTCACCTTTCCCAATATTCTTTCGTACATTTTCAATGTCTCAGAAATACACTTTTCCAAAACAATGTTTCGTTTATAAAACATTAAATATTTAAAAACTTTAATTTTAAATTGTAGGTATTTAATATTAAAAGTGAAAATTAAAATTTCAAATGCAACTTGACGATTAAATTGAAGTAAAGTAATGAAGATTGTAGGTATTTAATTTGTAAAAACGTATTTGTATGAAAAATGTAAAACATTCTAAAAACGGTCGGTACTCTTGTACCGATTTGGCAACATGAACAAATATTTTCGGATTATCAGCAATAATTCAACGAGTCATATATATATTTGCCTATCAATCTTTTCGTCTAATATTCCATTTAGTAAATGTACAGTTTTTATTTAAAATCCCCTTGAAAAGATGATAAATAATCCGCCACCTTTTTTTGTGATGGCAACAGTTTGGTGTCTTAAAATACAATCTTGATCTACCTCATGTAACTCGAGTTCGAAACGGCTGTGTCTTTATGAAATATAATTGGTTCTTTTGTACGCGACTATATTATGATAACATTTGTATATATTGTCTGTGAAAATTTCGTGTGTCTACTTTCGTTTAAATCTCTCACGCGATTTACCCTGGAAATTTAGTTTGTCGTTTTTTGTCTCTTCTGCCAATTGCTAGCGATTCAAAGACCTTCGGGTTTCGGGCGAAATGCAAACGTAAACTGGCCTGTAAAGGATCAGCGACGGCTGGGTCAAGTGGTCGGAGCCATCGTACACTTGTCCCAGAAGAAACTCCGGGCCGACGTAACAACCACCCTCCACGTGCTCTGCTGCTATTTCTAGATTTAAATAATAAAAATATTATTAACTTCAACATTTTTCACTTTATTATTTTTACGAAGGTCAAGTTCCCAACATTTATAATTAACGAATGGAAGAAAACAAATTTCTTTTTTGTTAAAAACAATATTTTTTGGTCGCAAATATTTTTTTTGTAAATTATTGTCAAAAAAAAATTATGTGAAATATTTTTATGACAAAAATTTCTGAGTAGTCGACTTTTTCACTGTAATTTAATGAAATGCTATTTCTTAGTGCAAAATGCAAGTTATTTATATTTTTCTAGTGTGAACTATGAAATTTTTATTGCAAGTTTCACACTCAAGTACTAAAATCTACTATTTACTAATTTTTTCACGATTTGCTGCTATTTGGAGAGAGTTTTCGTAAGAATTGAATTATTTTCCGTCCCAAATAATGAAAATCTTCGCTGAAATCCAATTAATTTCAAATATCAATTACTTAATTGAGAAAATGTTTTTTTTGAAATTCTTTGGAAGAATTCAATTATTTACAAGAATGTTAGAATTTTTCCCAGGAATTCAATTATTTTCAAATATTTTAATAAAAATATTCGAAAGAAATCAATTATTTTTAATACAATTTTAACTAAACTTTTTAAAAATAATTCAATTATTCTTCTAGATTTTAATAAAATTCTTCGCAAGAATTCAATTATTTACATAAATAATTCAATTCAATTATTTTGAGGCATTCTTGGAAATTCAATTATTTAAAGAATTGTAATAAAATCGTTCGCAAGAATTCAATTATTTTCAGAAATAAAAAAATTATTTTTAGGAATTCAATTTTTTTCAAAAAAATTTAACAAAATACCACACAGACATTCAATTATTGTCAAAAATTTTAATAGAATTCTTTTTCTTTTTAATTTTTCTTTCTTTTTTTAAAATTTAATTATTTCAATGTCTATTTTAACAAAATTCCCCAAAAGAATACAATTATCTAACAGAATTTTAATAAAATTCATTGCAAAAATTCAATTATTTTCAAAAATAATAAAATTTTGGCAGAAGTTGAATTATTTAAAAAAACAATTTTCCATTAATTTTTCAAAAAAAAAAATCAAATTTTAAAAGAATTTTTATTAAATTGTTCTCGGGAATTTAATTATTTTTGAAAATTTTAATGCAACTCTTTCGCAAAAATTCAATTATTTTCAAAAACTTTAATAAAATTCTATATAGGAATTGAATTATTTTCAATAAAATTTTAATTAAGTTTGTGGAAAAAATTGATAAAAATTCATAATAAAATTCTTCGCTGAAATTCAATTACAAAAAGTAGCTATAGAAAAATTAAATTTGACGCTTAAAACAACTCGTTTTAGATGATTCAGAAAAATCACAAAAGTTTGATACTGCATTTTTCTTTCTAATTTTCATCAAAAATATTTATGTTTTTTCTTATACTGCTAATAACTTCAATTCTGAATTTTTAAAAAAATTCAATAATTTTTGAAATTTGAATTGTAAATTCTTCAAAAATACGATAATATTTAAAAATAATTTTTAAATGTAGAAAAAAATTATTTTTTAAATGAACAATAAATTTATTTCAACAAAATTTCCAAATAATTCGAAATATAATTTACTCTTTTATGTATAATTTATGGGAGTTCTAGTATTTCAATAAAAATTTCCAAAGATTACAATTTAAAAATATTTTCAAATTTAATTTTATATTTCTAAAAATTCATAAATTCCTTTAAAAATTAATTATGAACTAAATTTTTAAAATTGAATTCTTATAAAAATTTTTATTGAAATTTATGAAAATACCTAATTGACTTCCACCGAAGAATTTTATTAAGTATTTGAATAATTGAAATTTCATTCATTTTTTTCCACGAATTTAGTTTAAATTTTATTGAAAATAAAATTCAATTCTTATAGTTATAGAATTTTATTAAAATTTTTGAAAATAATTGAATTTCTGCGAAGAGTTGCTTGAAAATTTTCAAAAATAATTAAATTCCCGAGAAAAATTTAATAAAAATTCTTTTAAAATTTAATTTTTTTGGGAAAAATTAAATAAAAATTGTTTTTGAAATAACTCAACTTCTGTAAAAATTTTATGATTCTTGAAAATAATTGAATGTTTGCAAAGAATTTTATTAAAATTCTTTGAAATTATTGAATTCCTTTGGAAATTTTGTTAAAATAGTATACATTGAAATTAATTGAATTTTAGCGAAGATTTTCATTATTTGGGAAAATAATTGAATTCTTATGAAAACTTTTCTTTAAATTTTGGAAAATAATTCAAACGTTTCAAAGAATTTTTCAAAATGTTTGAGAATAATTTGTTTATTTCAATTATTAACTGATTTAAAGTAGTGCAAATTCTAAAAAAAAGAAAAAAGTAGCTTTTAGTGACACAATTTGAAAAAAAGTTATCCAAATAGTAGTAAATCGTAAAAAAGTGGTAAATTGTTGGTTTTAGTAGATGAGTGTGAAACCTGTTATTCAGAAATTTTTCGATTAAATATATTTATATTAAATAATAAATTCAACTAATTTTTAATTAAAATTATTCAACATTCAAATTTTCAAAAAATGTAAATTTGAAATTTTTGTTTTTGCTGAACACAAAAGTACAGAATTTTTCTTTTGTACGCTGCCAGAGTGGTCACATGTCATAAAGTCAGTAAAGTCAGAGAAATGTGAGGAAACAAATTTTTTGTCAGGGAAATTAAGAAAATTGAGACTTTTTTCGACTTATTTTCAAAAACTGCGACTTTTTCGACTTTTCTTCCAAAAATTACAACAAAATACAACAATTTTTAATAAAAAAGTGCAACTTACTTTGATTTTTTTAAAGCGAAAAATAACTATAAACAAATCTTTCAAAAATTGTTTCTGAATCATTTTTTAACATAATTAAATTTTTCAAATATATCTATAATAAAAGTATTTTTGAATAGTTGAAATTTTGTAAAATTTAGTTGAAAATAATACAGAAAAAAATAATAACATTTTAGAATTATTTTTAACATTCTGGAGAAAACAATCATGTTCAAAATTTTTATTTAAAATTCATCAAGAAATTAATTAGTTTTTTTTTAAATCTTCAAACAATGTAAATAAAAATTTATGAAAATTTACTTTTTGGACTTATTAAAATTTTCGAGAAATCGTAGTCGAATAATTAAAATTTTTCAAAAATTTGATAATTTTTATTTATATTTTTCAAAAATTCAATTACTTTTAAAAGATTTTACCAAATTTTGATTGTTTGGAAATTTTTCAAAATTGAAAAACTATTATCTTTCAAAAATTATTTAAAAATATTTTTAAAAAATTAATATTGTAAGAATTTCTTTATAATTTTTTGAAAATATTATATCTTAATAACTTAAGAAAAAACTATTGAGAGTTACAATTATTATAAAAAATTGAGTTTTTGTATTTAAATATAATTGAATTCTAAAATATAAATTAATTGATTCAGAGATTAGTTTAGTTTAGTTTAGTTGAAAATTGTAGAAGATAATTGAATTCAGAAAAGGTTATAATTGTAATTTTTAGAAATTATTAAAATTCATAAATTTTACTCATTTTCCGTAAACATTCATATTTTTCTGAAAAAAGAATGTTGTCAGGGAAAGTAGTTTTAATGTCAGTAAATTGATAAACCAAAACTTGTGACCACCCTGAATTGTAAAATATTTTTTCAGCACTTTTGATGAAATTCCCTGATTTCTCTGACCTGCGGCAACCCTGAAGTCATTAAAATAAAATGAATGAAATATTTTGTAGAAGCTAAACTTTGGTTAAAAAATATTTGAAAACCTGACAAAATAAGTGACGAAATAGATGATAAAAATGAAAAAAAGTAAAAAAAATGAGATATTTGAAATTATGGAAATAATTGAGAAATTGTTTGAATCTAGTTTGCAGAGTGGATGAAACTAATAGTTTTGGCATGCTTGAGGTGAGTGGAGAATACGAACCATATTTAATTTGCGGTTGCTTGGTGATATTGGGTATCCTGAAGGGGACAGTGGCGACTGTAATGGGAAAGTGCATTTGCATATCTTCGCCGGATTTTTCCAACTGCACGCTGACCTGATTCACAAATCACAAATCACAAATCGTTAATTGTGTCGCGGAAAATCGGAAATTCATTGATTGTAATATGATGTGTGTTGGTTCGTACCTTCAGCACGTAGTATATTTGTATCAGCCGACAAACACCTACCAGCGTGGGCGGACAGACAGGAAGAACCATTGTTTTAGCCGAGTCCCACTTGACGGCTGTTCCTGGCAAAACTGGCTCCCCTTTGTGCTCCAAAACAACTTTCTGCAACTCTTTATTCGCCCCCAGTACGCCCCGGTCGATGAAGAATTCCACGTACTGGAAAAAACATTTTTCCCATTTACATTCTACAATTCATTATTTGCATCAGGACTTTTTGCATTAACTAAAATCATCTTCAACTTCATTCTATCATTTTTTCTTTCTTTTTGACGACATAAATTACAGTCGACTCTCAATAATTCCACGTTGAAACGCCTGTACTAATTTATTCAGGTTAATGAGATTAAGTTCCTAGAAAGTTAGCCCTCCATTGGACTAACAATAAGTTTGATGACAAGAAACTAAAACTAAAATAACTAAAAAATAAAATAGTACGGTCAAAATAATAGCAATAATAAACTAGATATAAAGATAATTATGCAAAATAAACAAGGAAAAAAGAGGAAAAACTGAAAATCTCTGAGATACAAAAATAAAACTAAACGTAACAAAAGAGACTTCGTACTCGATAATTAATTTTAAAAAAGTATCAAAAAGTTGCTTTAAGACTCAAAAAAGTAGTGAAAAAGTAGCTATCAAAAAATTAAATTTAACGATTAAATTTTTTCATAATATTCAAATTAAATTACATTCAAAAAGAAAAGAATTTTTTAGAATAAATATTTAAGAAGATTCTCCGGAGCTATTACTCTTAAAAAAATCGATTTTTGTTAAATTTTCTTCAAATTGTGAGAAAATGTTTTCTCAAAATTTGAAAAAAAAATTAACGAAAATCAATTTTTTCAAGAGTAACATTAAAGAGAACCTCCTTAAATATCTACTTATTTTCAACAATTCAAATTTTCAAAGATTTCAAATTAAGAATCGTTTGAAATTTAATTATTTCCAAAGTACTATAACGCTTCTAACATTCAATTACATATTATCCAATTTTAACTGAAATTCAATTTTAAATCAATTCTCATTATAGAAAGTTCTACGAGAATTAAATTATTTAAATACAACAATAAATAATTTATTGAATAATGAAACATTTCTTAAAATTGAACTCTTATAAAGAACAAATTTTTTAAAGTAATTGAATTCTTTCGGAGAATTTTAATATAATTTTTAAAAATCGTTCCATTTTTCTAGAAATTTATTTAAAATGTATAAGAAAATAATTGAAATCCTGCAATACGTTATATTAGATATTTATGAAAATAATTGAAATTTTTCAACCAATTTTATTAAAATTTTGAAAAATAATTGAATTCCTGCAAAGAATTTTATTATTTATAAAAATAATTGAATTTTCAAGAAGAGCTTTATTAGATATATTTTCTTTGATTACAGGACAAAAAATAAAATTCTTAAAATCCAAACCGAAAAATCCAAGAAAAAAAGTCCAAAGTACAAAAAATCCAAAATAAAAATGTCCAAAGTCGGAGGATTTTAATTATTCACATAAATAATAACATTCTACACAAAAATTCAATTATTTTCACAAATAAAAAAATTCTTCACAAAAATTCAATTATTTTCATAAATTTCAATTATTCTATAAAATTTTTAAAACAATTATTCCAAGAAATAAAATTATTTTCAACAATTTTGATAAAATTCTTTGTAAAAATTCAATTATTTTTTTGTGTACAATTCCAATTAAACTACTCCATTAATTTAATTTTTTTTAGAAATTTAAAATGTTAAGTTTACCTACTTTCAATTCACAGTCATCGAAATGAGCAACTCAAAAAAAGGACAATTTCATTCAAGGCAACCAATTAGATTTTTATATTTTTTTATTTATAAAAAATCCAAAAAATAAGTCCAAAGTGAAACTATTTTTTTTTTTAATTTTTTGGATTTCATTTATTTTTGAATTTTTTTGATTTGGACTTTTTGTTTTGGACTTCTTGTCCGGATACCATTTTTTTTAATAATTGAATTCTTGCGAAGATTTTTATAATAAACTTTTTAAAAAATTCAATTATTTAGCTAAAAATTGCAATTATTAGTAACTTCTCCCAAATTCAATTATTATCTTAAACTTTAACTAAAATTAATTTTTAAATTAATTTTTATTAGAAAATTCTACGAGAATTTATTTATTTAATTACAAAAGTAAATAATTTATTTAATATTTGAATGTTTCTTAAAATTGAATTCACATAATGAATTTTTTTAACAAATTTTTAAATAATTGAATTCTTTCGACGAATTTGAATAAAATTTTTTAAGAATAACTATATTTTTCGTGTCATTTGATTAAAACTGTATTGAAAATAATTGAAGTTCTGCAAATGAGTTTTATTATTTATAAAAATAATTGAATTATTACGAAGAATTTTATAAAAAAAAGTTTCAAACAATTGACTTTTTTTAAAAAATTTATGTAAATTATATTTTAAATAATTGAATTCATGTGAAATTTTTTACTTTTTTGGAAAATAATTGAATGTGGGTGTAGAATTTTATCAAAATTTTGGTTTAATAATTGAATTCTTTTAGGAAATTTTATTAAAATAGTAGGGTATTGAAAATCATTGAATTAAAAAAAGTTTTTGAAAATAATGGAATTTTATTACTTTTGAAAATAATTAAATTCTTGTGCTGAATACTATTATTTGTGAAAATAATTGAATTTTGCAAGGAATTTTATTAAAATTCCCGAAAATAGTTAAAATTTGTCGAAGAATTTTGCCTTTTATTTATAAAAATAATTGAAATGTTGACAATTTTTTTTGAGATTTTTTGAAAATAATTGAATTTTAGCGAAGAACTTTATTAATTTTGAAAATATTATTGAATTCTTGAGATGAATATTATTATTTATGAAAATAATTGAATTTTGCAATGGATTTTTTTTAAAATTCCTGAATATAATTGAATTTCGCCAAACAACTTTGCTATTTATAAAAATAATAATTGAAATGTTGACGAGATTTTTTTTTTAAATTTTTGAAAATAATTGAATTTTTGGAAAGAATTTAAATATTTATTAAGATAGTTGAATTTTTTCAAAGAATAAATTGCGTTTAAATTTTTCAACAGAATTGAAATTAAAATTTTTCAAAAAAATACTTTATTAAATGATGATGATTTATAAGTAATAAATTTATGGCAGTTCTCCTATGGAATTAAGTTATTTAAGGAGAAATTATTGTCAGAAATAGACAAAATTAAAGGTTTTTGGATTAGAATTCGTGGTAATTTTCTAGTTTATGAAGCAAGGAAAAAAGACACAAAAATTCAGAATTTTTTTGTGAATTCTAAAAATTGAATTTTTTTCAGTACTTTTAATAAAAAAATCCCTAACTTTTCCCTGACCTGTGGCAATCCTGATAAAAGATCTTTGCATTTTACAAGTTTGATTTACAATTCAATATTATTTTCAAAATTAATTTTAATCATTAAAATATTGAGTGTATTATATCAATACTAATTATTAGGATCCAAACGAGGATCGAAACGTCTAAAAAAATTTTAAAATTTAGTTTTTTTCATTTTAAATTTGATCCTACAAACCACAAAATTTCTACACTAATATAATAATTGGATCACAAAAGAGTCTTATATTCATTAATTATTATCATTAAACTAAAAAAATTCAGAGACAAGAAGAAGTCTTGCTATGAAAGATAAAGTAAAGCAAATTGCCATTAAACAATTAACGATTATCAAAAACTATTTGACTTTTATTTACCTGTGTTAATTTGACATTGAGCCAAGCCTGCTCCAACCCTCTGTTGTCGAGCGCTGCCCGAAGTTTGATACTTTCCCCGCAAACGTAAGCACTTCTCTCCAGTTGTGCACTCAATTCGACCGGATTTCTCCTGCAGCAGAAGCAGCAGGATGTGTGGACTTCAGAGCCAATCATCGGTTTCTGCAATCGAGATAGTTTCAATTCTTTTCTTGTTTTGGACTTTTGGATTTGAATTGAGCAGAAGAGAATAAGGAACTTACCAGATACTGTTCATCCATGCAGTCGATATGAGGCCCGATGAGAGTAAAGTATTTAAGACCTTGTGGAGGACTCGCGTACGGCCTGTCGACCGTGGCCTTAATGTAGTAACGAATGTAGCCAGTGCGCGATTCAAAACTGCACGGCAAAGCACTTTCGGGTAAATTGAACGTGAACGGAAACTGATGCTTCCCCCTCGGAAGAATCGGAATCGGTCCTTCGGAACTGTCTGCAAAAATTGTTAGATTCCATTTAGAACTCAACCAACTCAACCAACTCAACCAACCACAATAACTATCTCTGTAAATATTTACCATGTCCCCAAACTATAATTCTCTCGTCTACAAAATATTGATCATCTTTAACGTTCCTTCGATCACCGCTGACCATAATTTTCCACTCGGCGTGCGCTTGTCCCCGCAGCGATATTCTCACAGCTGAAACCAAATCGAAAGATTGCAATAGCACAAGAGACAAAATTTCTGCACTGGGCCACCAAAATAAACTTTTTAAATTACATAATTTAAAAAATTAAAAAGAAAATTTTAAACATAATTTTGTACTATTTTAGAAAATTCACTATTGCTTCGTTGTTTTTTTTATCAAATTTAATAATATTTAGTAGAGATGTACAAAAATATTGCCTCTATTAATGACAACAATCTCAATTTAAAAAAATCACGATTATTTATGCAAAATAAATTGCTAATTAATTAAACAATTCAAGTTTTAAGTGACTTCCAGGGCTCGAACCAGTGAAAATGGTAAAAAAATACGGACTTTACGGAACAAAAATGAAAAATTACGTACCAAATGCTGACAAAAATGTAACCATCAGTCCAAGTCAAATAAAAGAACATTTTACTTAAAACTATAAATTAAATTTTTCATAAATATAAAACATGAATACATTGATGAAGATAATCGATTTCTTCATGTTTTATAATATATTAAAGATGACCGAGTGATAAAATCATTACACAGGACCACAAAATTTTTTTTAAAGAAAGTATTGACCGGACCATGTTTTTTATATGTTTTTTGTGTCGCTTAATTCGAAACCGAACTCAGTTTTGCGCCATCACATCAAGTTTCTTCAAAATGGCGGATCCAATATGGCTAACGAATTATTCAATAATTTTTTTAAAAATTGGTCATCCATATTGGATCCGCCATTTTGAATTTTTGAAAACTAAGGTGAAATTCGTGTTTAGCGACGCCAAAAACCCCCGAGTAACAAGTTTCAGGCGAATTGGGTGAATTTTAAAAAAATCGACACCATATTTGATCCGCCATCTTAAATTTTAAATATTTACGAGTTTCTTTGATTGTTTAACATTATATAATATTTTTTCAGTGTTTTAAAGTTGTTGTTTTAATAGAATCTTTTGCTTATTTCTATTTAAATCTTCGTTTACAGTAAGTTTTTTTCAATTTTATTAATTTGTGAAGAAACTTGACGTGATGGCGGAAAACTGTGTTCGGATTCGAATTCAACGACCCAAAAAACATATAAAAAACATAGTCCGGTCAATACTTTCTTTAAAAAAAAATTTGTGGTCCTGTGTTATCAATTTAATTATTATTTTCAAGAATTTTTAACTAAAATTCTTCTTAAAATCGATTATTTTTAATAATTTTCGAAAATGTTCATTGACAATTTTCAAATCCATTTCATTACAATATTCAATTTTACGAAATTTCAATTATTTAATTTTATAGAAAATAAAAACTTGAAATAATTAAAAAAAATTTAATAAATTAAACTTCTTCAAAAAAATTAATTCTACAAATTTGTCAGTTAAAAGTAGGAAAAATTCAAATTTTCAAAGATTTTAATTTGAAACCTTTTCAAAATTCAATTATTTCTAAAAATTTACGTTCTAATGCTTTTTTAATATTCAATTATTATAATCTAAAATTTTAACTGAAATCCATTTTTAAATCAATTTTTATAAGAAAATTCTACTATAGAATTCAATAATTGAATTCCCAATAAAAATTTTATTATTTATGAAAATAATTGAATGATTGCGAAGAAATTTATAAAAAAAAATTTGTAAATAATGAAATTCCTGTGAAATTTTTATTATTTTTTGAAAATAATTAAAGGTTTGTGTAGAATTTTATTAAATTAATTGAATTCTTTTGGAAAATTTTATTAGAATGGTAAATACCTATTAAAAATCATTGAATTTTTAAAAAAATTTTAACATAATTGAATTTTTGCAACTAGATTTTTATTACTTTTGAAAGTAATTGAATTTCTACAATATCGCATTTGAAATTTTTCTAAAATTATCCAAATTATATCGTACAATTTACGGACTAACTATTAACTATTAACTATTAACTATTTACGGACTTTACTAACCTTTTTCAATCAAATTACGGACAGTCACTTAAAATTTTTTAAAAAAATTGAATTTTCGCAAATTTTTTTCGAAAATTCTGAAAAATAAGAGTTTTTGAAATTTTTCAATTCTATTGTTTCAAAATAATTTCAAAATAATTTTTTAATAAAATTGAATTTTCGCAAAGTTTTTTTTGAAAATTCTGAAAAATAAGATTCTTGGAATTTTTCAATTCTATTGTTTCAAAATAATTGAACTTTTATAAACAAATAATTGAAAATTTTTAAAATAATTGAAATTTGTTTATATTTTATTAAAAATAATTATATTCATTTAAAGAATAATTGATATTTATTTATTTATTTCATATGCAAAAATTGAAAAAAATTAAGAAATTATAGTTTTAAGTACAGTAAATTGAAAAATTAACAAAATCAATTGTTTAAAGAATGTTTAAATAATTAATTTTTAGTTTTTCTTTTCTACTTGAATGTTTTAGTTACAAAAAAAGTGCCCAATAAAGAAAAAACTATAAATTTCTAGCCCTAAGTACAGTTTATGACAAAAATAATAACAATTAATTGTTTAAACAATTTTTAAATAAATAATTTTCAATTTTTTATCATTTTTGATTAATTTTTTTAATTAATGAAGCTATATTCTTCGCCGAAATTTAAATATATTCAGGAGTTTTAATAAAATTCATTGTAAACTTCAATTATTTTCATAAATAATAATATTCATCACAAGAATTTAATTACTTTCAAAATTAATAAAATTCTTTGCAGAAATTCAATTATTTTCAAAAAATTTTAAAAAAATTGTTGTCAACATTTCAATTATCTGTATAAATAAATAGCAAAATTCCTTGCAAAATTCACTCACTTTCATAAATAATAGTATTCATCACAAGAATTCAATTATTTCCAAAAGTAATAAAAGTCAATTATTTTCAAAAATTTTTCTCAATTCAATGATTTTGGTTTTAGTAATTTTTTCTAATAAAAAACATACAAATTATAAGTCATCTTGGTTATGACAAAAAGTTTTAAATTGAAAATTTGTTGATAATAAATTTTTTTTTCGTAAAGTTAACAAAGACATATCGATTTGTAAGGTCCTTAAATTATTAAATTTATGGTTTATTTCGATTTTTTTGAAAAATGGATTTATCAGCTTTTGAAAACTTGCTCCTCAATTGTTTAAACATTATTGAATTAATTTATTTTTTATTTTTTATCATTAGTAGATATTTTTCTGGCCCTAAGTACAGTTTATGAAAAAACAACAATTAATTGTTTAAACAATTTAATAAATAAATTATTTTTTATCATCAGTAGATGCTGTACACCTGAAAAATTGTACAATAATTGAGAAAAGACTAGAAATTCTTAGCCTTAAGTACAGTTTATGAAAAAACAACAATTAATTGTTTAAACAATTTAATAAATAAATTATTTTTTATCATCAGTAGATGCTGTACACCTGAAAAATTGCACAATAATTCAGAAAAGACTAGAAATTTCTAGTTCTAAGTACAATTTATGTAAAAAATAACAACAATTAATTGTTTAAACTATTTAACAAATTGTTATACTTTTTTTCATACAACAAAAGAACACTCAAGCATTATTTTAATAGGGTGTTTTGATTAATTTTCTTAATTAATGAAGCTAAAAAAATATTTTTTTTACGATTTTATGATTTTTTTTTAATACTTATTGTAATTACAAAAATGTTTAAAAACAAAAATTCAAAAATCGGGCTTGAAAAATTTAGAAAAAAAATCGTTTAGGTAAAAAATTGTGACCTGTAGAATGATTCAAAACGAAAAAGTAAATTTTTTCTCCACTGTGGAGCGCTTGCACGTTGCTCTTTAAAATTATGTCATTTGCTCAAATTTTAAAGGTGCAAAAATTTTTCTTTTTGAAATTTAAATGTAGAAATCATAAATTTTTGTAGTTTTTGAATTTTTTTCGTAACTAGTCCAGAAGTGACTTAAAACTTGAATTGTTTAATTAATTAACAATTTATTTTGCATAAATAATCGTGAATTTTGAAAACTCTTGTTGTTATTAATAGAGGCAATTTTTTTTGTACATCTCTACCAAATGTTATTAAATTCTATCAATTCTATTGAAAAACAACGAAGCAATAGTGAATTTTCTAAAAAGGTACTTTAGCATTTAATTGTTTATAACTAATTAAAAATTAAAAATTTTTTAAAAACGCATTTCGGGAATGTTTTTGTACCACGACCCGGCTGTAACAAATTTTGTATTGACATAATGGAAATTTAAAAAGTTGATTTTAGGTGGCCCAGTTCAGTGAGAAATTGACCCAAACAATAATAATACTCACATCTCAGCTTGAAGTTTTCAGTCGTGTGTAGAATAACGTGACCACGAATCGTTTCGCCAGCGTAATAAAATTCCTTCTCCAGTCTAATGTCGAATTCGTTAATATTATCCATGATAGAAAATTGCAAACTTTAGAGTAACAATCCCTTTGGAGTAAATAATCTTTTATAAAAATACCAACGTTGATAGTTATATAGTTATGTGTGTGGCACGTTAATTCGATCTTATCTCATGTCAGATGCACTAAGAGAAAGATCCACTCAATTCCCCTGACAATGAATTGTTTAGTCGTGAAAATTAACAAGTTCATATTCAGTGCGAGATCCTCCTCTGAAGAATTGTTTCGGTTCGTCCTCTATTTTGGGCCATGTTGGTTTTAAATTTGTTTCAATTCGTTGAGTTCATGTCGTCTTGGATTTGTCACTAGGCTTTGGAGGAAGATTGGGATTAAAATAGTACTTTTATCCATACCAGGATGATATCAATACTGGAGCGTGACGGTATGACGTATGTGGAACAGTTACGTCCAATTCACACGCGTCGAGAGAGATTGGGTTGGGGTGGAATCCCACCCCCGAGATTAAACAGAGTTCCCTGATTCTGCGCCTCCTCTCCCATCTCCCATCTCCCATCTCCCGATGGTTCAAGAATAAAATCCAATATTATTTACATCTATGCCTACCACACACTCTACAAATGTATTATATCCATAATAATTGACCATCATTTTTTTTATTCAATTATCCGACAAGTAAATTTATCCCTATTTCCTAATCTATACTAATAATATTCGTTGTATTTCGATAATTTGTTCGCAGTTTGAAATTAGTTATTGTTTGCTTCTTTGTTTTCTAACATTTTTAATATTTTAAATTTTAAAATTAAAATATATTTAAAATCATCGAATTGTTGCAAAGTATTTATCAAAAAATTTGAGAACAATTGAATTTCTTCGAAGAATTTTATTATTTAGGAAAATAATTAAATTCTCATATGAACAATTTTTTTAAAACTTTTTAAAAATCCCAATTAAATTCTTTTGAAGAATTTTTTTAAAATAATAAAGTTTTTCTAAAATTTTAATTGCAAATTTTGAGTAAAACTGTATTTTGTGAACAATTTCTTTCAAGTTTTTCAAATAATCGTATTTAATAATTAAAATTAAACATTTAATTATTGAATTTTATTAAAATTTTAGAAAACAATTGAATTTTTGCATAGAACTTCACTATTTATAAATAAAATAAAATTGTTTCTAAGTCTTTATTAAAATTTTAGAAAATAATTGAATTCTTTTAAAATATTTTATAAACGAATTAAGAAAAAAATTTAATTCTTTCGTGAAATTTTTTTACAAAGATTTTACTATTTACAAATGTAATTGAATTTATTGAAATTTTAGAAAATACATGAATTTTTTCGAAAAATATTGAAAAATTTTTTTAAATTGTATTCTTTCTTGAAATTGTATTCAAAATAATTGAATTTTTTCGAAGAATTAATTAAAATGTTAGATAATAATTAAATTCTTTTAAAATATTTTATAACGAATTAGGAAAAAAATTGAATTCTTTTGTAAAATTTTTTGAAAATAATTAAATTTTTGCAAAGATTAATTAAGAATTAAGAAAAAAATTGAATTTTCTTTCGTGAAATTTTGTATTAAAATAATTGAATTTTTACAAAGATTTTACTATTTACAAATGTAATTGAATTTATTTCGAAGGATTCATTGAAATTTTAGAAAATAATTGAATTTTTACAAAGATTTTACTATTTACAAATGTAATTGAATTTATTTCGAAGGATTCATTGAAATTTTAGATAATAATTGAATTTTTTTGAAAAATATTTTTTTTGAAAATGATTGAATTTTTACAAAGATTTTAGTTTTTAAAAAAATAATTGAATTGTTTTGAAGGATTTATTAAGATTTTAGAAAATAATTGAATTTTTTTGTAAAATTTATTAAAATTTTAGAAAATAATATTGAATTCTATTGCAATTTTTTATAAGAAATTAAGGAAAAATTGATTTTTTGAATATAATTGAATTTTTGCAAAGAATCCTACTATTTACAAATAAGTTATAATTGAATTGTTTCGAAGTATTCATTAAAATTTTAGAAAATACATCATTGAATTTTTCCCGAAAAATTATTATTAAAAATTTTTTTTAATTGAATTTTTTTGAAATATTTTATACCAAATTAAGAAAAAAATTGAATTCTTTCGTGACACCTTTTTGAAAGTAATTAAATTTTTACACAGGTTTCACTATTTAAAAAAGTACCTAATTGAATTGGTTTCGAAGGATTTATTAAAATTTTAGAAAATAATTGTATTTGTTAGCGAAATTATATTAAATTTTTGTTTAAAAATAATTGAATTTTTGCAAAAAATTGTACTTTTTATAAAAATAATTAAATTCTTACGACTTCAAATAAATTTTTTAAAAAATTAAAATAAAATCTAAAGAAAAAAGTTAATTCTACGGAAATGTTAGTTAAAAAAATGAAAAATTGAGATTTTCATAGATTTTAATTTGAAATCTTTTCAAAATTCAATTGTTTTTAAAAATTAATGCTATAATGCTTTTAATATTCAATTATTTTCTAAAATTTTTATTGAATTTTATTTTTAAATCAATATTCATATTAGAAAATTCAACAAGAATTCAATTATTTAACTACAAAAATAAATAATTTATTGAATAACTGAATGTTTCTTAAAATTGAATTTTCATAAAGAATTTTATCAGCAAATTTTTAAATAATTGAATTCTTTCGACGAATTGTAGTAAAATTTTGAAGAATAATTACATTTTTCGAGGAATTCGGTTAAAATTGTATTAAAACTAATAAAAATTCTGCGAAGAGTTTTATTATTTATAAAATTATATTATATCATAATAATTATTTCTTTAAGAGTAACATAAATTAAAACTGCTTCAAATTATTTAGAAATATCATTAAAAAATCAACATTCTACTAACTAAAATGAGATTTTGTATCCTTCTTCTTGACAATTAGTAAATTGGAAATCTGAATTTTGGAGGAAGCGAGAAGACAATTCGATAGTGCAACTAATTTCGGACAGGAAATAAATGAACAGAGTCTCGATTGCCAACGAATATCTAAATTCCTGATATATGAGACAAAATCGCATTTGTATTGAAATTAATTTTTTCAGTTTCTCTCTTGGAGAAATGAAATAAAATCCGAATAAAATAATTAGTTAGCAGGAATAAAAAGCATTTAATTATAATAATTATTAGCTTTTATTAATATTGTAAAATAATTAAAATCACTAACTTCTACCTTAACTTAATTTGATCTATTGTACAAAAAAGAATATATATTATGTGAGTAATAAAATAAAGTTAAAGTCTTGTCATTATCACTTGTTTCATAAAAGTTTCGGCTGCTGTTTCAGTGTCGAAATGTCCAAAATTTTGCTGGGACAATTTGGTCTTGTTACCGGTGCAATTGCCGGTCGACTCGGTAAGTTTATTCGTGGCTTCTGTGGCATTGCTTCCCGATTCTTTCCAATATCGTGCGCTTGGAAATTCTCCTTACCTTCATCTAATGAAATTGAAGATACAATTTTTATTACAATTCCAATCTTTTTAAATTCTTTTTCGAAAATTTATAACATAGAGCTTTAATGAAAAAATCGGACAATACCTTTTCTTTTAAATAAGATGAATTATTTTCTAAAAATAGGTGACAAAATAAATTACGTTAAATAAAGTAATGGGAAATTAGCCCAAGATTAAAAAGATGGAAATTTATTGATAGGACTGATAATTTTTTGTCATTTGGAATTTGAATAATTTTTGGAAAAATATCCATATGCGAGCTTTAGAAAAAAAGAGACAAAATAAAGAGAAATAGAATTTCCATCAATATAAAATAAAAAAAATTAATCGAAATATAAAAAGAATATAGATGCGGTATTGTGGTTTAATCTGATCCTATAAATTGAATGAAAAAGCAAAAAATGAAATTGAAAAGTTTACCTTCTACTAAGCCATTCATGCTCTCGGGGAGCAACTGGTACCTCTGCAAATAACGCATCGTAGCGAAGGACATGTTAGTGGTGCCCTGAACATTACTGACCATCAGATTCGATAACGCATCTCGCTTTTGTTTCTGTTGCACTGCATCAGAAATTTGCTCCTCCTTCAAATATTTCATGGCCAGGGCTTTCATGTGCATGCTCGTGCTCGTTTCTGTCATGATACTCGAACCTTGCACCATGTTTATTTCCGGATTCAGCCGAGAGTAATATGAAGTGTCGAAAGTTACTCTAAAAAGTTCTCTTACATTAGCAAACAATTATTTTACTTTCCGCTACTTTAAATTCGCTAATACTAGAAATCAAAAATCTATTCCAGGGTGGCCACTTTTTTCATAAAAAAAAATTCACGGTCATTTCCCGGTCATAAATTATTTTTCCCGGTCATATAAAATAACTCTAAAAATGAATTATTCCATGAAAGATTGAAAGAATTTTCTGATTTTTAGACAAAACTTTGACTTTTTCCCAAACCCTAAAAATATTTTAGTTCACTCTAAAAATAATTGAAACTCCAAAATATGTTTATAATACATTTTTTTGAATATCTTTAATACTAAAAATAATTTTGAACTAAAATAGATTTTTTGAAACAAATATTTAATTATTATCCATTATTTTTCCATATAGGTATTCAAATTTCAAATCCTTAAAATTTGAATAATTTTTAAGAATTGCTACTGTTACTATTATTAAAAATTATTTTCAAAATTTCAATTCAATTATTTTCTAGAAAGAAATTTTAACTAAAATATTTCTAAAATCCACTTGTTTACAAGACAATTTCATGAAATTTTGTATAATTTGAAATTTTTTCAATTAAATATTACATATTTAAAAACATAACTAATTTGAAAAAATGTGAATAAAAATATTTCAAAAAACTAACTTATTCAGAATTTTTAATTAAAATCTTTTAAATTTCAACTTTTCTAAAACTTCAATTTGAAACTTTTTAAAATTCAATCTATAATAATATTAATTTAACATTCTAAAATATAGAAAAATTTGCTTATCAATAATTGAAAAAAAACTAATTGATATTAACGCAAAATACGGTTTTTTTAAAATTTATTTTCTAAGAAAAGAAATTTTATTTATTTTTATTAACTTTATTTATTATTTAAAAATTAATTTATATAAATTTCGTATCACTTTTGTTCTAATTAGTTCAAATTTTTAATAATTCAAATTTGTTTTGTTATAATATTATTGCAAAAAAAAATTTTAAATTGATTTATTTTTCAATATTTTATAGGATGTGAAATTTTTTCTCTTTAAAATTTTTTTAACAAATTTAATTAAAATTATATTTTGTTTAATTATTGTTAGAAATAGAAAGAATTTAAAATTAAATTTAATATTTTCTTTTTGTAAGTCTGTTACGTTGGACAACAAAATTCATAATTTTCTTATAAATTCTAGAAATTGAATATTTTTATAGTACTTTTCATAAAATTCCCTGCCAAAATAAATATATTTTATAGAAGATTATTCAATCTTTTTTAATGAAATATAATTAATAAGTCATAAAATAAATATTTCTATTTTTTCTCACAAAATAATGTGTGTTTTTAAAAAAAAATTTCCAAAATCCCGGTCAAGATCAACATTCACTGTCATTTCCCGGTTTTTCCCGGTCCAGCGGCCACCCTGTATTCTTAAAAATCATAATCAAATTCTTTAAAACGATACAACTATTTCCAAAAATATTCGAAAATAATTGTATTTTCTATACATATAGTATTTTCATAAAATTTCGCAAAAGAATTCAATTATTTAAAAAAAATTGATAAAATTCATCCAAAATTCAATTGTTTTCATAAATAATAAAACTCATCGAAGAATTTCAATTATTTTTAATACTATTTAAAATTAATTAATCGAAAAATTCAATTATTTTTACAAATAAAGTTTTCCACTTTCCACAAGAATTCAATTATTTAAAATAAACTTTTAATAATTTTCTTGATATTTATTATATTTCTAAAAAATTAATTATTTAAAACAATGTTTATAAAATTCGTATCAAGAATTCAATAATTTTCATAAATAATAAAACTCATCGCAGAATTTGAATTATTTTTAATACAATTTTACAGGAATTTGTGCAAAAAATGTAATTGTTCTAAAAAATTTGATTTCAATTTCTCGAAAAAATCAATTATTTAAAAAAATGTTTTTTAAAATACTTTGAAATAATTGAATTATTTACAAAAATATTAGAATTTTTCATAGGAATTCAATTATTTTCAAATATTTTAATAAAATTGTTCGAAAGAAATCAATTATTTTAAATACAATTTTAATTAAATTTCATTATTCTTTTAGATTTTAATAAAATTCTTCCCACGAATTCAATTATTTACATAAATAATAAATTCTTCGAAAGAATTCAATTATGTCGATAAATAACAAAATTATTTCAAGAAATTCAATTATTTTGAGGTATTTTAATAAAATTCTTTGCAAAATTTAATGATTTTCATAAATAACAATATTCATCACAAAAATTCAATTATTTTTAAAAGTAATAAATTTCTTCTTGCAAATTCAATTGTTTAAACAAATTCTAATAAAGTTGTTCGCAAAAATTCAATTATTTTCATAAATAATAAAATGCTTTTAAGGAATTCAAATTCTTTTCATGAATAATTAATAGAAATTTCTTAGGAATTCAATTATTTAAAATAGAATTTGCATAAAATTAGTGCAAAAAAATTAGTGGAAAAATTTCTTAAATAATTGAATTGCTTAGAAAAATTTGATTTTTTACGAAAATAATTGAATATTGTTTCGAAGAGTTTTACAAACATTTTTGACAATAATTGTATTTCTAGAAAAAATTTTGTATTTTAAGAAAATAATACGAAGTTGAAGTCCACAACTTTTATCAACGAAAAAAAATTTATTTAATGCATTCAAGTATTATTTTTAATTTAATATTTAATTGTAAATTTAATTTGCAAAATAATTATTATGAAAATATAAACATCAATCTCTTTTTTCTAAATATTTTTGTGTCAATATTGCTGCGTCATTTTTAATTAATTTACTAAGTGAACAATTATTTTTCGTTGATCAACGTTGTGGATTTTATTATAATTTTTCAAATTTATAAAGCATTTTATCAAAATTTTTAAAATTAATTGAATTCTCAAGAAAAAAAATAATTGATTTCTAGCGAATAATTTTATTCAAATTCTTTTAAATAATTGAATTCTTATAAAAAAATGTATTATTTGTGAAAATAATTGAATTCTTAAGAAGAAATGTATTGAAAACAATTGAATTGTATAGGAAAATTTTATTAAAATTGCAATTTAATGAACTAAATCTTGCAAAGAATTTTGTCAACATTTTCTTAAATAATAGAATTCCTATTAAAAGAATTTTATTTAAATTTTTCGAAATTTGAATTCTTTGGAGAAACTTCATTAAAAAATTTTAAATAATTGAATTGATGTGAAGAAATTTATAAAAGAAATTGGTAAGTAATTGAATTCCTGTTAAATTTTTATTAAAATTTTGTTTAAATAATAGAATTCTTTTGGAAAATTTTATTAAAATAGTAGATATCAAAAATAATTGAAATGAGGAAAATTTTTGAAAATAATTGAAATTTTGCCAAGAATTTTATTAAATTTTTTGAAAATAATTGAATTTAGGAGAAGAATTTTATTATTTATAAAGATAATTGAAATTTGGACGAGAATTTAAAAAAATTTTTGAACATAATTGAATTTAGGCGAAGTTATTTAAAAGTTATTTAAAAAGAAATTATTGTCAAAAATAGAAAAAATTGATGGGTTTGTATTAGAATTCTTGTCAATTTCATAGTTTATAAGGCAAACAAAAAAGACATCAAATTTCAGAATTTTCCTATAATTTCTAAAAATTTAATTTTTTCCAGTACTTTTAGTAAAAATCCCTGACTTTTCCCTGAATTCCTTGACTTCGCTGACTTGTGGGAAGAATACATATAAATGTCCTGGAAAAATAAGAAATCTGTCCTGGAATGTCCTGGAATTTTAAGTCATATTTTTAGTAGACACCCTGTTAATTAACTCCTAAGGAAAGTTTTTAAAAAAATCGGCCCAGTATGCGATTTTGATTTAAGTTAAAATCAATTCTGCCGGTGGTGTGGAAACGTTTTATCCAAAAATTGGAAAGGGCATGTGTCAAAAGTATTTAAAATGTTTTAAGACCACCGTGAGACAAACTTGATATATTATTGAGGCGAATCAACCCGTAATCACTCAACGATTTATGAATTTAGTTCCTTCGACTATTTTTTCGAAAGCCGAGTGTACTTATTAAAAAAGAACAAAAACTCACTTTTTATTAGCGTTTGCTTCTCTCTCATTGTCTGCAAAACTGATTCCCAGCTTCGTCAACTGATCCATCGTCGCAGCTTTCACAGTGTCGATTAAAAGATTATTATCCAGCTCCTGCAACTGCGGAGCCTTCTTGTTGCGAGGATCCTGGTGCGGATCCTGTAGAGGAGAATTCTGCAGAATGTGATTCACCTGTCCCAGGACATTGTTGTAGAAGGTCCACCCGACCCTAGGGGTTCGTTTCGTGAGGACGCTGCCCTCTTCACTCGAGAAGTCCTGCATGTCGATGTGAATGCTCGGCGCCGGACTCGGAGGAGAGCGATCTCCCTGGACTTGTTCTTCCCCCAGAACCAAGCTTTCTTCCTGGAAGTTGTCTTTGTTCTCAATCTCCCTCGAGTCGAATCTCCTCTGCCGTAGGAGAGCTCCTTCCTTCTCCCTGTAGTTTTCCTCATCCTGATCAGAAGCGACTGTCGGTGAGGAGCTTTTCATTTCCTGCGTCCCTACTTTTGTCCTACTTTGTCCTTGCTTTTGTCCAGGGGTAAGTTCTGTCCTGTCCGGTTTCCGGAAGTTACTTTCAGATTGGGGGGTGTTTGCTCTTTTCAAATTGTTGGGACTGTTCGAGCGACTGTAGTGACTAAACACATTTGCAGTATTTTGAGGGTTATTATTAGGAGAAGTGCTTTTGCGAGTCTGAGTGTTTCCGCCTTTGCAGGAAGATAAACAATTGCTGCTCGGCTGCTGACTAGAGGACAGATGACTCTCCGAGTCTTCGGTAATGTTCTCCAAAGCGCTCGGCATTCGGGAAAAGAGATTCGGTTTCCTCTTGGAAATATCTTGAGGATTCGCAATTTCCTGGTAGGTTTCTTCTTCTTCTATCGGCTGACTTTCCGCCTCATTATTAAAGGGACTGTTTTGAACCGTCAGTTCGAAACTGGTCATGACGCCGATGGAAACTTTCCTCTCCATCAGGGCCTTCTTCGAAGCATCGCTCGTCGTCCCTTGATTGAATTCGGGAAATTTCGCCAAATCGTGATGGGAGTAACTGTCCGTTATTGCGCTCTTCCTCTGCAGAGCGGCGTTGTAAGCTTGCATGCAAATCTGAGGATTCTGTCGAGAAATCTCCATTGAGCACATGCACTTCGCTCGGTCCTTTAAAGTTTCCTCGTGAATCGACAGCAGGCGATCGAGCTGCGACTGAAGGTTCTTTATTTGCTCGTTCTGATTGTCGATCAATTTCAAGAGGCCTTTGACCATTTCTCCACTCTCTGAATCACGACTCCTGTGATCGACCGGACATGTCGAGTGAGTCGGAAAAGGTCTGTATTCCTGACATCGAACCGGTTGTAAAGCGTTCGCGTTCGGACTCGCTCGACGACTGTATTCCACCGGAATTCCGCTCTTCACTTCCCTCTGACCTTCCGACCTCTTCGAACCAGCGGGAAATTGCGAAGGTCTACGAGGAGTAGAAACACTCCTCTGCCGCGAATCCGACGGCGATGAAGAATACAATTTCAAACAATTTTCAGCTTCCCTAGAAATTCTGTTCTCTGGAAAAGATCTTCGAGCAGCGTTAGAATTCAATTGGACCGTAGATCCGTTTCCTTGAAACAAATTCGGATTATATTTTTCCCGATTTTCGTGCGACGGAAAAGATCGTCTTTCCTGCACTTTCTGCGGGACGTGTAAATTTTCCAAGTCTGGGGAAAAATAGGACGATCTCGGTGGTAACCTTGAATCCGGTTGATTGTGGTTTGCAGGATTTTCATCGTCGGTGGGAAAATATGACGATTTTTTGGAATCAAAATCCGATTGCCGCTGAGTTGAGTAATTTTCGTTGGCATTTTTTGCGGAAGGTGGAACGTAATCTTCTGCATTGTAGTCCAGAGCTTTCGGGGGGAATTTTTTCTTTCTCCAAGCAGCATACGATTCATAGGCAGCAACGGCGGGAGATCGTGGAATTTTATTGTCAACCGGTGACGACTTTTCTTTTAATACATCCTCGTTGTAGAATGAAGTCTCGACATCGGACATTTTGCTGTGGAAAATTTTACTGATTAAAATGATGAATAAAATTATTATTTGCATTCAATGCATGTTTGTGGTTCAAAAATAAATAGGAGAAAAAATAGGAATTTCTTTTCTCCTTTTTTTTCTCTCTTTTTTGTTTATCGAAAAAATTGCGTTCTTTTGTGTAATAAAATATTAAACTATGCCTCAAAGCACTTCTTTTCTATGTATTTTTAATGACAAATAAACTATTTTTCGTAAATTTGATATAAAATCTAAAAAAAACATATGTTTATAATAAATTAGAATTTCTTATAAAAAATTCAATTATTTTCTAAAATGTTAATAAATCTATTGAAATAATTCAATTAATTTTTTAAATAGTACCTATAGTCTTTGCAAAACTTCAATTATTTTAAATAAAATTTTTATTATTCATGAAAAGAAATTAATTTTTACGAAGATTTTTACAAACATTTTTTCAAAAATTGAAAATTGTTTAAAAATTTTTTGAAAATAGTATATTATGACTGTTTTCGGCGATTACTCCCAGTTACTCCTAGGAGTGATCAGTTGTTCTCAATATTGTAAAGTTTACTAACAAATAAAGTGTGCATTAAATAAATAAAGTTATACAATATTAAGCACCACTGATCACTACTAGAAGTAACTCCGAGTAATCGTCGAAAACAGCCATTGAAAATCATTGAATTGCAAATATTTTTTGAAAATAATTTAATTTTACAAGGAATAATCAAATTCCTAAAAAACATTTTAATATTTATGAAAATAATTGAATTTTTGTCAACAATTTTATTAGAATTTTGTAAAAAAAATTGAATTTCCAAGAAGAAATTTATTGCTTTTAAAAATAATTAAATTCTTGTGATGAATATTGTTATTTAAAAAAAAATTGAATTTTGGAAAGAATTTTATTAAAATACCTCAAAATAATTGAATTTTCGGGAATAATTTTGCCATTTATCGACATAAATGAATTCTTTCGAAGAATCATTTATGTAAATAATTGAATTCTCGGGAAGAATTTTATTAAAATCTAAAAGAATAATTGACTTATTAAAAAAAAATTAATCAAAATTTTATTTAAAATAATTTATTTCTTTCGAACAACTTTTAAAAATTTTTTGAAAATAATTGAATTCATGTGAAAAATTCTAATATTTTTGTATATAATAATTGAATTCTTCCAAAGAATTTAAAAAAAACATCTTTTAAATAATTGGTTTTTTCGAGGAATTGAAATTAAATTTTTAAGAATAATTACATTTTTTTAGCAATTCCTGTAAAATTGTATTAAAAATAATTTGAATACTGCGATGAATTTTATTATTTATGAAAATAATTGAATAGTTGCTAAAAATTTTATAAAAATAATTTTCAAAAATAATTGAATTCTTGAGAAGAATTTTATTATTTATGAAGATAATTGAATTATTGCGACAAATTTTATTAAAATGTTTATTTGAAACCCGTTTATGTTTAAATAAATAAATAAACAAAAAGAATTGAATTTCTGTGAAAAATTTTGTTATTTTTGAAAATAATTGAATTTTTCGATTAATTAATTTAGAATAGTATTAAAAATAATTGAAATTCATTGATTAGTTTTATTATTTATGAAAATAATTGAATTCTTGCTTAGAATTTTATGAAACATTTTTTTAAAAAATTGAATTTCCATGAACAGTGTTAGTATTAATGAAAGTAATTGAATTATTGTGAAGAATTGTATAAAAATTTTGTTAAATAATTGATTTTTTCGTAACTTTTTTGAAAATGTTATTCTCTATTAATTGAATTTCTATGGAAATTTTATTATTTATGAAAATTATTGAATTTTGGATGAATTTTATCAATTTTTTTAAAAATAATTGAATTGTTTTGGAAAATTTTATGAAAATAATAGATATTAAAAATAATTGAATTTGGAATATTTTTTGAAAATAATTAAATCGTTTTAAAGAATTTGATTATAATTTTTGAGAATAGTTTTCTGATTTCTAGTATTAGCGAATTTTAAGTAGTAGAATTTCTCCAAAGAAACAGAAATAGTAGCTTTTAGTGTCTGAAATATAAAAAAAGTTCCCAAATAGTAGCAAAAAATAGTAAATTGTAGGTTTTAGTAGATGAGTGCGAAGACTGGACTTTTTTTTTTATTGGAAAATAAACCCAATTTTATCCTATAGATAAGTGAGATAAAGTAATAAAAAAATGAAAATATGCATATAAATAATATTACATTTGATAAAAACTTATACTACCTTCAAATTTCAATTCACTTTCTTATTTTCTTTCGTTGCAAAACAATAAAAATCATACACGTACTGCAATAACATTAAAAACTATTGTATATTTTGATACAGTGCACGCACGTGAATTCAGTGATAATTCTGTTTATAGGTTACAGGTAATAATGAAAATTTTCCAATTTTCAAAACTTGGTGAATTACTATCGCCATATCTACTTGTTGAAATAACTTTTACTTACTTTTGATGTAAATGAATAAATTGTAACAATTAATCAAAATAAAAGTTTAGAAATGTTTGAAAAGTAAAGCTTGACAGGAGAATAATAACGTTACTTTGCAGTTCGGGAAATTTCGGCTTCAGTCGGGAACCTAGCTTTCCTTTTAGCCAACTGGAAAGAAACACTTTCACACACACGCAAATGCAACACATTTACGTGACTTTTCCTGTAAAAGTGTAAATTCCTGCAACCAATTGGTTATGTGTTTGTATCATCTTTGATGGCACTTTGTTTACATCACGTTTACATGTAAATTGTGACAATTTATAATGATTGTAAACACGGAAAAAATGGAAGAATTAAATACAAGGAGAAAAATATTAAATCGCGTAATTTGTACATTGTTAGTGGAATCAGGTTACGACACCGCCGAGAAGCAATGTGTCGAAGTTTTGACAGAAATGCTTCAGTCTTGTGAGTATTTTTTATTTAAATTTCCTGTCATTTTTGTATTCAATTTTTATTTGATATACTCATATTTTATTCCATCTCGAGAATTTTATAATTAATAGAGAAAAAATAGTTCCTTTATTTTCAAGGTTTTCAAGTATGTTTTGTAGGTTACATTTTGTATATACAAAAACAATTTTTTGTATCTTTTGTGTACAAAAATTAATAACTTTTATATATATATATATATATAAAATTAACATGAATTTTAATATGAAAACTTCAATTTTTTCTATTTCTGCAATGATTTATTTCAAATAACTTAATCGTCAACATTTGAATTATGTATCTTTATAAATAGCAAAATTTTTCATCGAAATTCAATTATATTCAGGATTTTTTTTATCAAATTCATTGCAAAATCCAATTATTTTCATAAATAATAATATTTATCAGAGGAATTCAATTAATTAATTAATTAATTGCAGTTATCGTCGAAATGGGACAATCTTCAAGAAATTATTGTGAACTGGCCGGAAGAACGGAAGTCCTTATAGCGGACCTTATTTTGGCTTTAGTGAATGCCGGAATTCGAACAGATGACATCAGCACTTATGCGAACAGATCGAACAGATCTATTTTGCCGCAATTGCAGCAGCAAACGCAAACAAAGCAGTTAAATATTTTACAAGCTGGAGTGAAACAAAATCATCCTGCTCACATACCTAGTCATTTGCCAGCTCTTCCTGATCCACACGCCTACATTAGAACTCCCGTGAGTTTTATTATTAATTACTGGGGCAAATAATTGCAGAAATTCAATTATGTTCAAAAATTTTTTTAAATTCTCGTCGAAATTTCAATTATCTTTATAAATAATAAAATTTTTCTCTGAAATTCTATTATTTTCAAAAATTGATTATAAAATTTCAACTAATTTCAAAAATATTCCCCGGCTTCACAGTCTGTGCCCTATTTCCCTAAAAGTCCCCTTTTTTTAATTTTGGCCCCTAAACGTACCCTATTTTGATGTAAGATTAGTATTTTGTTAAAGTCAAGTCTCAATTATGTTTAGAAGTTGATTGTTTTTTAATATTATTTTATTATTACAAAACTTTTAATGCAATTATCTTGATAAATAACAAAATCGTTTACAGAAATTAAATAATTTTTAGGAATTTTAATAACATTCTTTAAAAAATTCAATTATTTTCATAAATTACAATATTCATTCCAAGAATTCAATTATTTTCAAAAATAATAAAATTCTTTGAAGAAATCCAATTATTTTTTTAAATTTTCACGAATATCTTGTCAAGAATTTAATTATCTTTACAAATAGGAAAATTTTTCGCCAAAAATTCAATTATTTTCAAAAATTTATAAAAATCTTTGCAAAAGTTCAATTATTTTCAAAAGTTTTTTGCAATTCAATAATTTTCAATATTTTTTTACTATTTTCATAAAATTTATCAACAGATTTAATTATTATAGAAATGATGAGAATGTAAAAACTTTTTGATACAATTCTACGAAAAGATTCAATTATTTTCATGAATAATAAAATTTCATTTGCGAATTCAATTATTTTCATCGCAGAATTTCGCAATTATTATTAAAAAATTTTTTAAAACTTGAGGAAAGAATTCAATTTTAAGAAAAATTCAATTATTCAATAAAACAATAAAAATCGTTCCAATAATTCAAATATTTTCATAAATAATTTTTAATTTGTCGCAGAAAATCAATTATTTTCAAAAATTTTTAAGTAATTTTGCAAAAAAATTCAATTAGCTTGATAAACAACAAGATCGCATAAATTCTTCCCATAAAATCAATTTATTATAAGGAATTTTAATAAAATTCTTTTCCAAAATTCAATTATTTTAATAGATATCAAAATTTATCACAAGAATTCAATTCTTTTGAAAAGTAATAAAATACTTTGCAGAAATTAAATTAAATTATTTTCAAAACTTTTTGAAAATTCTTCTCAAGAAGTCAATTATTTTCAAAAATTTTAATAAAATTCTTCTCATGAATTCAATTATTTTTAAGAATTATTATTTAAATTCTTCTCAAGAATTCAATTATTGTTAAAAAATTCAATAAAATTCTGCAGAAAGTTTTCAATTATTTTCAAAAATTGTTATAAAGAAATTGAGTCGAAGACTCGGAGTGATCCACTTCTTTATGTTTTATAATAAATATTCTTATAAGTTGTTCAATTTGAAAAGGTTTGAATTTAAAAATTTTAAACATCTTAATTCCAATAAAAAAAAAAATGATTAAATATTTATTTAAAGACGAAGTTATTCATGTTTTCGAATAATTTTACTTTTGAAGAAATTTGTAAATAAATTTAATAGAACATTTTTTTGAGTATCTCATAATTTTTAGAGTGAATCAGAATATTCTTTAGGGTCAGGGAAAAAGTCAAAGTTGTGTTTGGAAATCAGGTAAAAGTCAGGGAAATATAAAGTTAAATTTTTGTGGGAACCCTGTATAAATAAATTATTTTCAGTCCTCTATTTCTCCTAAAATACTTTTTAGGGGCACTGTGAAGCCTGTATTCCTCAATTTAATGATTTTCAATATCTAACTATTTTACTAAAAATTTTTCAAAAGAATTCAATTATTTAAAAAAAAATTTAATTGAATTTTGAAACACTTTAAATTAAAATCGTTGAAAATGTGAAATTTTCATACTTTTAACTAACAATTCTGTAGAATTAATTTTTTTTTAAAAGTTTAATTGAATTTTTTTTTTGAAATTATTTATAATAATTTATTAATTTATTTAAAGGAGAATTTTAGTTAAAAATTCTAAAAAGTAATAGTTGAATTGAAATGATGAAAATAATTTTTAAAAAGTTATAGTAGCAATATTCTTATAAGAATTTTAAAGAAATAAGCATATTTTCAATATTGTAAATTGTAAAAAATAAAAACGTCTTCTAAAAGTTAAACAGTAAAAAATAGAATGCCTCTCTTATTGTTCAATTAAAAAAACTAAAATTACTGATTGACAATAATAAAAAGTAAGGAACACTCTTTTTTTAAAAAAGAAAATCTAGTAATTCATTGAGTTATAAACATTAAAAATACAAATTATTTCCAGTAAAAAATTTATTTATTTTAATGAAATTATTTTCAGACCCACAAGCAACCCGTTACGGAATACGAAGCTATAAGAGAAAAAGTTGCTAACCAAAAGCGTGACATCGAAAGAGCGTTAACGAGATTCGTCGCGAAAACTGGCGAAACACATAGTTTATTTCTTACTGAAGATAACAGTATGTTTCCCTGTAAGTAATATTTTTCATCATTATTTTAATTTTTGAGTTCATACCACATTACAATCTTTCTAAAACTTTTATAAAACATTTTTGAGACGTTTTAATGCGTTTTACTATCGAAATCCATCAAGAAAGAATAATCGGTTTTTTGAAATTGACAAAGTGGTATGAATCCTTAAGGTGAAGACTATTTTTTGAAATTATATTTCTTTTCAGTGATTGCCTGTAAACCACAGCATCCAAGTTATCTCACTGCGCTCCTGCCTACAGATCAAGTATTTGATCAAGAGACAGAGGAGCAGTTTGAGCCGAAACCTGTTAAAAGAAAGAAGCCGGAAAAGAAGGAAGTTGAAGAAGGTAATAAAAGTATAAATTTTATTCCTTTACTTTTATTTTTTAATTTCATTGAATTACTAAACGAATTTCTTCTATTCAATTTGATTGCACTCAGAAATGTGGTTTTTCCTATTTTTCGTAGAAAGCGCTAAATTATTAATCATTTAATTAATGTTTTAATTGTTGAAAATAAATTTAAAACCATGAAAAAATAGAGGACTAACTCTGCTGGGGCTTTTTAGTTAGTGAAATGACTTGCTGATGAATTGACAATACAGGCCTCGGATCGACTTTAAGGTGCAAAAAAAGTCGCTTTAGTCGATTTAAAATAGAAAAAAAAGTCGAAAAAGTCGTTTATTTAATTCAGTGTCATCACAAAAATTTTATTTTTTATTCTTCTGATCTTTTACTGATTTCTAAATTTAATTATTTAAAACTTGAATAATTTCGTTAAATAAATATTTAAATACTTCTTGTTTGTTTTTATACGGAAATAAAATTTAGAAAATTTCTATTTAAAACCTTCTGAAAAATAACTTTTCAAAATTACAACTTTAATTCTCTTAAAATTCAATTATTTTCTTCAATTTTTAATCAAACTTCTTCTCGAAATCAATTATTTTTAATAATTTTCCGAAAGTTCTTAGAGAATTCAATTATTTAAATACAACTTAGAATGTTTTCCGAATCTTAATTTTTGTCAAATAAATCTGTTTATATTGTGACCTTAAGGCCACAATATAAACAGATTTATTATTTAGATACAAAAATTCAGTTTTTTATAAGGATTCTAACTGTCCCATGTTTTTTAAGTTAAGTATTAATTAATTTAAAAAAAAATTCTTTAAAATTAATTTTTCAAAAATATTTTTAAAATAATTTATGAAAGATAATAGTTTTTCAATTATATAAAATTGAAAAATTTCCAAACAATTGTAATTTGGTAAGTTCTATTAAAAAATAATTGAATTTTTAAAGAATTTTAATTATTAATATATACGCGATTTCTTCAAAATTTTAATAAATCTAAAAGTCATATGTTGTTAAAATGTTAAAAATAATTGTAAACAATTTTAATGTTATTATTTTTTGTAAGTGTTTGAATCTTTGGAAATTTGTATTTAAAAATATTGAAAATAATAATTTAATTTAAAAAAATTAGAATGCAAAAATTCTAAGAATTCTTTTTATCAAAAGTAAATTAATATAATTTTTTTGTAGCTAATTTTCATTAATTACCATTTTTAAATTTGAAGATTTTTCATTAAAATTTTTGAGAAATCAATTATTATTTTCAAAATTTACAATTAAAATTCTTTTAAAGTTTATTTTCAAAAATTTTTATCCAACACTTTGAAAAAAATTAATTATTTTCAATTAAGTTTTACAAAATTTCAATTATTAAAACTCTTTTTTATTGTAAATTTTGAAAATTTATTTAGTAATTTATAAAAATAGTTGAATTGTTTCGAAGAAATTATTAAAAATTTTAGGAAATAATTGAATTTTATGGAAATATTTGAATTCTTTCGAGAAATTCAATTTAATATGTTTTAAAAATAATTGAATTCCTGCAAAGAATTTTACAATTTATAAAAATAATTGAATTGTTTCGAAGGATTTATTAAGATTTTAGAAAATAATTGAATTTATTCGAAATATATTAAACATTGTTTTAAAAATTAAATTCTTCCGAGGAATTTAATTTTAATTATTTTCAAAATTTGCATTTAAAATTCTTCAAATGTTGATTTTCAAAAATTAAAAAAAAAAAAAACTAAAAAAATCAATTATTTTTAATTAAATTTTACAAAATTTCAATATTTATTGAAACTCTTTTCAATTGTAAATTTCGAAAATAAGTTGTATTTTATACTAAAAATTATTGCAATATTCCGAAGAAAAGTCGAAAAAGTCGTAATTTTTGAAAATAAGTCGGAAAAAGTCGCATTTTTTGAAAATAGTCGAAAATGTTATAATATCCGAGGCCTGACAATATTGTTTCGTGAAAAAATTCTAGGAAAATTCAAAATTTAAATTATGTTATTTACCGAAAAGTTTTCACCATATTTGTGTGTCTGGAAACAAAATTTCTGTTATCTTCAATTCTTTTCGTCATAGATTTAGTCAGGACTTTTTAATTTACACACATAGATTTAATTTGTTTTAGTTTAGTGTAAATTGTTTTAATTGTTTATTCATTTATAAATAATAATGGATTATTTTCCCTCCTTTCGTATATTTATTTACAATTTTAATTTTACATTTCTTACTTTCTTAGGTTTACTTATCAAACTTTATTCACTTATTAATAGCTAAAATAGATAATTTAGATTCTGACTCCAAACAAAATATACTTCCACTTTTTTGATATTTCTTTATAAGTTGTAATTTTTTATGTGAAAACTTTTTATTTTTCCTTGTAAGATATTTATTTAATTGTATCAAATTAACCCTGTATTTATTCTTATTTTTTAATTCTTAAATTCTTTGCAGTTTTGTGTGTTTTGATAATTTAAATGTAAATTTACTTTTGTTTTTAATTAGATATTTGTAATTTTTTATGTTTTCATATTAAATTTATTGTTTATTTATTAATTTTTTTATATATTTTTTTTTTGTTAATTCTTGTCGTCCATTGTGTTATTTTTGATATTTTATTTTCCATTTAAATTGCAGGAATTACTGACTGCAAGCTTTTTTAAAATTGGTCACTAATTTTCTAAATTTTTCAATCCAAATCTAAAGTTCTGTAATTTTTTGAAAAGTTTCTGAAAATTTTAATTAATCTGTACTTCAAAGATTTTAATGTTATGTTGTCGAAATATTCGACGTTTCAAATTTTAATTCACCAAAATGTATATAAGGCTCCTTTAAATTCCAATTAATTTCAGTTTTAATTAACTTCAAATTCAATTCAATTCGATGAATCTTAATTTTTTTCAATCTAATTCTTCAATTGGGTTTAATAATTGTATTTGTGTTTATTCATTTGCAGTTATTGTTGAATTTTACAGACAACTATAAATGAGTAATTAATAATTTAATACTAATATTGTAATAATTAATAATTTCCATTTTCTCAAATTTTAATCGTTTCTATATTCAGTTGATAATGCTTTTAAGTGCTATCAGTTCCATAGTATTTTTATTTTAACCAACTTTATATATTCAATCAAATTTTTGTATTATTCACAGTTTGAAACTTTTAAAGCTTCAATTAGTAAGAAATAATTAAAATTAATCGTCTATTTATTTATTTATTTAAATCAATTGATAAATTTTCAATTCAATTTTCAAGTCAATTTTCACATTAACATATTTTTTCTGCAAGATCTCTTCTTTACTTATTTTTAAAGAATAATTCAATATTTTATTTAGTTTAATGACAAAATATTTATTTTAATTGTTTGAAACTAAATTGCATTAATAGTTACGAAACGTTTTTCCTCAAAAAATTGAAATGATTAAAATTTTAAGGCATATTAAGAAAGGAACGTTCATAAATTATTCTTAACAAAACTTTTCGTCTTTCAGAAGTAAAGGCGAAAGTCGATCCCGTTGATCAAAACGAAGAAACAACGACTCAACAGGATACGATTGACAATCCGTACTTGAGGCCAGTACAAATTCCCAAGAATATAGTGACCGAGTCCTAAATATGGGAAATTAATTAAGGAAATAAAGTAAACCGTTTGGTTTGTTATGTAAATTAATAAAAGCTTTTTTATTATACCATGTATATAGCAAGTTTAGTAAACAATAAATATAAAATTTCTATTATCAACATTCCGATGTTTCGTAGTATTAAATTAGATTGTGCTAGTACATAAAATTTAAGCTCGATAATAAGGCAAGCACGTTGGATGATAAGATACCTAACAATTAGATTAATAACAAATCTACCATTTATACTATTTTATATAATATATAATATAAACACTCAATCTCTTATAAGTCATATTATAATACTTGGAATTGCACTTGTTGCTTGGACTTGTTGCTTCAGATTTTTGGACTAAGCGATTTTCTCCTAGCTCTTGCCATTCAAAATCACTAGTTACTTTTTATCAATTTAAAGTCGAAAGTTAAATAACATCTTTAAATGAGAATAAAACGTGTTTTATAAAATTAATGATTCCCTATTTTATACAAACATTTTTTTGTATATCAAACAACGCATAAAATAATATTAAAATTCGTCAAAAATTGACACAATTTTTCATTAAAATTTTTCATTTTCGAGTAGACAAGAAAAAGAAACAGGTAAAAAAAATTAAAACTCTTTTGGTTCACATTAATTCGGTTTTTTTGTCAAATTTATCAAAACTCGAAGTATTGGAGAATAAAACTACTTGAGACGTAGAATTGTCGTCAAATTTTACTTCTTATACTATTAGAAATAAATTTTAATTTAAAAGAGCAAATTACAACAGACTAGTAGTATTTTACAGAAATTTTCAAAAAATGAAAATATCAGGGTTGCCACAGGTCAAAGAAATAAGGGAAAATTCGGGGATTTTTATTAATAGTACTGGAAAAAATTAAATGTTTTGAATTTATAAGAAAATTCCGAATTTTTGTGTCTTTTTATTTGCCTCATAAACTATGAAATTACCACAAATTTTAGAAAAACCTTCAATTTTTTCTATTTCTGACAATAATTTCCTTCAAAATATCTTAGAACTTGTCATAAAGTTATTACTTATAAATCATTCAATGTAGAATTTGTTTGAAAAATTTTAATTTCAATTCTGTTGAAGTTAGTTTCAATTTTAAAAGTTTTAACGCAATTCTTTGAAAAAATTCAACTATCTCAATAAATATCAAAATTTTAGGAAAGGAATTTATCATTCGGTATTAATTAAAATTCTTTCCAAAAAATCAATTATTTTCAAAAATTTTTTAAAAAACTCTTGTCAACATTTTAATTATCTTTATAAATAGCAAAATTTTCCGTCGAAATTTAATTATATTCAGAATTTTTTATAAAATTCATTGCAAAATTCAATTATTTTCATAAATAACAATATTCATCACAAGAATTAAATTCTTTTCAAAATTAATAAAAATTCTTGGCAAAAATTCAATTATTTTCAAAAAAATCTGGAAAAAATGTCAACATTTAAATTATCTTTAGAAATGAATAGCAAAATTCATTGTGAAATTCAATTATTTTTATAAATAATAGTATTCATCACAAGAAGGAAAGAATATTCTTACGGCTACGCAATCATGATTTCAGACGATTTGACTCTTTCATTGAAGAAAGCCTGCGAGGAGGCGAAAAATACGATCCAAAGACCAGAAAAGGCTACAGCCCCAGTCCTAGAAGGATTTTCTGATACAACTTGTCAGAATTTATCAGATTCAAGCAAATTTCCGTCGGTTTCAAAAGGAAGAGACGCTCTTAAATTGATTTTATATAGATTTTTCGATCTTTATTTCCATGGGGCTGTTGACACAAAGGATTCTGTTGCTGCCTGTGTATTAGATATGGTTGCAAATGCCACCACTAGAAAAGGACCCATCTGGGATGATAATCACTTTGAAGGTGAAGGATATTATCCTCCCAATTTGTCGATAAAAGATAGCTTATCAACTGCAATAGATCTCGTAGGACCTGAGGTTGTTTATGCTCCTAATCTTATAGATCTCCCTCAAAAAGAGTCATATAAGAAACTTATGTCTACATATCAACCAGCAGCCCTAACAGGTTTCAGAAACCATGTTATAAAGATCTTAGAGGAGATGAACACCACCAAAGCGGCTAAGGAAGATGAAATTTCTCTGGTCAGACTAGCAGGCTTTTTAGCATTAACTCTTTTGAGATTTGCAACTAAAGATGAGGATCAAATGGGAAATGCTTTCTTGAAGAGGCAATATGCCGCTAATCTAGTGGCTATCGTTGGATGGAAAGCCGAAGCTCCTTTCTCCCCTCCTTCTAAATCTTGTTTGGAATTGTGCCTTCGAGCTTTGGTTAAAGGTAATGCCATCATTGGCGGAACCTTTGCTAAATTGGCTTATCGGTTCAGTTTGGTTTCGAAAGAGGCTTTGGGTGATCAGGACCTAGCCGGCTTTCTAGCTGCTTCCGTATTAACACACACCGCCCGGAATGGATTAGGTCTGGTTAATATGCTAGAACAAGTGTTGCTGATACTAGATGCTGATTGGACAGATGTCATGAAAAAGACTTATTTTGGTCAGACTCAAGCGGCGTGGGGGGCCATAAAGCGTTATTATGTTAGCTACATGACGATAGAACAAGGACAGGTTTGTCATTATTGGGCTAGAATTATAGACCATGGTTATTTGAGGAGTTTGAATCCTAAAGAACATCCTTTCCTAGCTACCATCCTTGCAACCATCTTAGTTAGAGTTCAGGGACCCGGAGTTTGGGAAGCAGAATGGGCCAAATCTCCTCGAGCAAGGACCGCAGAAGGAATGGCGATTGGAAATGCCTTGTTTGAATCTTATCAACCTTCGCTTGATAAGATGCAAGCCGCTGATGAGAGCTCTGTGATCCTCAACAAGGCCAGGACTATATTAAGGAATAACGGAAATGGAACAAATAGCAGACAGGCAGCTTTTGAAGAGGACTTCCAGTGAGCAATAGAACTGATAGTATTCATCACAAGAATTCAATTCTTTTCAAAAGTAATAAAATTCTTCTACAAAATTTAATTATTTAAAATTCATTACAAAAGTTCAATTATTTCCATAAATAACAATATTTATCACAAGAATTCAATTATTTTCAAAAATTTTAATAAAATTCATTGAAAAATTTGTATTTTTTGAAATTTTTTTTTTTAATTTAATAATTTGTTTCATCTACTATTTAAGTAAAATTTTCCAAAAGAATTGAATTATTTAAAGAAAATTTTAGCAAAGTTCTACACAAATATAATGCATAAATTTTTTCGAGAAAAATCAATTGTTTGAAAATTTTTTTTATAAAATTTTTCGCAATAATTCAATTATTTTCATAAAAAATAATAAAACTCATCGCAGAATTTCAATTATTTTTAATACAATTTTAATCGAATTCTTCGAAAAATGTAATTATTTGTTATTAAAATTCGTCGAAAGAATTGAATTATTTAAAAATTGGTTGATAAAATTATGTAATAAGAATTGAATTTTAAGAAACATTCAATTATTCAACAAATTATCTATATTTATATTTAAATAATTGAATACTCGTTGAATTATCGAATAAAAATTGATTTAAAAATTAATTTCAGTAAAATTTTTAGATTCTAATAATTGAATTTTGGAAAAGTTACCAATAATTGGAATTTTTAGAAATAATTAAATTTTGTAAAGGTTTTAAATTAAAATCTTTGAAAATCTGAATTTTTCATACTTTTAACTAACAATTCTATACAATTATTTTTAAAAAAAAAAGTTTAATTGAATTTTTTAAAAAAATTATTTTAATTTTTTGTTTTCTAATGTATATTTTATTGAAGAAATTCCGTATAAGAATCTAAATTTCGTAAAATTGAATTGTAAACATGTGGATTTGAACATTTTCAAAAATAATTAAAAATAGTTGATTTAAAGAAGAAGTTTAGTTAAAAATTCTAGAAAATAATAATTGAATTGAAATAATGAAAATAATTACATATAATAATATTATAAAAAATATTAAATATTAATATTATCAAAATTATATTATCACTTGGTTATTTTTAATAATTTAATTATTAGATATAAAACATGAAGAAATCGATCACTTCGAGTCTTCGAAATATTCTTTCAAGTTGTTGAATTTAAAAAAGGTTTGAATTTGAATGTTTTGAAGAATATTAATTCCAATGAAAAAATAATAATTATTTTCAAAAAATTTTAAGTAATTTTGCTATAAAGAATTCAATCAGCTTGATAGACAACAAAGTCGATTAAATTCTTCCCATAAAATCAATTATTTTAAGGAATTTTAATAAAATTCTTTTCCAAAATTCAATTATTTTGATAAATATCAAAATTCGTCACAAGAATTCAATTCTTTTGAAAAGTAATAAAATACTTTGCAGAAATTAAATTATTTTCAAAATTTTTTAAAAATTCTCGTCAAGAATTAAATTATTTTTATAAATAGATAGGAAAAATTCTTCTCAAGAATTAAATTATTGTCGAATAATTTTACTTTTGAAGAAATTTGTAAATAAATTTAATAGAACATTTTTTTGAGTATCTAATAGTTTTTAGAGTGAATCAGAATATTCATTAGGGTCAGGGAAAAAGTCTAAATTTTCTCTGAAAATCAGGGAAAAAGAAAATTAAATTTTTGTGGCAACCCTGAATATATTGATGATAAAATAATAACAAAACTAAAGAGCTAACTAATTATAGTTAAATGTAAAAATTTGAAATGAGATAATGGGAAGATAAGTAGAATTTGGAAGACAATAATACTCTCTCCTCGAACTGACTCTCTTTTGGCAAATATTTAGCACCATTTGTCGGAATTAAAACGAATAATAAAATGGACCAGTTAATGACTTACAATGGGGGGGATTATTGCACGTATTGTAAATTTATAAAAATAAACTGCCACGACTCCAGACTCGTAGTTGTATTAAAAAATAGTGTATGTATATTAATTTGTATAAACTCTACGTGATATTTAAAACACTCCAAAAATTTCTGCCCTATTTGCCTAAAAGTCATGCATTAAAACTTGTTAAATTGAGTATTTCGTTCACGATTGATATAAAATCCGGATATTAATATTCTGCTCTCGTAAATGCTGATTATCTCGAGTTTAGTGTTAAATTATTACTGTGATTCAAGAGCAGATGGACATTTTTTTGTGAAGAAAGTCGTGAAAAACTCTTCTAAAAAGGGCAGCGAGACCTTGTATAAGAATTGCAAAGTTTCGTTCTCTAAAGTTTAGTATTGGTACCAAGGCTGACGTCGAACCCATCGCAGCTTCATTCCAGAGGCTGTGCGAATTTTAATACTGGCACATTCGGCGGCGCGAACTGTCTCCTTGACGCTCTGCATCAAGTTTTGAGCGTTGCCAACGAGCATGTCTGTCGCCTCTTGATCCTCCTCAGTGCCTGCATTTCGAAACAAAAAAAAGAGAGTTAAACAGTTTTCTGGAACACAGTTTTCTGAAAAATCTACAACAAGACTGAATTAGTTTACTACATTAATTAGGTGCTTTATCTAAATTTAGAAATTACTTTTAATTGGTGTCTTTTTCTGGTCAAACTATGTGTCAATTTATGTCATTTCTTCAAAGAAAATACAAATCATAAAAATAAAGAAATAACGAGCATTCCAGGTAAAATGTTCATTAAAATTTTTTTTCTGCAACAACTTTTTTCCAATCGTATATGAAAAATAGAAGAACAAATATTTTCTTACTAGCAAATGTTACGCGCGGAACGAAAAATCCAATTTATTATTATGCAAATTCTAAAATTTTTTATTTTAAAATGAAACAAATTTTTGAATTAATTTAATAATTAAAATATTGAAAATTCATTCATTATCTATTTTTGCCAAAATTCAATTTTTTTAAAAATTTTTAATAAAATTTCACGAAAGAATTGAATTATTTTCTAAAATTTTAAAATAAATCCTTTAAAACAATTCAACTTTATTTATAAATAGTTAAATTCTTTGCAAAAATTTAATTATTTTTAATACAATTTTAATAATATTTCATGAAAGAATTCAATTTAAAAAAATTTTTAATAATATTTTTCGAAAAAATTCAATTATTGTTTAAAAATTTAACAAATCATTCGAGACAATTTAATTATATTTTCAAATAGTCAAATCTATGCAAAAATTTAATTATTTTCAATAAAATTTCACGAAAGAATTCTTTTTTTTTCTTAATTCGTTATAAAATATTTCAAAAGAATTCAATTATTTTATTGAATTCTAAAATTATTATTCTAATTTTTAAATAATTCTTTAAAAAATTTTAATAAAGTTTTACTAAAGAATTCATTTTTTTCTTATTAATTAGTTACACAATTTTTCAAAAGAATTCAATTATTTTCTCAAATTTTAATAAATCCTTTCTTAAAAATTTTATTACAGAATTCAATAAGGGGTCGTCCATATACCACGTGGACAGTTTAGGGGGGAGGGGGGGTTCGCCAAAAATCCACGATTTTCCACGAGGGGGGAGGGGGGGGTCAATACAAATGTCCACGTGGACACAAAAGTTTAATTTTATATCTTTTTTTTCTTTTTATTCAACTTTATTATTAGATTATTATTAGATTGTGATCAGACAATATTTGTAATACGAAATTTATTTAACTGTCAAAAAAACGCCAAATTCTTTTTTAATTTATATTACAAAATCATTATCGTAAATGCACAAATATGAATATATTTATATGCAAATTTGTCAATTAGGAATACAAAGCAACCTCTACAAACTCTTACAAATTCTAAAAAAAATAATTTCTATTATTGTTTATGTGAAGGCTTAAAGCTATTGGATTTTAGAAAATTTAAGATTTGTTACCGAAGAGATTAAGTATTTCTACTAATATAATAATTGAAGATATATTGCTGCCAAAGTCCTCTCTATAATACTAAAAATGGTATTTACCTATTTAATAATATTTTAAGATAATTTAGTCTTTATTGAATTTTAAAGAAGTTTGTTATAAAAAAATTTAAAGAATTTTTTAATTGTATTTCTTATTAAATATCTTTTTATTATTCACTATTTTAAAATAAAAAACCCGATTGTCCACGTGGACAATCAGGGGGGGGAGGGGTTCGTAAAAAATCCACGATTGTCCACGAGGGGGGAGGGGGGGGGGTCAAAAAGTGTCTAAAAAGTGTCCACGTGGTATATGGACGACCCCTAATCAAATGTTTAATTTCAATTATTAAAAAAACGATTATTTTAAAAACTTGAAAGAAATTGTTCATAAAATTCAATTACTGTCAAAATTTTCATTTAGAATTCTTAAGGAAACTCCATTATTTAAAAAAAATTGAAAGAAATTCTTTAAAAGAATTTAATTAAGATTTTCAAAAATTTTCATAAAATTCTTATCGAGAATTCAATAATTTTCATTAATAATAAAATTCTTCAAAAAAATTCAATTATTTTCGAAAATTTTAATTCCTCTTTCGGCAAGATCTCAATTATTTCCATAATTTATCAAATTTGTTTGCAGGAATTTAATTATTTTAAAGAATTATATACAAATTTTGCACAGAAAATTAATTACTTTGAAAAATTTTGATAAAATTATTTGTGAGAATTGAATTATTTTCAAATTTTAATAAAATTCTTTGCAGGAATTTAATTACTTTAAAGAATTTAAAATGAATTCTTCCCAAAAATATTCTTATTTCGACAAATTTCAATACAATTTTTTGTAAGAAAAAATTTAATTAAATAATTTGAAAAAATTTAATTCTTTTTCTAAACAATAAAATTCTCTGTAGAAATTCAAATGTATTGAAAAACTTTAGTAAAATTCTTTATAAAAATTCACTTATTTTTAATACAATTTTAATAAAAATTCTTACCAAGATTTCCATGATTTTTATAATTACCTAATAAAATTTCTCGAAAAAATTCAATTATTTTCAAAAGTTTTGATAAAACCTTTTATGAGAATTTAAATATTTTTAATATTATTTTCATTAAATTTTTCGTAAGAATTAACTTATTTTTAAAATTTTTCTTAATTACATTTTCCACAAGATATTTAATTATTTTCAAAAATTTGGATAAATTTCTTTATAAGAATTCAATTATTTCAGATTCAAAATTATAAAAAAAATATTTTTTACTGAAATCAATTTGGTTAAATTGATTTTTTGTACTTTTTAATCTTCAATGCAATAAATTAAAGTTTTTCATTAATTTTAAAATTCAAAACATTTAAAAGAAGAATTATCAAAAAAATTAGGAAACAAAAAGTAAACGAAAGCAACTAATTTTAAACTGCGAACAGATTACCGGAACACAACGATTAATAATATACAGAAGAAGAAGACATAGATTTTGTTATTAGATGAAAATTGTGAAAGTTGTGATTCTTTCAAATTCAACTTTTTCATGTAGAAGCCGAGGACTTCTGAAACACGTTTTTCTCTAGTACTGCTAGTAGATAAAAAAATGTACTTTTTTTTAATGTTTTGCAATTTTTTATAAACATTTTTCTGAAAAAATCGTAGAAAATAACAAGGGGTAGAAAAGTGAAAATAAATTTAGAGGTTCATTGTCCAGTTTCTTAGATAAAGAAAAATCGATTTTTTTGAAATCCTTGACCAGAAAGTCCTCTTAAATACGATAAATATTACACTAAATTTTTTGATGACTATAAGAATTGTTTTTATCATGCATAAAGAAAGAAATATTAACATGACGAAATCATGCACATTCTTGAAATTTTTCTGTTTGAAAAGGATCATTCCTGCATACATATAAAAAGACTGACGATGTGCTTAAAATAAATAAGGATCGTTACAAAAATTGTGTATCGTTTTATATTTCATGAATTAAAATGAAAGTTTTAATTTTTTAATTAGTTGACTTGAAAAAAAGTCTTTTGCTTAGTCGAAAGATAAAGATAAAAGTAAATATAATTGCTCAAAAAATAACGAGAACATGTTTTTAATTTAAAATGATGTTAGATTCAAGAATATAATTGTGAATTTGTATTTTAGAAGAAAACTTCCTTTGGAAATTTGAAGGCATTTTTTAAAAGCAAACTGATTTTATAAATTAGAATATTGAATGGTGAGTGCGTGTGTGCTGATATAAATAAAAGAATCAACGATACTACTTATTAAATTCTGTCTTTCGAAGTGAAAAATTAGAAATTCCTAAAATTTGTCCATTAAATATTGAATTATTTGTAAACTTTAACGATGCAAATAGTTCTCATATCTAGATTAAAAATATTTTGAGACTATAATATATAATATAGAAAAATGTATCAGGCATGATTAAATACAACTTTTTACCATAGAGCATCAGCTCTTCCCAGGTGGGGAGTGTTTCTAAGCAAACAAAAATTTTACAACTTCAGTAATGTTTTCACTTTTCTCTGTCTAGATCAGTTCAATTATTTTCATCCATGATTAGCATTGATATTACATTCATTATTTAAAATTGGGGAAAATTCACCAATTATTATTATTATTTGCGAGTTATAGAGAGCCAAAAATTCTAAAAAAAGTTCCAAAAATTCAAAAAGTTCCAAATTGTTTGATTTGTCCAAAAATTCTTTTTCCCAAATGTCGTTATTTCAAAAATTCTTTCTTTTCTTTTTTAACCTTCGGAGAACACACCTCTTTTAAAATCATTTTTCTAAGCTCAACCAATTTTGAACTGTTCATCTGATCAACCTAAGGATTTTTTAAAAATATATAGTTTAAACTCTGTAGAATTGAACGATTGTGTGTACGGTTTGTGATCCGCAAGTAATGAAATATTTAACTGTTTGTCATTATTAACGGCACGAACCATGAGAAAGTCCCAGTCAGCAATTGGACGCTCACAAGTAGGAAGGGGAAACTTTACCCTTTCCTTCTTGTGAATGTCCAATCGCTCTCTGGGTCTTTCTCAGGGTTCGTGCTATTTAATAATTGCTTTCAAAATTTACAATCAGATAATGTTTAGTTACCCGCTTTAATGCTTTAATTTGCACATTTCGTAAAGAAAATGTAAAAGTTTTAATTTTTATAAAAATGGAAAGTGCAAAAAATTGTGATTTTAGGGTTTGGTTCGTTTTCAATTTCGTATGTTTACATATCACAACTTGGGCATGTTTACGATTAATATAATCATCCGATTGCTGCAATAAGAAATTTAATTTATTTGTAATTTTCTACATTGTAATCTTAATGTTTTTAATTAATATTTATTTCAAAAATAAAATAGTTATTTTATGAAATATTTTTCTTCAAATATATATGTCCAGGTTTAGGATTATTAAAATGAAGTTAAAATATCATAAAGTCTTTCAACATTAATGATTGCACATCAGTTCATTTAAACAATGAAATATCTAACACGACTCAATTAGGTATCTACAAATTGCATAATTTTCTTTTTCAATATAAACCCTGAGAAACTATTATTAAGTCATAGTTATAAAATTGACCTTAGTACCTACATAGTCCAAGTCGCGGTTCCCTCGGGTTCCTCTAAAAAACCTTTCAATCATGATGAGGTGTAAATTTAAATTAATAAAAATGTTAACTAATTTGAATTAGTGACTAACTTTTTTTTAGTAAATTTTACTAATTCAAAAGCAAAAAGTCAGTCACTAATTCAAATTAGTTAACATTTTTACTAATTCAAATTTAGCGAAATGATCAATGGTGTTGAATTTGAATATTACGATGAAGATCTAATTTCAACTGAATTACGAAGTGGAGCAAGATTTCCGAATGTGGGATTGGGAACTTGGAATGTATGTGATTTTATTTTTTACTACATGTCGTTATACTTATTTTGTTCATACATTAATTAAAACTCCTCCTGAATGGATTCACCCGTTTTTGCGTGATCTCCGAATCAACAGAATTAGTTTATATATTTATTTATAGGCTTTTGCCCCTTTTTCCGACAAAGACGTTGAATTGGCTGTGGTTGAAGCTTTAACAATGGGATATAGACTAATAGACTGTTCTCCAACTCATTTGAACGAAAAAGCAATTGGAAAAGCTTTAAGGCAAATATGGACAATGAATAGCTGGACAACAATTACAAGAGATGATATTTTCATAGTGAGCAAGGTATGTTACAATTTCGATATAACCTTTTATAATTTTAGTAATTAATAAATTATATAATTCATAAATGTTAAAATATCTATTGAATTAAAGAATTTTTTAATAATCGAAATTTCGTAAAATTAAAATTTTGAACAAATGAACCGTCCAACTTGGAAAATCTAGGTACATTTTTTATCAACAGCGTAAAAATTAACAATTAAATACTGTTTTTATTTAAAAATATCTAGTTACCACCTACGGGTAACCGGCCTGGTGGAGTGGCGAAACATTTGAACCAAACATTAAAAGACTTACAATTAGATTATTTGGATCTCTATTTAATTGAAGCGCCGTGGACTTTCGAGGAAGATGGTGAAAAATTGATTCCGACTAATGAGGACGGAGAAGTAAAATTGGACATGAATACTGACAATATAGCTACTTGGAGGGAAATGGAAAAACAGGTTGACCTAGGAAAAGTCCGAGCCATTGGTCTGTCAAATTTCGAATATTCACAAGTTATGGAAATCGATCGCGCGTCACGAATTCCCATTTCCGTAATTCAAATGGAAATGCACGCCTATTTCCAACCAGACGCAGACCATGTACGTTTCTACCTATATCCATTCTTTCTTTTATACTATAATACATACCCAGCTGAAAAAGTTCTATAGAATTTCACTAGAATAATTCTATATGAATACTAGTGAATATTCTATAGAATTTCTACATGAATTCTACTAAATTTTAGTGACTATCAGACTCGAACTAGGTCCGTAAATTTGATTCAAGTCCGTAAAAGACATTTAATAAATTATTTATTTGTTAATTTAAATAAATGAATTTTTTGAGTATCTAATACTTTTTTAGAGTGAATCAGAATATTTTTTAGGGTCAGAGAAAAAGTGAGAATTTTGTCTGGAAATCAGGGAAAAGTCAGGGAAAAGTGAAAATAAATATTTGTGGCAACCCTGAATACGTAATTGAATTTCGAAATTAATTTTGTTGAAAAAGTGTAATTGAATTTTTTTATATTATTTGAAGTTTTTATTTTCTAATATATATTTAATTGAAGAATTTACGAAAAATTGAAATTTGTAAAATTGTACCTATATATTGTAAATAAATGGATTTTGAAAATTGTTGAAGAACTTTTTCGAAAATTAATTGATTTTAAAGAAGAATTTTAGTTAAAAATTCTTAAAAATAATAATTGAATTGAAATGATGAAAATAATTTTGAAGAAGTACAATCTGGGTGTCCAGCGATTCTTTAAAAAAAATTCAAGGACTTTTCAAGGTTTTCAAGGTCTAAAATAATTTTTTCCAAGGTCCATTTTTAGGGTACTAATTATTCAAAATAATTGTTATTTATAATCCAGTGTAATAGAGTAAGTTCTGTTTACTAGTTTTCCTCAATGAGAGTAAATTTTTTACTTACTCTCTAAATTTGAATTAGTAAAAATTATTACTAATTTGATTTAGTGACTGACTTTTTTCTTTTGAATTAGTAAATTCTGTAGAATATTCACTAGAATTCATATAGAATGATTCTAGTGAAATTCTAAAGAATTTTTTCAGCTGGGTACGTATAAATCTACATAAACATTTAATAATGAAATGTAATATTGCAGCTCGATAAGTATAGAGAGATGGGAATAAAAGTAATGGCATGTTGTCCACTTGGATCACCAGGTCTCGCCAAGTTCACCGGAAAACCAGAAGAGTTCTCTAATCCAATGAACGATCCGACAGTTAAAAAGATAGCGGACAAGTATGATAAAACTCCAGCCCGAGTTTTACTCAGGTTTCTAATTCAAAAAGGAGTGTCAGTGATTCCAAAAAGTTATGATAAGGATAGACTCTACGAAAATAGTGATGATTATTTTGATTGGGAACTTGAATGTTCAGATATAGAAGAACTGGATGCTCTTAATAAAGGACCAAATGGTCGAGTACTGGATTTCGTCAGTTTCTTTAAAGGCATCGAGAAACATCCTCAATTTCAATTTCAAATCAACAAGAAAACTGAAGAGGAAATTGAAGACGAAAATGAAGATGAAATTGAATATTATATTGAAGAAGATGGATATTTTGAGTAAGTGTGCCAATTGTGTCAGGTGCTCCAATTATGTCGACTTTGTGAAAAATATAATTATTTGCTACTTTAGAATAATATAATTATTTGAAAAAGTTATTTTCGACCTTACTCGATATAATTGTACGTAAAGAAATATATTTAAACTATTATTTAATTTAATTATTTAAGAACAAAGATTGCTCCGCGACATAATTGACACATTTCCATAGAATACACGTGCTCCAGTTATGGCGCGCAACGTATCTTCTAAATACACATTATTTTCCCCGCCGAAATCGACTCAATCCCCCACATAATTGACGTTTTTGATCTTATTTTTTATTGCTTAAATTTGTTTAAATAATTAATTTTTATAAAATTATTATCTAAATGACACAGGCTTTTAATTAAATAAGCTATAAATTTACTTCTTTCATATTATACAGCATAGACATGCCCTAAAAACCTAAAATAAAAATAAACATGGCTGAAATAATCCAAGATATCGTTTCAAGTTTCGAAAATTATATTCTGGAAAATATTCCAAATTTGGAACATTTTATTTCAACAATTTTTCATAATTTGAAAAAAAGAATTTTTGATTTTGGAACTTCTTTCCTAAAAACTTTGGGTTTGGAACTCTTAACTTGGAATTTTTGTACCCTAATCTGTTCTTGGCGATTAAAAACTTGTTTATTTACATGCTCGCAAGGTTAGAGTACCATTCAATGAATGTTGAGAATGAATATTTCAAGTTATAGACAAAAAAGAATTCTGTCATCTTAAATAGGAGATAATTACCTTGTGCTCCAAGCATCGTGGCCTTGACTGTCGACAATATCTTCAGCTGTGTTCCTATCGTTGGAATGCGTTCGCAAACTTGGAGTAAATTCTGCAATGTATAGAAAAGAAAGTGTTAATAACATGGAAAATTACAATACATTGGGTAAATGGAAGAGAGAATTGAGAAAAATTTTACCGTTCTGATACGTTTGTCAGTACACTCTCTGGCGAGTTCTTTGGCGAGACGAGTGACCTCCTGAGAAGCTTCGGCAATAGCCTTGGCGCAAGCGATCAAGTCGCGCTTATTTCCACCTTCTCCTCGCACCAATCCCGACAATCTGCCCATCAAAATAGCCATCTTCTTAGCTGCCGCAATTATTTCGTTATCTTTGCTTGACCACTGGCGCACTTCTTGGTGCAATCCATGAGCTGCCATCTGGAAAATGGAAATAACCATTTATGAATAAAAACTCATTTTTTAATGCCTTTTCCAGGCTTCGCACTCATCTACTAAAACCTACTATTTACTACTTTTTTTACGTTATGCTACTATTTGGGTATTTTTTTTAGATTTCAGCCACTAAAAGCTACTATTTCTTTTTTTTTTAATTTCCACTACTTTAAATTTGTTAATATTGGAAATAAAAAAACTATTCGAAAAAATTATAATCAAATTCTTTAAAACGATTCAATTATTTTCAAAAATATTCCAAATGCAATAATTTTCAATATCTGGTATTTTTATAAAACTTCGCAAAAGAATTTAATTATTTTAACAAAAATTGATAAAATTCAACCAAAATTCAATTATTTTCATAAATAACAATATTCATCACAAGAATTCATTTCTTTTTAATAGTAATAAATTTTTTCTTGGAAATTCAATTATTTTAAATAATTCTAATAAAATCGTTCGCAAGAATTCAATTATTTTCTTAAATAATGAAATTCATCACTGGATTTCAAATATTTTTTTTAATAGGTACAATTTTACTAAAATTGCTTAAAAAAAGAATTTAATTATTTTCAAATATGTTAATACAATTGTTCGAAAAAAAATCAATTATTTTAATTACAATTTTAATAACATTTTTTTGAAATAATTCAATTATTCTTTTAGATTTAAATAAAATTCTTCCCAAGAATTCAATTATTCAAATAAATAATTCTTCGAAAGAATTCAATTATGTCGATAAATAACAAAATTATTTCCGAAAATTCAATTATTTTGAAACATTTTTAAAAAAATTCTTTGCAAAATTTAATTGATTATTATTTTTTTAATTATACAAAAGTTCTTCAATTATTTTCGAATTACATTACAATGTTTATAAAAAACTAATTCTTAGAATTGTTTTATTACAATTTTTTAAGATTCAATTACCTTCGAACAAAATAAATTCAAATTTTTAAAAATTTACTATTTTAGAATTTTTGAGAAATCATTTATAATTAAAATTCTTCAAAAATTTGATTATTTTTTTATATTTTTAAAAAACTCAATTATTTCAAAAAGATTTAATCAAATTTCAATTATTTTTCAAAGATTTTACTACATTTGAATTATTTTTTAAAAGATTTTACCAAATTTTAATTTTTGGACATTTTTTAATTGCATGTAATTGTAAAAATATTGTCTTTCAAAAATTATTTAGAAATATTTTTAAAAAGTTAATTTTACGAATTTCTTTATTAAAATTTTTTTAAATATTCTACCTAAATATCTTCAAAAAAAAATTAACAGTTTCAATTATTATTATAAAATTACATTTTTTGAAATAATTTAATTATTCTTTTAGATTTTAATAAAATTCTTTACAAAATTCAATTGTTTCCATAAATAACAATATTTATCTCAAGAATTCAATTATTTATAAACTAATAAATTTCCTCTTGAAAATACAATTCTTTTCAAAAATTCTAATAAAATCGTTCGCAAGAATTCAATTATTTTCATAAATAATAAAATGCTTTTTAGGAATTCAATTACTTTCAAAAAAAATTTAATAAAATATTTAATAATTGAACCACATTCAATTATTGTCAAAAATTTTAATAGATTTCTTTGTAAAATTTAATTATTTTCAAAAACTTTTCGCAATTCAATGATTTTCAATATTTACTATTTTCATAAAATTTTCAAACAATTTCAATTATTCGAAAATTTCTTTGTAAAAATCTTCGTAAGAATTCAATTCTTTTTATAAATAATGAAATTCTTCTCAGGAATTCAATTATTTTTGAAAATTTCAATAAAATTCATCTCAGGATTGCCATTATTTTTAATACAATTTTACAGGAATTGCTCAAAAAATAAAAAAAATTTAATTTGAATTCCTCGAAAAAATTTAAAAAATATTTGATATTTTATTAATTATTTCTTTTTGTTTTTGAATAATTAAATTCTCGTTGTTGAATTCTGATAAGAATTGAAAGAAAAGAATTTTATCAAAAATTCTAGAAAATAATTGAAATTAATTAATTTAATTCCTTAATTTAATATTAATTAATTGTAAAAATTCCAGAAAATAAAGTTAAACATTGAAACAATTGGAAATTTTGCCAAGATTCGTTGAACGAATCTTACGTTTTATATTTAAAAAAAATCTTATTTTTTCACTTCTAAACATTATTTTGAAATATAATCTCGTATTTTTGATAAATTGTAACTGGAAATTTAGAAAATAATTGAATTTTACAACAAATTTATAATTTGATTTACTACTTGTTTTCAGTCTTAAAGTCAATACTTTTTTTTATTAATTAACGAGTGCGAAGCCTGTTAATTGTAATGAATAAATCTGTCATTGATGTTTCAAAGTTTCAATGAAATTTTAAATTTGCATTTTTATCGGCGATTTAATAACACTGAAAAAAAATTCCAAATTTGAAATAAAATAAAAAATGTATTACAAAAATATTTATCGATTCATTTAATTTTCCTTTTTTTGACACAGATTTTGATGCACTTTTAATATATTTAAACATGTTTACAAATTTCACAACCAAAACAAAGTAAAACAAATTCTCCATGAGAAAGGAGAATGTACTTCACCCGGTAGCGGTTTCTAATTTTTAATTACATGCTATGAATTACATGACATTAGTTTATTGAAACAAGTAGTCAAAGAAGAAACAAATTCTGCAGAAACTACATTTTACTGTGAATTTCGTTCTAAATGCAAATTCTAAATGGTTTCTCTAAAATCAATTTCTCCAATGTTTATTTTGGGGGATAAGAAAAAAGCAAATAATAATTTTAGGTAGATGGAGATGGAAATTTTCTATAATTATCTCTAATGAAAATGAGTTTTATTATACTGTGAAAAATATCAACACAAGTAAAAATTTGTTTATACTAGAAAAAACATTGTGTAAAAAAATCCTTCCTTGTTTCAATTAAAATTTGAATTTTAATGTTTTATGAAAATTTTCTTTCTTTCTTTTCTTTTGGTTTTAATGGAAAAGTTTGAAAAATAGTGACAGAGTAATGAGCAGAAACTATATTTTCTTTTAGTTTAATTAAAGATGGACTATAATAGTAATTAAAACTAGTGCTTTATTTGAAAGCTTTTTGAGAAAAGTAGAAATAGAATGAGAAAAATTCGAATGATAAGAAAAGTAATTTTGAATGATAAAATTGTGACGACATAAATACCATAATTGGTTGATTTGGTTGAGGGGCATGCATAAACATCTCATCTTCGTCATCAGTCTCTGGTGGTGGTGGTCTTGGAGGTGGAATGTCACCACTGGGCAGAGGTGGACGTGGAGGTGCCATTTCTATTCAACATAAAATAATTAAGCAAAATTATTTACCATTTTTCAAGCTCTTCACTTTTTCGACAAAATACATAAAACTTTTTTCAAAATTTTAAATGCCAAATAATGGGAGAAGCAAAGCGTCTTTCAATTCTCTAAATTTACATTTTTAATTTTACTTCATTCAAATAAATAAACATTCTCTAAACTTTAAGAAAAAATATAAGAAATTTCAGCAAGTAAAGTACAATATTTTATAAATATTTTTCAATTTAGAGGAAAAACTTGTCAAAATGAGACAAATTGATTTGAAAATTATTAGATTTCTGAAAATACAAAAGATACTTGAAGAAATGTATTTTAAACTTAAAGAATGTTAATAGGTACAAATTTTCTTTTAATTTTTACGAACTTTGGAATAATTTTTAATAATTCTACAAACTGGCTTTTGTGTATTCTTTTATCAAATTTTTTCAAGTTTTCCCTAAAATTTAACAAATTTATTAAAATTCTATGCTGCACTTATTTGAATTTTTTAAACACTACCGGTCTTAATATTGTGCCACCCCTACTTTTTTCTATTAAATAACTTTGAACTTGAAAAAAATAATATCTTAAATTTTTTCCCTTTTATTTGCAAAAAACTGTTAAAATTCTGAAAATAATGTTAATTTTTCAATCAGATATTTAACAAAAAAAACATTCACTCTAAAAATGATTAGATACTCAAAAAGAAAACAACAATAACTTTATTTTTAAATAAATATTTAATCATTTATTACTTTTCCATGGGAATTAAGATTTTCAAAATTTAAAATTCAAACCTTTTGAAATTCAATAACTTCTTCAAAATTATTTTCATGATTTCAATTATTCAATTATTATTTTCTACAATTATTTTTAAATAAAATTCTTTTTTAAATCAATTATTTTTAATAATTTTTTACAAAGTTTTTTTTGAGAATGTTCAAATTTATTTGTTTACAATTCAATTTTACGAGAATTCGATTATTCAGAAATTCTTCAATGAAATTTTCATTAGAAAATGAAAACTTGGAATCATTTAAAAAAATTTTTAAAATAATTGAATTCTTTCGGCGATTTTTAATAAAATTTTTAAAAATAATTACATTTTTCTAAGAATTTGATTAAAATTGTATTAAAAATAATTGAAATTCTGCAAGAAGTTTTATTATTTATGAAAAAGAAAATAATTGAATTATTACGAAGAATTTCATAAAAAAGTTTCGAACAATTGACTGTTTTAAAAAATAATTATGCAAACTCTAGTTTTAGTAATTGAATTCCTGTGAAATTGTCATTTTAGAAAATAATTAAATATTCGTGTAGAATTTTTATCAAAATTATTTTTAAATAATTGAATTTTTTTGGTAAATTTTATAAAAATAGTAGATAACAAATTATTGAATTAAGAAATTTTTTTTAAAATAATTGAAATTTCGTCATAAATTTTATTAAAATTTTTGAAAATAATTGAATTTTATTAAAGTTCTTGAAAATAATTGAATTCTTGTGATGAATACTATTATTTATGAATAATTGAATTTTAAAATGAATTTTATTAAAATTCCTGAAAATAATTGAATTTTGACGAAAAATTTTGTTATTTATAAAGATAATTGAAATATTGACAGTTTTTTTTAAGATTTTTTGAAAATAATAAATTGAACTTTTGCGAAGAATTTTATTAATTTTGAAAACAATTGAATTCTTATGATGAATATTATTATTTATGAAAATAATTGAATTTTGCAATAATTTTTATTCAAATTCCTGAATATAATTGAATTTTGATATTTATAAAGATAATTGCAATATTGACGAGAATTTTTTAAAAAAATTTTGAAAATAATTGAATTTCTGTAAAGAATTTTGATATTAATAAATTAATTTTTTCGGAAGTTATAAATAAGAAATTATGCAAATCACTGAAAATGTTTGCTAAAAATCTGATTGAAAAATTAATATTTTTTTGTCGTCTAGGTGTCATTTTTTCAAACTTTTATCAGCTTCTTGAAAATAAAAAAAAATTTAGTTATTATATTTTACATGTTTACGGTCATTTAATATTCATAAAAAAGTAGCGTTTGCACAATCATCGCAGGTAGTGTAATTATTTTTCTATCAATATAAAATTCATTTTTTAAATAATTATACTCAAATTTTATATAGTAAAAAAATTAACAAATGTTGTTTAGCAAGAGCGATATATATTTAGTATTATGCAAAACTAAGAATAAGTTTAGTTTATCAATGTTATTAATTATTTGTTGCGTGCATTAGATACTTACGATTTCAATTTTCTGTCGCAGACAAAATATTGAAAAGAAAATAAAAAATTTTCTCCATAGAATTTGACATGCTTTAGAAAGCAATAACGTGAAAGATCGAAAATTGTGATACTTCCCAAGTTGTGACAATAAAAATTGAAAAATATGTTTCAAGACAATAAACATAAAGAGAGGTGGCATTCATTCTCATTTATAATAGATTTCAAGACAAACATGCATCTAGAGTGTGTACATACGCATAAAATCATCGAAATGATAAACAAGAAAAATAAAAAAATACGATGTAGTGAAATTACCTCTAGCTCGGTCTGACTTTTCTAATTCATCCACGGAAGCTAGATCGTTGTATAAGAGTTCAGGATTATCTCCTGACGAAATATAAAAAAAAATTAGCAAAGCAACGAATTAAAAATAAAAATAATTTTTAAATACAAGAAAAGTGTATTTTTTTCTCTACCCTTACGAAAACTTGTGACTTGCATGCAAAGTTTTTCTCAATAATTACCATAAAAATTTGTTCGGATAGAACATTTCGTTCTTTTATTTTTACGGTCTCTTAAGAAATTATGTACCTACGATAAACACAAAAGGATATCAGGCCTCGGATCGACTTTAAAGCACAAAAAGTCGTTTTATTTGATTAAAAATACAAAAAGAGTCGAAAAAGTCGAAAAAAATTCAGTGCTGTCACAAAAATTTTATTTTCTATTTCCCTGACCTCCCATTGATTTCCAAATTCAATAAATCATTCAAAAACTTGAATAACTTTATTCAATACCTAAATATTTTATTTTGAAAAATTTAAATTTAACACCTTTTGAAATTTAATAATTTCTAAAAATTAAAAATCATTCTTTCTTTATAAAGAACTTTAATAAAAAATTTTGAACATAATTGTTTTCCCCAAAATGTTAAAAAAAAATTCTAAAATATTTAAATGTTAGGTATTTTCATTTCGCAATATTTTGTATTTGAAATATATAATTTGAAAGTTTTGAAAATAATTGAATTTTAAAACATTAGAATGGAAAAAATTCTAAAAATTACTTTATTTCAAAAATATTTTAATAAAATTTTGAGAAGCTAATTTTCATTAATTTTTATTTTTAAATTTACACTTGGAGATTTTTCATTAAAATTTTTGAGAATTCAATTATTTCTAAAATTTGGAATTAAAATTCTTTAAAAATTGATTTTCAAAAATTGTAATATAATACTTGAAAAAAATCAATTAATTTCAATTAAATTTTACAAAATTTCAATCATTCAAATTTTTTTAAATTAATATTTTAAAAATTTAATTAACTTTAAAAAATTATTTAGAAATAATCTTTGACAGATATGTCTAGTTATTTTTAACACTACAAAAATCGAAATAATTTGCATTTTATACTGAAAATGTAGTATTTTGTTGCAATATTTAGAAAAAAATTAGAAAAAATCACAATTTTCGAAAATAAATCGAAAAAAGTTTCATTTTTTGAAAAAAGTCGAAAAAAGTTGAAAAAGTCATAATAGGTACCCGAGGCCTGGGATATTAATAAAATTATAAATTCATGATAATTAACAAATTTTTTCTTTTTTTTGGCAACCTGCAAATAAATATCTCCCCTATTTTTTTAATTTTAATAATAAAGATTAAATTTAGGTCCTAAATAATTTTTAAAAAATTGTCTCACCTTAACAATTTAAACATCGAAAGGTTTAAATTTCACCCCTTAACTCATTAAAAAATGAATAAATAAATAAAACTTATATTTCTGACGTGCTCCTAAGAAGCAAACGAATCATATTAGGTTATGTTTGTGCCAGATTTATCTTGATTAAAATTTCCTTTTAAATTATTTAAATTTGAAATTAATTTTTATTGAATATTTTTGATATAACGAAAACTTTAATATCAATAATTTGTAATAGAAATTGATTCTCTTTCTGTATTTTTACTCTAAAAATTATAAATATAACCTCAAATTTTTTTGCAATAAAATTCTTAGGTACCTTTCTTGGGAGCACATCACAGTTTTTCATTTACTTTAATAAAATAGAAATTTCCCTCTTTTGCGTAAAAAGAGAGAAAAAAGTAAGATTTTTCGTGAGGGCGAGTTATCATAAACAAGATTTCAAACAATAAAATAAAAAAGAAACATTTACTCAAAAAAAGTAAATTGGACAAATGGCAGGTTTGAATTGATATTTTCAAGTTTTGTAATTAATTGTGTACCTCCTCGAGCCCATTTTGGAAGAGGACTGACAGGTCGATGCAGTGGTTTATGGTTCTCCGTGGGAGAAATGACACGTAAAGTGCTGGGCGAGGGCTGATTCCTTAAAGGTTCACCAACTAATGGTTCAACAAGTTTTCTTTTTAATTAATTCACGAAAAACAATTCTAACAATAGGGAAAACACATTTTTATTTTTTAACGATAGTAAAAAAACGCGAATAGCAAAATATAAAGACTAGACCATTTTGTAATAGTAAATAAAACAGACGTGCACTTTACAATAATAATATATACATTTAAGAATATTAAAAATTCATTAATTGAATATGAAGAAAAATTCATGAAAATTTCACATGCGCCCTTAAGACTTTTATTATTGAAAAGTGGAAATAACAACCTTTTGAAAGTATAATTATTAATAACATTGTATGGAGTGTAAATGAAGAAAAACTAATCAAGTTCAGATGGTACACCTGAATTTATCCCAAGATTTATATTAAACCACCAGTTTTGAAAGACGGGTATAAATTGAATAAAAAGTCAACTCTAATGCTATCATGCAAATCTATTTTTGTGAAAAAGTAGATACCTTTCTCTGTGAAGTAATTGCAAGGTTTGCTTGTTACATGTTGGTCTGTAAAAAATATCAGTTTATTTTTACTTTCATTTTATTTTCATCTGATTATGAGAATATTGTAGTTGCGGACAGATTTATTTCCAAATATGTTCATCTCGAACAAAAATTTAATTTTCGAATTAATAAAATAACAATTCTTTATAATCACTGTCCGACACTGATTTTGCCCCTTGAATAATAATTCTAGTCACATTCGACAGATTTTGGCACATTTTTTGTTAAAAAATTACGAAAATCACAAAAATTACAAAAATCTGCAAATGAAAATGCCCTGCCACGTCGAATTTTTTAGAAAATTGTTGTTAAAAATAAAAAAGCGTGTTTCTGACTATCTTTTATTTTGAATATGTAAATAAAAAACAAAAGGAGCTAAAATCTTGTTCGTGGGTCCAATTAACAAATTTTTTGAAAATTAGTTCGCAATAAAAATGATCAATAAAAATTATTTTCTTAAATAGTAAAATTTTTTTTAAGAATTTAATAATTTTTTAAATAATAAACCTCTTCGCAGAATTTCAATTATTTTTAATACAATTTTCGAATCGAATTAATTGAATTTTAAAAGCATGAATTTTTAGAAATAATTGAATTTTGAAAAGTTTTCAAATTAAAATATTTAAAAATTTAAAATTTTTATAGTTTTAACTGAAAATTCTGTATAGAATTATTTTTTTTCAAAAGTTTAATTTAATTCTTTTTTTAAGTTTTTATTTTTCCGTTATATATTTAATTGAAGAAATTCCAAATAATCGAAATTTTTGTAAAATTGAATTGTAAACAAATGGATTTGAAAATTCTCAAAGAACTTTTTTAAAAATCATTAAAAATAGTTGATTTTAGTTAAAAATTGTAGAAAATAATAATTGTATTGAAATGATGAAAATAATTTTGAAGAAGTTACAGTAACAATATTCTTTTAATGTAAAATAATGATTTTATTACTCAGTCATCTTTAATTATTATAAGTTATTGAATTTAACAAGATTTGAATGTTTTAAAATCTTATGGGAAAATAATAATATTTTAAGTATTTATTAAAAAAGAAGTTATTGTCTCGGATTTTCCTAAAATTCTGGAATTTCATAAAATCATTATTGAAAGAAAATGGAAATTACTTTTTTCATGTTTTGTAATTTTTTTTTTTGAAATTACTTTTTTCTTTTTGTAATTTTTTTATAGGAATTCTAACATTAAAATAAACAATTAGCGAAAGAAAAAATTTTCGTCGACTAAACGTTGGTAACTTCAGTTTTATAATTATTCAAGGGCAGAAAAAAAATTCATTGACGTCGAACAGTGTAATTTACACTGTTGAAATTTAAAATTTTTAATTTTGTTCAAAAATATGCCCGCAACTGTTCTAAAATGGAAATCATCTCTAATCAAAGGATCAAACGTACTATTCTTTTATCACCGTAATTCATTGTCTTGAAAATATTCCTGAATAGATTTATTCTTCAAGAAAGATTATCGACAAATCGAGTGTTTAAAGGAGAAACAGAATGGAAATTGAAAATATATTTAAAATTGTAGTCGATCTTCAGTTGATGATTGAAGGAAGTGAAGATTGTTGCAGTTTGTGTTTTTTGTTCGAAACTTGTTACTCAAATCGAATTATCTTTAGTACTTTTATTTTGCGGTGATCACAATACGGGCCGTGACCCAAAGGTAGCACGACTTTTTTCCGCCCATATACGGATCAAGGGGTTAAGTGCGTATTGCCTTCCAACTACAAGCGTGATCTTGACATTAAGCGTTTTGCGTTTTAGGAACTAAAATTTTTTCAGTAAAACTCAAGGATATTGTTACTTGAAAATTATTCTCCAAAGTTTCAAAATAACTACTAGAAATAAAATTGTTAAATTTTTCAATTTTCAAATTCTTTTTTGTAAATGGATAACCATTTTGCATGAGTAACATTTAATTTCGATCCCTGATGAATTTACTGAATTCACTTTTAATATTTACTAAATCTACGCTTAGTGGAAAATGGTGTAAAAAAGGGATTAAAAATAAAGGGATAAGAGAATTAATAAAAGTAGACTTACCATCGCCAATGTGTAGTTGAGATATGGCAGGAGGAAGAATGACATCAGAGTCGGCGGTGACGGCCTTTCGCACTTGACCAACTGCTCCCAGGAGCTAAAAAGCAATCGATAATTAAACTCATTGCAAACCGATAGTGACAATTACATAAGAACTTGAAAAACTTCTTACGTTGCGATTGCTCTCTCTCCACTTGGACACTGCAGAGCCATCGTTTGTATTCATCGCCACTTTTTTCGCGTCCTGGACCATCGGAGCAACAGCTGAAACAAAATAGAAATTGTCAAAAAAGCAGACTTGGCACACGATAATAATTAATTTTAAAAAAGTAGCTTTCAAACTAAAAAAAGTAGTAATCGAAAAATTAAACTTGACGACCAAAAAACTCGTTTTAGACACTTCACAAAACTGACAAAAATTCCATTCTACATTTTATTTTCCTGACTGTTTCCTAATTTTCATCAAAAATATTTACTTCTCTCTTATCCTGATAACAAATTGAATTCCTACAACGCATTTTATTATTCATCAAAGAATTTAAATATTTATAAAAGAAATTTAATTCCTGCGAAGAATTTTATAAACATTTTTAAATAATTCATTTCCATCGACTAATTTTATGCAAATTCTAATTTAAATAATTAAATTCTTGAGAAATTTTTATTATTCGTGAAAAGAATTGAATTCTTACGAAGATTTTTACAAAATTTTTTAAAATAATTGAATTCTGTTTGGAAATTTTTAAAAAATAGAAGATATTGAAAATCATTGAATTAAAAAAAGTTTTTAAAAATAATTAAATTTTACAAAGAATTTTATGAAAATTTTTGACAACAATTGAATGTTTGTGTGACAATTTATTAAATTTTTTTTGAAAATAATCAAATTCCTAAAAAGCATTTTATTATTTAGGAAAATAATTGAATTCTTGAGAACGATTTTATTATTTATAAAAATAATTGAATTCTTACGCAGATTTTTACGAAATTTTTTTTAAATTATTGAATTCTGTTTGGTAATTTTATGAAAATAGCAGATATTGAAAATCATTTAATTACGAGCAGTTTATAAAAATACTTAAGTTTTAAAAAGAATTCTATTAAAATTTTTGACAATAATTGAATGTGGTTCAATTTTTAAATATTTTATTAAATTTTTTTGAAAGTAATTGAATTCCTACAAATCATTTTATTATTTATGAAAATAATTGAATTCTTGCCAACGATTTTATTAGAATTTTTTAAAATACCTCAAAACAATTGAATTTTTGAGAACAATTTTATTATTTGTTGACATAAAAAATTGAATTTCCATGAAAAATGTTATTATTAGTGAAAGTAATTAAATTATTGTGAAGAATTGTATGAAAAATTTGTTAAATAATTGATTTTTTCGCAATTTTTTTCAAAACGCTATTCTAAATTAATTGAATTCCTGTGAAAAAATTATTATTTATGAAAATAATTGAATTTTGGTTGAATTTTTTCAATTTTTGTTTTAAATAATTGAATTGTTTTGGGAAATTTGATGAAAATATTAGACATTGAAAATAATTGAATTTGGAATATTTTCTGAAAGTAATTGAATCGTTTTAAAGAATTTGATTATAATTTTTGAGAATAGTATTTTGATTTCTAGTATAAGCGAATTTAAAATAGTGTAAATTCTTAAAAAAACAGAAATAGTTGCTTTTAGTGGGTGAAATAAAAAAAAATTATCCGAATAGTAGGATAACGTAAAAAAAGTAGTAAATAGTAGGTTTTAGTGGATGAGTGCGAATAAAATAAATAAATGAAATTAAAAACAAAAATAGAATAGGAGAAGAGTATACAAGGACGTGAAAGTGAGAATCACCATTCTGAAGTGCGTCGATGGCTCTGTTGACTCTTTCGATGAACGCAGGGTCCTCGCTGTTGTCGCTCTCCTGCTTAGCTACCAAAATGACTCTGTTCGCCAGCCTGGCGTTGGCGGAAGTGTTGTCCACCATTTTCTGTGGGTTGTTCTTGGCGATCGCGTCCTCGCAGAGGAAGGAATGTTTCTGCATCTGCTCCTCGGACGCCCTGATGAAGTCGCCGCTGTCGGTCGCCTCGTCGCAGAGCGCCCTCACTCTCTGGATGGTGTCCGCGTACTGCTGCCTCAGGTTCTCGAAGTGCTCGTCAGCTGCCTTGCTCTCGGGGTAGGTCATTCGAATGCGCCCAGCGTTCACTAGCTGCGGAGTCAGGGACTCGATTTGCGAAGCGCTGGCATTGAGAGCCTCCGCCAACTTCTTATTTCCGCCACTGCCACCAGCCGCCACCATCTTCGCCGTCTTCGCGGCCCTGTTCGAGAACGTCTGCAGTGCGAGGGTCTTGTCGTTGAAGTTCTGCTCCCTATTCGGTGTTCCTTCGGGGGCCAGGACGGCCTCTGTGAATTGCTTCAGGGGCGTCGTGATGTCGATGAAGTCCTCAACCACCCGCGACACAACCGCCTGTTGAATTTTGTTCTTCAGCTCGCGGAGTTTGTGCGACAATTGACGAGCGATTTCCTGAGCTTGAGGACTCGAGCCCTGTCCACGATGACAGAGGTCTTCCAGCTGACGCGATAGACTCTCCACCTCGTCACAGAGTTGAAGGATTTCGGCTTTGTGAATTCCTGGCAATCCGTCGGCCACCTAAATGTCAAGAAAACTCATTACTTCATTGATTGAATCATAAGTCACGCTGGGTCTCAAATAACTTCTTTTTAGGGTTTCGTGGCTTAAAAACGGACGAAAACCCTTATACAGAGACTTAAGCGTCCGACTGCAGTTCCTAACGGAAATTTTTGCGAAGTCCGCAACATTTTTAAAAACAAATAATAAAGGTTTTTTTTCAAAATAAATTCATTTACCCAATTTTTTCCCCAATTTCCAGACAAAATTTTTACTTTTTCCCTGACCCTAAAGAATATTCTAATTCACTTTAAAAATTATTAGAAACTCAAAAAAAAAATTCTATTACATTTATTTACGAATTTTTTTCATTTTTAAATAAATATTTAATCATTATTATTTTTCCATATAGAAATTATGATTTTCAAAAATTTCAAATTCAAACTTTTTGAAATTCAATAACTGATAAAAATATTATTGTATGTAAAACATGAAGAAATAGATCACTCCGAGTCTTCATGTTTTATAATAATAAAAAATGACCGAGTGGTAAAATAATAATTAGTTTATAATATAAGAAAATTGTTACTGTAACTTCTTTAAAATTATGTTTACCATTTCAATTGAATTCATTTATTATTTTCTACAATTTTTAACTACAATCTTTCTTTAAATCAATTATTTTTAATAATTTTTTAAAGAAAAAGTTCTTTGAGAATTTTCAAATCCACTTGTTTACAATTCAATTTAATGAAATTTAGATTATTCGGAAATTCTTCAATTAAATATATAATATGTTAGAAAATAAAAAATTCAAAGTTTAATAATTTTAAAAACTGCAATTAAACTTTTTTCAACAAAAACATTTTAGAAATTCAATTATTTAATTTCTCGAAAAATGGGATTATTCTTAAAAAAGTTTATTAAAATTTGTCCAGGGTTGCCCCAAATATTTTATTTTATTTTTCCCTGACTTTTCCCTGATTTTCAGACAAAATTTTCACTTTTTCCCTGACCCTAAAGAATATTCTAATTCACTCTAAAAATTATTAGATACTCAAAAAAAAAAACATTCTACTACATTTACTTACGAATTTCTTAAATTGTAAAATTATTCGCAAACATCAATAACTAAATTTTTAAATAAGTATTTAATTATTATTTTTCCATAGGAATTAAAATTCTTCAAAACATTTAAATTCAAACATTTTTAAAATTAAACAACTTATAAGAATATTATTATAAAACATGAAGATATCAATTACTCCGAGTCTTCGACTCGGAGTGATTGATGTCTTCATGTTTTATAAAAATTTTAATTTCCAAAACAATTTTCAAAAAAGAATTAAATTATGTATTACAAAAATTATAATAAAATTCTAAGCAAAAATTCAATTATTTTCATAAATAATAAAATTCTTCACATGGTTTCAATTATTTTTAATACAATTTTAGATAAATTTCTCGAAAAATAAAATTATCTTCAAAATTTTTTGCAAGAATTAAATTAGGTACATTTTACAAATAATGAAATTCTTCGCTGAAATTCAAAAATTTTCAAAATTTACATTTTTAATACAAGTTTTCAAAAGAATATAATTATTTAAATAAAATGTAATAAAATTCGTTGCATAAATTCAATTATTTTTACAAGTAATAAAATTTTTCACATGAATTCAATTATTTAAAAAAATTGATAAAATTCGTTGTAAGAATTCCATTATTTTCATAAATTATAAAATTTTTCTGAGGATTTCAATTCTTATAATACAATTTAAAGTAAATTCCTAGCAAAATGGAATTATTCTCTTAATTTTTTTCTAAGAATTTAATTACATTTCACGAATATAATGAAATTCTTCGCTGAAATTCAAATATTTTCACAATCTACTTTTTTAATAAAAGTTCTCAAAAGAATTCAATTATTTAAAAAAAAAATTGAAAAAATTCATTGCAAGAATTCAATTACTTTTATAAATTAATAAAATTCTTCACAGAGTTTCAATTATTCTTAATACAATTTTAAGTAAATTCTTCGAAAAATGTAATTATTTTCCAAAAATTTTATTAAAATTTTTCAAAAGAATTCAATTATCAATTATTTTTAAAAATTCATGCTATAATGCTTTTAAATTTTAACTAATATTAATTTTCAAATCAATTTTTATTGGAAAATTCTACAAGAATTAAATTATTTAAATACAAATATAAATAATTTATTGAATTAAAGAATGTTTTTCGAAACTAAATTATGATAAAAAATTTTATCAACAAACTTGAATTTTTTCAAAAAACTTTAATAAAATGTTCAAGAATAATTAAATTTTACGAGGAATTCAATTAAAATTGTATTAAAAATAATTGAAATTCTATGATGAATTTTATTATTCATGAAAATAATTGAATTTTTGTAAAAAATGTTATTATTTTTGAAAATAATTGAATTATTGCGAAGTTTGCTTAGAATTTTATCAAAAATTTTTTTTTAAATAATTGAATTCTTTTGAAAAATTTTATTAAAACTGTAGATATTGAAAATCATTGAATTGAGAAAAATTATTTGAAAATAATTGAAAATTTGCAAAGAATTTTATTAAAATTTTTGAAAATAATTAAAATTTGGAGAAGAATTTTATTATTTTTAAAGATAATTAAATTTCGACGAGAATTTTTTAAAATTTTTTAACATAATTGAATTTTTGCGAAGAATTTTATTACTTTTGAAAATAATTGAATTTCTGCAATCATTTGTAACTTCTCCAAAATTCAATTTTTTCCGGTTACTTAAATAAAAATCCCTGACTTTTCCCTGAATTCCCTGATTTCCCTAACCTGTGGCAACCCTGTTGTCGAAAGAATTGAATTATTTAAAAATTTGTTGATAAAATTATGTAATAAGAATTGAATTTTAAGAAACATTCAATTTTTCAACAAATTATCTATGTTTATATTTAAATAATTGAATACTCGGTGAATTTTCTAATAAAAATGGATTTAAAAATAAAGTTCATAGTTAAAGTTTTAGATAATAATTGAATTTTGGAGATGTTACTAATAATTGCAATTTTTAGAAATAATTAAATTTTGTAAAGGTTTCAAATTTAAATCTTTGAAAATCTGAATTTTTCATACTTTTAACTAACAAATTCTGTAGAATTAATTTTTATTATTCATGAAAATAATGGAACCTCCTTAAAAAATTTTATTATTTATGAAAATAAGTCATTTGCGAATAAATTTATAAAAAATTTGTAAATAATTGAATTTTTCTTAAAACTGAAATCTGATATAACGAATTTTAACAACACATTTTTAAATAATTGAATTCTTTCGACGAATTTTAATAAAATTTTTAAAAATAATTACATTTTTTGAGGAATTTGATTAAAATTGTATTTAAGATAATTGAATCCTTGTATACAATCTTATTATATTTATGAAAATAATGGAATTATTGAGAAGAAATTTTCAAAAAATTTGTAAATAATTAAATTCCTGTGAAATAATTATTATATTATAAAAATAATAAAATTAAATGTTTTTTATCAAAAACTTTTAAAATTTTTGAATTCTTTTGAAAAATTTTATTAAAATAGTAGATAATAAAAAATCATTGAGTTCAGGAAAATTTTTTAAATAATTGAAATTTTTACGAAAATTCTATTTAAATTTTTGAGAATAATTGAATTTCAGGAAAGAATTTTATTATTTACAAAGATAATTGACATTTTTTCGAGAATTTTTGTTTTTTAATTACTTTTGAAAATAATTGAATTTCTGCAATCATTTGTAACTTTTTTAAAATTCATTTTTTTAGTGTTTTTAACTAAAATTCTTCTTGAAATCTATTACTTTTAATAATTAATTAAATATAGATTAAAAAAATTAAACTTATTTCAGAAGAATTTGAATTATTAAAATTTTTCAAAAATCTAAGTTTTTGAGATGTCTCTTGATAATTTTGAGAATAAAATGAAAAAATCGTTTAATAAAATTCAATTCTCATCTCAACCATAGATAAACGAAAATTGTGTAGTTTCAAGAAACGTAAAGTAGAATTAAAAATTTTAAGATGGCGGACCAAATATGGCGTCAAATATAAAGTAAAATTTGAAATTTTTGGTCACTATTTTTCAAATTACCAAAATGTTATTCGATGCGCCTAAATTTAAATCCTCAGGTGTTTTTGGGGTTCCTGATTAGGAATTCGATCCGTTTTCAAAAATTCAAAATGTCGGATCTAATATGTCGGACAAAAATGTAAAAATTCGTTCAGTTGGCTTAAATCTTTTCACTCGGTGGTTTTGAGGTCGCTGATTATAAATTCGATGTTAGTTTTCAAAAATTCAAAATGTCGGATTCAATATGGCGGAAGAAATTTTTAAAAAATCAATTAATTGGCCTAAATCTTGTCACTTAGGGGTTATAAGATTTAAAAGTCTTATTATTATTATTATTATTATTTTTATAAATAAAAACAATCTAAGTCCATCGTTTAAATCGAGTGTTGATTAAGCTCTAAAAAAATTTAAAAAATTAGTTTTTTTTTCAAAATCATCACGAGACATTCTCAAAATGAATCCAGAAAATCCAAATGGACTTTAAATGGTACTTTTGGGTTGAAGTTATTTGAGACCCACCGTGAAGTTTTCTATAAACAACAAACTGCGGCTTGAGTCACTAAAATGAGATTCGAGGGGCTGACGACTCTCAAAGTCTCAATTACATTGTATGAAGAAATAAATTTGGGTCATTACGGAAATAATAAACTTTCTCAATTTGCGCGATATTTTCAAAAGAGGTTAACTTGGCAATTGAGAATAATTTTACATTTCGAGTTTTGTGTGTTAAAAATAAGATTTCGAACTATTCACCACTTTTGAATAAATTTAAGAATAGATATTAGAGTAGTCGACCCCTAGGTGAGGTGAGATTGTAAATGAGATGGTGAATCGGAAAAAGTGATGTTCAAAAGCAATATTGATTCCATTTAACTAATAAGTCTCTCACAGAACTTACAGCCACAAATTGATGATTCTATCCGTTTGTATCGTTTCGAGAGCAAGAAAGAAGAGTACAGAGCTCAAAATTAGGACAAAAAGTGTGCAAATCTTTTAGTGAGTACCTTCTTTCCCTCGTGGACGATGAGGGCGATGGCCTTGCGACCGAGCCCCTTGTCGTCGTGCTGAGGATTCAGAAGCCACTTGTTGGCCTGCTCGAGGCGACCGGCGACCGTGTGAGCTGCCTGGACGGTTCCCGACTTGTCGGCCGCCACGAGAGCCGAAGCCACGTTCGAGCGGAGCAGGTTCAACTTCTCCTTGATGCTTCGGGCCAGTGCTTCAGCCTGAGGAGTGTTGCCTGAAATTAGAAACATTATCAAGGTTTAATAAATTGATTGTTCAATTTTTAAATCAAATTTCTTTCCCTGTAGTTAAATTTTTATACTAGTAAATTGGTGACAGGAATTACAGTGATATTTTCATGCAATATTATCCAAAAAAAGGGATTTTTTAAATTAAGTAAAAAATTATAGTATTTTATAGACTTTTTTATTTTTTCCTTTAATTGAAAGGATTTTTTGTTAAATTTTGCACGATTTGCACGATTCAAGTTGAAGAAATAAATTTTCAAAAATATTTTATAAAATCCCTTCATTTTTCCCGCAGATTTTTTTGGCTTAAAAAATTCCACAACAAATACATTAAAAATAAGAATTTCAGATTTTTCAGGAACATTGCAGCTTTATGTTCTTAAATATAAAAGAGTTTATTATTATTTTTCTGAAATTTATAAATCTTTGGCCTCTACCCGAAAAATTAATCAAGGTATTAACGAAAATTTTCCTGAAATTTTTAAGAAAATTATATAATATTAACACGTACCTATATATAACTGAAGTTCTAAACGATAAATACAAGGAATTTCATTTCGTATAAGTTGCACTTTTTTTTATCTCGATATTTCTCGGTGGCAATCTGATAATAATTATGAACTTTTTACTTCGAAAAAGTATAAAAACACTCAAATTTCAGTGTCAAAGTTTGAGACTTAAATAAATTCATTTGAGCTTGTAAAAAGTTTAAATGATTTTCATTAAAATATACCTGTTCATATTGAAAACATTCAATTCATAACTAAAATTGTAATTGAAAATAATTTTTAAATCAATTTTTATTAGAAAATTCTAAGAGAAACCAATTATTTAAATACAAAAATAAAAAATTTATTCAATAATTGAATGTTTCTTAAAATTCAATTCTGGTAAAGAATTTTATCAACAAATTTTTAAATACATGTTTTGAAAGGAATTCGATTAAAATTGTATGAAAAATAACAATAATAATAATAATAATAATAATAATAATAATAATAATAATAATAATAATAATAATAATTATTATTATTATTATTATTATTATTATTAATAATAATTGAATTATTGCGAAGAATTTTATAAAAAAAGTTTCAAACAATTGACTTTTTCGAAAACATTTATGCAACTTCTATTTTAAATAATTGAATTCCTGTAAAATTTTCATTAGTTTAGAAAATAATTGAATATTCGTGTAAAATTTTGTCAAAATTGTTTTTAAATAATTGAATTCTTTTGGAAAATTTTATTAAAATAATAAATATACAAATTATTACTGAATTAAGAAAAATTGTTGAAAATAAATGAAATTTTGACATGAATTTTATTAAATTTTTTGAAAATAATTGAATTTGATTACTTTTGAAAATAATTGAATTCTTGTAATGAATATTGTTATTTATGGAAATAATTGAACTTTTACAATGTTTATCAAAATTCCTGAAAATAATTCAATTTTGTAGAAGAATTTTGTAATTAATTTATAAAAATAATTGAAATGTTAACATTTATTTCAGATTTTTTGAAAATAATTGAATTTCTGCGAAGAATTTAATGCCCAATTTTAACACATTTGATTGTTTCGAAAAAATTTATGCAAATTCTATTTTAGGTACATAATTGAATTTCTCTGAAATTTTTATTTTCTTTGAAAAATAACTGAATGTTTATGTAGAATTTTATCAAAAATTTTTTTTTAAATAATTGAATTTTTTTGGGAAATTTTATTAAAATAGTAAAATATTGAAAATTATTAAATTAAGAAAATTTTTTGAAAATTGAAATTTTGAACTGAATTTTATTAAAATTTTTGTATATAATTGAATTAAATCTACTTACTTTTGAAAATATTTGAATTCTTGTGATGAATATTGTTATTTATGAAAATAATTAAATTTTGCAGTGAATTTTATTAAAAATACTGAAAATAATTGAATTTTGTCGAAGAATTTTGCTATTCATTTCTAAAGATAATTGAAATGTTGACAATTTTTTTTAGATTTTTTGAAAATAATTGAATTTCTGCGAAGAATTTTTTATTATTTTTGAAAATAATTGAATTCTTATGATGAATATGATTATTTCCGAAAATAATTAAATCCCTGAAAGGAATTTTACAATTTATAAAAATAATTAAATTATTGTGAAGAATTTGATGTCAAATTTTAACACATTTGATTTTTTCGAAAAAATTTACGCAAATTCTGTTTTACATAATTGAATTTCTCTGAAATTTTTATTTTTTCAAAAATAATTGAATGTTCATGTAAAATTCTATCAAAAATTTTGTTTCTAAATGACTGAATTTTTTTGGGAAATTTTATTAAAATAGTAGATTATTGAAAATTATTGAATTAAGATAAATTTTTGAAAATAATTGAATTGTGCAACAAAATTTATTAAAATTCCTGAAAATAATTTTGATATTTACTAAGATACCTAGTTGAATTCTTTAAAGGAATTGCGTTAAGATTTTTAAAATTGAAACTAATTTCTATAGAATTTAAATTAAAACTTTTCAAAAAAAATACTTTCATTAAAAAAGACACAAAGTTTCAGAATTGTCTTATAAATTCTAAACATTTAATTTTTTCCAGTACTTTTAATAAAAATCTTTGACTTTTCCCTGATTTCCCTGACCTGTTGATTCCCTGACATTTTTCTCAAAAAATTCAAAAAATTTTGTGTTTTGGTAAAAATGTAAAATTTTAGAGGTTTATTATCTACTTTTTTAGATAAAGAATCGAATGCTTCCCTTTAGTGCACCCGAGAAACCCTGCGATTGGATTTTGTCGAAACTTCTTACTCCTGAGTAACAAGTTTTAAGCGAATTTGATAAATTTTTGAAAAATTAGATTTTGCTATTTTCTTATAAGTATTTTATCTATTGTTTATAATATTTATAATCGTACTACCGTAATTTATTATTTTTTTAATTGTAGCAACGGCCATTCGGAAGAGAAAAAAATTTACCCCAAATTAATATTGGTTGACTTTTATAAGAATAACATAAACTTTTCAGGGATACAATTTTAATAAAATTCTAAGCAAAATTTTAATTCTAGGTATTTTTAACATTTTTTTTTAATTCTCTTTAAAATGTCAATTATTTATCCTGGAAACTTAATTATTTTCAAAAGTTCTGATAAAATTAATTAAGTGTTGAAGTTAAAGATAAAATTTCTGATAAAATTCTTTGCAAAATTCAATTATCTTCAAAAATAAGAAAATTCTTCTCAGAAATTCAATTATTATCAAAATTTTTTTTAAATTCTCCTGAAAATTTCAATTATTTTTATAAATGTCAAAATTCTTCTGCAACATTCAATTACTTTTAAAAATTTTTTTAAAAATCTATTCAAAATTTTAATTATCTTTATAAATAATAAAATTCAATTATTTGCAAAATTTTTAATAAAATTGTACGCAAGCATTTAATTATTTTCATAAAAAATAATTAAATATTTTAATTATTATAAAACATGAAGACATCGATTGCCCCGAGTCGACGACTCGGAGTGATCGATTTCTTCATGTTTTATAACAATTTTCTGTAAGTTGTTTAATTTCAAAAGGGTTTGAATTTGCATGTTTTAAAAATCTTAATTTCTATGGAAAAATAATCATAATTATAAATATTCATTTAAAAGAGAAGTTATTGATTTCGAAAAATTTGAAAGAAATTTGTAAATAAATGTAAATTATTTCCTTATGAAAATTGAGAATTTCCTACAAAAATATTAAGAAACGGAAATATGTTATGTTTTTTTCCCCCAAAGAGAAGAATGATTTTGTGAACAATATTGTTTAGAAAAAAAGATTTCTGCTATTTAAAATTTAAGTCGAAAAGTAATTGAAAAATGTAAAAAAAAGTCAATTAGTCGCAGTTTACTAAAAAAAAAATCTCGAAAAAGTCGATTAGTTGCAGTTTTTCACAAAAAAGTCGAAAAAGTCACATTTCCTTAGAAAAGTAGAAAAAAGTCGCACAATCCGAGCCCTGACATAAGTGGGACATATGTCCCACTTTAGAAAAGTGTCTTCCGTTTTCAAAATCGATTTTTTAAAATCCTTGATCCCTTAACTTTAAAATTTAATTTCAAAAATTAAGTGGGTAAAAAAAAAAATAAATGGAAAAAAAATAAATGGATGCCAGCTTAATAAAACCTTCTTAATAAATAAAGATGGGTAATAATAAAATAAGAACCTTTTCCTTGCTGACGAAGTTCGCACAGAGCATTGGTCATTGTAGTGATTTCGGACGCCAACTTGGCCAGTGGCTCGGCCTGCGAGGGTGGAAGGTAGCGATCCGCCAATCGCTGCGTTTGGTCGATTATCTGACGAATGCTCTTCTCGCCCACTCCGCCACGCAGAGCGTCGCCGTTGTCGAGCCAATCGAAAGCCTCTCTTATTCTGGACTCTATGGCACTTTGGGCTTTCTTCAGTACCTAAAAATTAAGAAACTCCAATTAGAATTCGCCCAGTCGCGTCTATAATTATTATAAAGAAAATGAATACCGTCAACTGATCTGCATCCCACTCCTCCTCGTCGTAAGTCGTCAACTGGAGAACGCGAATAATTTCATTGAGTTCGTCGGACATTCGTCCCGACAGGTAGTTACGGTTTTCAGCTGCCTCCTCCGCTCCTTTCCCACCGTGGGAGATGATGTGAATAAAGATTTTCATTGAACAAATGAGAATTGGAGCGAGTGTCTTGACCTGATCGAGACACCTGACCAGAATCTCCCGATGGACTTGATGGGTTAATTCCTTCTCACGAGCACTTACTTCTCTAGATACTTTGCTAAGGCATGGACTAAGGTTCTTTAAAAAGTGCACCAGATCCTCCATTGTCTCAATGACTTCTGCAACTGCCAAATAATCCAAAACTCGTTTGCACTCGCGAATTATTTTGCGAACTTCGCTCTCATCGAAACACAACAAAAGTGAACTTGTTCCCTGCAGTATACCACGTGAACCTTCAATTAATTTTTTTCTGAAAATCATCAGTTCCAAACGTTTCTGTTAATAAACATCTCTTTAACTGTGTCAAATTGTAAATTAAAATTAAAAAAATCCTTTCATTTTTTATTGTATTAAATTGATTAATTTTCAAATTTAAATCGGCACGTCAAATATATTTATGTTTCTACTTATTATTTTAGAAATAAGTATAAATGAATGATTGATTATTAATTAAATAATAATTATTAAGTGAAAATTATTACAAATGATCGAGAAACCGTGAAAACCGAACAAAAAACATTAAATAGTCAATTTTCCATTAATTGAAAAGAACACAACAAGGTTTGAATGCTTTAAATACTTTTAATTCAATAAAATGCACTCAAAGTATTTTAAAACAAAACGCTAAAATTTATATGATGACATATTTAAAAAGACACAAATTTTTTAGATACTTAATTTAATTGTAGGCCTCGGATTGACTTGACGCAAAAAAGTCGCTTTAGTTGATTAATTAAAGATACAAAAAATATTCGTTTACTTTATTTAGTGTTGTCAAAAAAGTTAATTTTTATTTCCCTGATCTTTCACTGATTCCTGAATCTAATTATTCAAAGCTTCAAAAATTTTGTTAAATAAATATTCAAATACTTATTTATATATTTTTTCACGAAAATTAAAATATTTAAAATTTCAGTTTCAAATCTTCTGAAATTTAATTATTTATAAAAATTACAACTGTAACTAAATTTTTAACAATTTTCCTAAAATTCTTCGAGAATTTAATTATTTGAATAAAAAAATTCAATCTTTTATAATAATTGTAAGTGTAACGCTTCATATTTCTAAAAAGTTATTAGGGTGAATTATTCGAAATATGTAACCGAAAATATTTAACATAATTGATTTTTTAAAACTAACATTACAAATTTTTTTGAATTAGTTTTTAACAAATATTTAAAAATATTATTGATTTTTAAATTATATAATTATGATAAATCAGAATTTTATCCATAGTATTAAAAAAAAAAGTCAAATGATTGAGAATCTTAAATAGTTTATGAATTTTCTTTCTCATCTTAAACATTAAAAAAAAATCCGTAAGTAGAGTTAAAATTGACACTTTTACAAATAACCAATTATTTTATTTAAATAATTGAATTCTCATAGAACTTTTTAATAAGAATTGATTTAAAAAAGAATTTCAGTTAAAATTTTGAAAAATAATTTAATATTAGAAGCGTTACATTAACAGGAATTTAAAAATTATTGCAGTTTTGAATAATTTAATGTAGAAATTCTAAAAAAAGGTTTTTGAAAAATTGTAATTAAAATTTTTTTGAAGTTAATTTAATTTCCGAAAATAATTTAAAAAATTGATACAATAATTTAAAGTTTTGTCAAATTTCACTGAAATAAATTTTATATTTGAAAGATAATTTAATTTTATTACTTTTAAAAATGGTTTTGAAATATAATCGTAAATTTTTGAAGAATTCTATTTCGAAAAATTACAGTTTTTAAAAAATAATTCATTAGATTTCAAAAAGAAAGTTTTTGTAACTAACAATGGTCTATAAAATTTCACGCGCGCATGTAGTTAACTTATATAATTAATATAATTGAAAATTTTACAAATAATTAAAACTTAGTAAACAGAATTTTTGATTTTGAAGAATTTTAATTACAAATAGTACACGATTTCTTCAAAATTTTCATAAAACGTCTAAAAAAATATATAGTTTTTGAAAAATATTTTAATGCAAACTTTCGAAAATAATATTCAATTTTTTAAAAGAATTTTTGGAAAACTTTAAAAAACTTTTTAAAGAATTTAAATTTTGAAAATGATTGTTTTCTCAAAAATTCGAATAATAATACTAAAAATCTTGAAGAGATTTCAAGAATTATTTTTTTTTAAATTATTTTAATATATTTTACATTTTTTTGTAACAATAATTTTGGCTTGTTGATTATTTTCGTTGTTCGGATTTGCTATACATTTTGTTGTACAAATCTCAAATTTTCAACAGAACCATTTTTATAATATTGATGTTGATTCGAGTTGTTCTGAGAATTATTTGATCGCGACTTGGAATTATCACCCGAAAATCTATTTTTATCGCAGAATTGTTATCACGGTCATTTTTATTTTAGAAATTTTCATTTCTGTTTTCTTGTTTATTATTATTACTTTGATTTGAATTGTGACCTTGATAACGGTTTTGATTTTTATTATAATTCGAGTTTTCTCTATATTCTATAACGATTTTGATTTTGTTGGTTAGAATTTTATTTATTCTGATTTTGAGAATTATTTTGTTGACGGTTATAATTGTCATAACTACTCGATGAATTGACTTGAGAATTGACAGAGTTTCAATTTGAAAAATTTCTTTGAGAATTTACTGAACCTGCTCTATAAAATTTTTTTTAAAAATCATTTATTTTTTTACTCCTCTAATTATAATAGCAGTTTGAATATCATCATCGAAATCTTGTTCAGTTTTTGTTTTATTCATTATTTCTTTTTCTTTTTCATTTAATTCTACGTCTTCATCATCACTTTCATTTACTTCTTGATAAATTGTTTTAATATCATAAAAAATATCCATAAAACCCCAATCTCTTATTTTTTTGTTCTTCATCTGAGTTAGAATTCAATTTTTTTTGTGTGTTTAGATTTTTTCCTTTATTTTCATCCATTTTATCTATTATTTTTATTTATTTAATTTATATTTTAATTTATCTTCAAATTGATTTTCAATTTGATTTGAAAATTTAATTATCATTTTTGTAATTGTAATTATAAAGCAGTGAGACTATCCGAGGCCTGTAATTTGTTTGAATTAAGTTTCGTGATGAAAAACATGCTTTTTCATTTTTGTCAAAAATTATCCGCACATTTGAAGCATTCGTATTTAAAAGCGTAAACAATAAACAATATTAAATGATTGTTAAATATTAAAATTAAAACCTGATGAAAAGTTTAACTGAATAAGTGTAAAAATCTCTTTGATTTTTAAAAACTCAAATTAATGCTTTAAGTTTCGACATTAATTTCAGCTTTTTTCTGTGAAGAAAGGCAAATTTTTCTCACTTATTCGCTTAGACTCGTTGAAAGCGTTATAAACAGTTTTTAATAATTGAAATTGAACTCTTTTGGAAAATTAAAGGCCCTCATACCTTGAATGCGCAGTATATTGAGTATAGGATTCATATTCGGTTAATTTGTAAATTGAACGACTGTAAATTTAAAAAAGTATTTAACGAAAAAGAAATTAATTAAGGCAAAGATTGAAATAAAAAAGTAAATAATTTAGATATGTGGGTGGGGGAGAATATATTTTGGAAATTAGAATTTGAAAAGGAACTCCACCTTGCAGGACCGGAGTATGGGTCTGCCTTGAGCATTACTGAAGCTTCCTCCAGAAGACGGGAAGCTCCTTCGACCCTGTGTAGAGAACTAGGCATGTCCTGCTTCAGTAAGGCATCATCGGACGAATTTATAGTTTCCTTTCCAACCTGTAAGAATAAAATAGTATAAATAACCAATAATCAATTTTAAAATAATTCTACTCACTTTCACGAGATTCGCCACAGCCATGCTAACGGCCTGCACCGGCCTCGACAAATCTGGCATCGCATTTCCATCTTCGGCTTCTTCGTGTAAAATTACAAGTCTCGATACCTGGAATTAAATCAATTACAGTTATTTAATTTCAATCTGTGAGATAAATCATCACTAACTTAATTCTATTCTATTATGCACTGCGACGATAAACTCATTAAATTATTCTTTTGGAAAACTGGCGAAAGTGCCAAGTAAATATTATAATATTTCAACTCATCAAAATTTACATTTTGTTTGAAGGCGTCAACTAAAATATTTCTAAAGTCCACTTGTTTACAAGACAATTTCATAAAGTTTCGAATTTGAAAATTTTTCAATTAAATATTTAAAAATATAACTTCAGGGTTGCCACGCTTTTGCTCATTTCAAATTCCCTGATTTTTCCAGGTTTTCCAGGTTAAAAAGCGGAATTTTTCCAGGTTTTTCAAACTACATTTTATATTTTACAAAATTTTTAATTCAAACCTTTTTGAAATTAAACATCTTATAAAACATGAAAATATCGATATCTTTATGTTTTATAATAATTAAAAATGTTGGACTGATAAAATCATCATTTTATACCTATTATTATTATAAGAATATTGTTACTGTAACTTATTCAAAATTACTTTCATTATTTTAATTCAATTATTGTTTTCCACAATTTTTAACTAAAATTTATTCTTCTTTATAAAGTGTAAATTAATTATTATTAATAATTTCTGAAAAATTTCTTTCAACATTTTTAAATTCTTTTGTTTACAATTCAATTTTACGAAATTTCTTCGATTTGGAAATTCTTCAATAAAATATATATTAGAAAATAAAAACTTAAAATAACTTCAAAATAATTCAATTCAACTTTTACAAAAAAATTAAATCTACACAATTTTAAGTTAAAAGTATGAAAAATTCAAACATTCAATATCAAAGATTATAATTTCAAACCTTTTCAAAACTCAATTATTATCTAAAGTTTTAAATGAAATTCATATTTGAATCAATTATTATTAGAAAATTCGACGACAATTCAATTATTTAAATACAACAAAAAATAATTTATTGAAGAATTGAAAGTTTTTTAAAATTCAACTCTCATTTAAAGAATTTTATCAATAAATTTTTAAATAGGTAATTAAAATTCTTTTGAAGAATTTCAATAAAATTTTTAAGAATCATTTCATTTTTCGAGAAATTAGATTAAAAATGTATTAAAAATAATTGAATCTCTGTAAAAAAATTTCATTGAATTGAGAAAAGTTTTTGAAAATAATTTTATTTTAGAGAAAAATTTTGTTATGTTTAAAGATAATTGTGATTTTGACTATAACTTTTTTTAAACTTTTGACCATAATTGAATTTCTGCTAAGAATTTTATTACTTTTGAAAATAATTGAATTCTTGGGACGAATTTTTTAATAATATTTCTTTTTAAATACCTAATTATTTTTAATACAAAAATAAATAATTTATTAAATAATTGAATGTTTCTCAAAATTGAATTCTCATTAAGAATTTTATCAACAAATTTTTAAAAAATTGCATTATTTTGACGAATTTTAATAAAATTTTAAGAATAATCACATTTCTCGAGGAATTCGATTAAAGCAATGAGCTTTATTATCTATGAAAATAATAATTGAATCCATGTAAAAAATTGTATTACATATTTATAAAAATAATTGAATCTCTGTAAAAATAAATTGAATATTTTTGAAAATAATAGAATTATTGCGAAGAAATTTATAAAAAACTTTTAAATTCATTCCTTTTGGAAAATTTTATTAAAATAGATATTGAAAATCATTGACTAAAGGAGAATTTTTGAAAAAAAAATTGAATTTGTTAAAAAGAATTTCATTAAAATTTTTGAAAATAATTGAATTTTGGAGAAAAATTTTAATATTTATAAAGATAATTGAAATTTTGACGATAAATTTTTTAAACTTTTGACCATAATTGAATTGCTGCGAAGAATTTTATTACTTTTGAAAATAATTGGATTCTTGAGACGAATTTTTTAATAATATTTCTTTTTAAATACCTAATTGAATTCTTTTGTGAAATTTTATTGAAATAGTAGATATTGAAAATAATTTGAATTTTGATAAATTATAAAAATTAATGAAATTTCTACGAAGAATTTTTATTAAAATTATTTTGGAAAAAAAATTGAATTGTTGAAAAGAATTTCATTGAAATTTTTGATAATAATTTAATTCTTTCAAGAAATTTAATTAAAAATGTATTGACAATAATACTTATATTTTAATAAATAAATTATAGGAAGGATTTTTAAAATAATTGAATTTTTTTTGATGAATTTGAATAAAATTTTTAAGAATAATTATACATTTTTCGAGAAATTCCATTAAAATTGTATTAAAAAGAATTGAAATTTTGCGATGAGTTTTATTTATTTTTATGAAAATAATTGTAAATCTATAAATTTTTTTATTATTTATGAAAATAATTGAATCTAGCTGTAAAAAAATTTGATTATTTCTGAAAATAATGGAATTTATTGCGAAGAAAAATTGTAAAGGAAACTCTTTTAAAATTGAATTAAAGAAAAATTAGATTTCAAGAATAAGCACAATAACTTTAGAAAACAATAATTTTCCAGGATTGCAATCAAAATTCCCTGATTTTTCCAGGTTTTTTCAAGGTTTATAAAAATTCCCTGACATTTCCAGGTTTTCCAGGTTTCCAGGTTGCGTGGCAACCCTGATAACTAATTTCAAAAAAATGTGAATAAAAATGTTTCAAGAAATTAACTTAGGTATTCACAATATTAATAATATTAGTAATATTATTAATAATCTTTAACGTCCTTTGATATTAAATTATTGAAAATCAGACGACTTATTTGACGACTAATTGTTGAAAAGATGACATTAAATAATTTTGAGCAATTGTTGTATTTTATAAATAAACAATTATTTTGACTCAAAAAGTTGGTTGATAACTATTAACAACCTAAATTTTCATGAGTTAAAATGTCATTGGTCCTTTCCTTATTTATTTAATATTAGATTTCGTTGTTTGGCTCTGAAGCAGGAGTCAAGAAATGGTGTTTTTAAAACACATCCGAATGAGGACAAACAACGATGTTTACAATAAGCGAAAACGAATCTCTTTTTGCAAATACTACAACCTACTTTTTGTAGTTTTACATTACACCTCCAATAAGTTCTTTTGTTAATACTTAATAATAATACAAAACCAAAAAAAAAAAATCGTTTAATTCAAATTTTCGTATTAATGAGGAAATACACACATGAAAGAATATACTAGCCACACATGTTTCGCCACCCCTTCTAACATTACATTAGCCTAAATATCTCAAAAACAAAACAAGCTTGATTCTTTTTTTAAATTTTAGATCTCATAGGGGACAAAAATTGGAGTATTTTGAGTCGGATTAATAAAGCTCAACTATAGGTATTTTCTCCAGTTTTTCATTTATTGAAAAAACATTTTTATCCCTATCACTATCAAAATGTCACAATAAATATTTTTATTTTACTTTGTAAATATTTTTTTATGCTCAGAAAACAATCTATTTGACTTTAAAGCAGATTTTCATTTCTTTTCATTAGGGACATGCCCTTTCGTACTTAGAGTACTCCTGCAATCTAATATGTAGTTGCAGAGGTATAACAAAACTAAAATATATCAATGAACTAAATCTAAATTGACGCTATAAAAGTTAAAGTTTTATATTTTCTTTTTTATATTTAACTTTATTGTTATTTTTATACGTTCTTTTTTATTCATATACCTAACTCTTTTGAAGAATTAATAATAAAATTGATTTTGGAAAATTTCAATTTTTTCAAAAAAATAACATTTTTAAATATAAAAAATGGCATAAAACAAGTAAAAAATTTACTTATTGGTTTCTTTATTTTTTTATTATAAATTCTGAAAAAGCGTAAAAAAAATTGCCGCACCTCTAAAAGTCGTCAATTTTGAGATTGGTTTAAATCTGGTGATTATTTAAAGACTCAACATCTTCCATTATCTTTATTACTTTTCATTGATAACTTTCAAACACTGTTTCCATTATTCTGAACAATCAATCGTATGAATTTAAAAATTTTTAAGATTTTCAAAAAATAAAATTAATAATTGATTAAAAATATTTGTTAAATTATAATACAGAATAATTTTCATATATTTAATTGTTATCCAAAATATTTTTTCAGAAAAAATTCTACTACCTTTGTTAATAATTTGTTCAAAATTATGAATAAAATTTTGAACAATGATAGAAGAATTTTTTCTGAAAAAGTATTTTTTAAAGCATTTTATTTTATGCTAAAATTAAAAAAAATATATACCTATTGTGCTGTTATTTTGTTTGGATTTACGAATTTTAGTGTGATATTATATTGTTAAAAAAAAAATATTTAATCCTGCAAAATTTTTATACAAAATTCACAAGTTTTTAATTTTTTAAAACTTCTGCAAAAATATTCTAACAATTTTTAATAGTATGTAATTAAAAAGAAATGCTTCTCAAAAATAGTAAAAATAAAAATTTAATTAAATTTTACAAAAAATTCTATTAAAATTTTTGACAATATAACTAAATATCTGTGTGGTACTTTATTAATTATTTTTTAAAATAATTGAATTCATAAATAGAATTTTATTATTTATTAAAATAATAATTGAATTCTTGCGAACGATTTTATTAGAATTTTTTAGAATAATTGAATTTCCATTAAAGAAATTTATTGCTAATATAAAAAATAATTGAATTCTTGTAATGAATATTGTTATTTATGAAAACAATTGAATTTTGCAAAGAATTTCATTAAAATGCCTCAAAAAAATTGGATTTTCGGGAATAATTTTGTAATTTATCGACATAATTGAATTCATGAAGAATTATTCATGTAAATAATTGAATTCTTGGGAAGAATTTTTTTAAAATCTAAAAAAATAATTGAATTATTTCAAAAAAATGTAATTAAATTTTTATTTAAAATAATTGATTTCTTTTAAACAATTTCATTAAAATATTTGAAAATAATTGAATTCCTGTGAAAAATTCTAATATTTTTGTAAATAATTAAATTCTTCCAAAGAATTAAAAAAAAATATTTTTTTAAATAATTGATTTTTTAGAGGAATTGAAATTGAAATTTGAAGAATAATTACATTTCTCGATCAATTTCTGTAAAATTGTATTAAAAATAATTGAAATCCTGCGATGAATTTAATTATTTATCAAAGTAATTGAATAGTTGCTAAGAATTTTATTAAAATTTTCAAAAATAATTGAATTTCGAAGTATAAAAAATATTATGAAAATTATATTTTAAATAATTGAATTCTTGTGGAAAACTTTATTTTATGAAAATAATTGAATTTTTAGATTAATTAATTTAAAATAGTATTAAAAATAATTGAAAGTCTTCGATGAGTTTTATTATTTAATTGAATTCTTGCTTAGAATTTTATTTATAAAAATAATTGAATTATTGCGAAAAATTTTATTAAAATGTTTAAGAAAAATTGAATTTCTGTGCAAAATTTTATAAACATAGTTTTAAATAATTAATTTTTTCGAAATATAATAAATATTATGAACATTTTATTTTAAAATAATTGAATTCTTGTGGAAAACTTAATTTGTGAAAATAATTGAATTTTTCGGTTAATTAATTTTAAATAGTATTAAAAATAATTAAAATTCTTCAATGAGTTTTGTTATTTATAAAAATAATTGAATTCTTGCTTAGAATTGTATCAAGAATTTTTTAAAAAAATTGAATTTCAATGAAAAAAGTTATTATCAGTGAAAGTAATTGAATTATTGTGAAGAATTGTATGAAAATTCTGTTAAAGAATTGATTTTTTCAAAATGTTTTTGAAAAACCTATTCTAAATTAATTGAATTCCTGTGGAAATTTTATTATTTATGAAAATAGGTAATTGAATTTTATCAATTTTTTAAAATAATTGAATTGTTTTGGGAAATTTGATGAAAATACTAAATATTGAAAATAATTGAATTTGTAATATTTTTTGAAAATATAATTGAATCGTTTTAAAGAATTTGATTATAATTTTCGAGAATAGTTTTTTAATTGAAAATTGAAGATGAAAAAGTTTAGAAAATGAAAATGTTGAATTCATAGAGACAACATTGAGAAAGGTTGAATATGAATGGAAATAAGATTCTAAGTTGCAGGCTTTTTGAGAAGTTATTGTCAGTAATAAGTTTCGCGAATTAAAATTTGTGGCCGTTTTTAAGAATGTTGCAAAATTCAGTGACAATTTAAAAGTCATTAGTCTCCTTGTATGGGCATATGACTTGAATGATTTTCATAACATAATGCAGGTGGGCACTGGAGGAAAGCCTATTCACAGTTTAAGTTGCGTTAGTTGGGAGAAAGGGAACACCTCATAGCTCAGAAGTAGCTCTATATTGTGTAATCAGCCATTGGCTGTACCTTTATTTTTACCACACGTATTTTTAGTACCCACATAATCAACAAATTTATTCCCTAAGAACCTTATGAAATTGCTTTCAAAATCCTAAACTAAATCTAAAATCTAAAAATTCATAAATCCGCATTATTGTCATTTTCAACCTGTTTTATTTGTGTCACCCGAGACTTCAAAATTTTTAATGACCATTTTTGGAAGTAAGCAACTTTCTTGTCTTTACTTTACATTTCTTTACTGAGCATATATTCAAAAGCAAATATTCCTTCTTACTAAATTGCTTCTTTCTTTTCTCTTCTTAATGAATGACATCACGCCTATTTATAATCACGTGTGTAAAAACTTCCAAGTCGTGATTTTCAAATCTATCTCTCATTAATTTTATGAAACTGCCATTTATTTCAGTCACTTCAGTGATATATTTTCGGGACATTTAAATTTCAACAGATAATAAAACTTTGCCTATTGCAAACCATTAAACAATCATTATTAATTTTCTGGCAATCGGATTTCAATTTCGTAATATCGTAATTTAAATGTTTATTTCCCTAATTTTCATAGAATTCAAAAAATACTATTTTAAACTAAAAAATTAGTATTCAAGACAATTAGTCAGAATTAGTCACGATTAGTCAAATTAAAAATATTTAAAAATATCTTCCTATATGTCAAAATTTTATTTTCTAAGAAATTAAGCAACGATTTTCATTTGTTTTTCACAGTGATCATAATTCTTAAAACTATGTATTCATTTTCGTAATTAAGTTATTTACAGAAAAAATGCAGTGCAAGCAATTCTTGGTTTCAAAAAAGAAAGAAAAACATATGAGGAACATTCCATACGTTAATTAAGTAATTGTCACTCTTACAATTATGTACAAATAGTTATAATTTTAAAAAAATGTCAAAACCATATGTACATAGAGTAGCAACTATGCACCTGTACTGATAAACAGGTAAACGATATTATTTTTAAAAAATTACCTGCTGTGCAACAGGATCGAGAATACTCTCTATTGTTTTCGTGTGGAAGACTGGCATATTTCCTCTTTTTTATAATCTATCAGCTGCCAAACTTAAAAAAAAAAATTAATCACAACAACAACAATATAAACAACTTAAATGACATAAAACAAATATAAATTAATGCCGCACGAAACGTCAAATAGCACACTATCAATACCGAAGAACGGGCAAAACTTAACTGACGGTTCACAAACCACGGCAAACTTGCTGAAAACAAAAAAAAAATATGAGGAAAAAATACATACAAATTTCCAAATTGCGGCATCTGGATTTTATGCACAGTTCATAGGTATGAATTTTATTTGAATACTTTTAATGCTTTTAATATTACTTTTAATTATTTACCCATAATTTTGAAACATTTTTTAAACATTCTTTGCAAATTTTCGAAAAATATTAAATTTTTAAAACTTATATAGAAAAAAAGAATAAAGGCGCTCGCACAGCTCTACTGCCTGCCTGCCTGCCTGCAGGTCGTCATGGTAACACATAAGAGTAAGAGAGTCAGAAAATTCAAATTAAATGTTTTTTCTCCCTTACTCTCATTGCGCCTGCCTGTGCAGGCAGGCAGGCAGTAGAGGTGAGAGAGCGCCTTAAGTGGAAAAAATACATGAAATCTTAACCTATTTCTCCGTTTGGAATTGGTGACCAATCAGGAGACAGACTCACGCTTTCTCAACCAATGAGGAATTCGGGTCTATAAAAAGTTCCAAAAGAATAGAACATTTAGTGAAATTTCATTGGTGGATTATAAAGTTGTGCTTTTTCTTGGTGTTTTTCACTTTCCACTGGTGAGGTATGTACAATGACATATGTTTTCGGGTCGCACACTGAGGAACTCAAAGCTGTGCCGACTCATCTTTTCTGCAAAAATAACATCTTATTCTCCATTTGTGCAACGCAAACAGGCGTTCAACTAGGTAGCGGTAATTAAAGAGTGTTAGCAAAATGATAATAACTTTAAAAAACCTTCAGCAACAAACCTTTACCGTTGAGATTGAGCCCTCAAAAACGGTGAGTAAAAAAACATAAGTACCGGAAAGAAAATTTTGTTTCAAACCGAAAATTTTTATTCTCATCACTATCTTCATTATTTTCAGGTAAAGGAACTTAAAGACAAAATAGAAGCTCAAAAAGGACTTCCCGCTCAACATCAAAAGTTGATATACGCCGGTAAGTAAAGTTTCATTCCTTTACATAACCTCACTTCTCAATTGAAAATTGCCAATTACAGTTTTGTTTAATCTACTATTTGAAAATAATCCCCTTCCCTTGTTTACTTTACCACGAAACTTGATATTTCTTAAAAAATTCCTCAATTATAAGGATTATAAATCAATTTTCGATTTTTAAGGAGAAATAGGTTAGGATTTATTTACAATACATTTTCTCTTTCATTATTAACAGTAAAATAAATTCTCTGATCATATTTTGGAAAATTTAGAAACACTAATTACGAAAATACGAAAATAATCGCAGAAAGAAGTGTATTTATTTACTTGTGTGTAATTGAATACTTTCAAAATCTCATGAGTCATTATTCTTGAATGCGTTATAAATATCTTTGTTCTTAACAGAGAAAAAAATATTTTTCAGGAAAAATATTAACGGATGAGCAACCTTTGACAGAATATAATATCGATGAGAAGAAATTTATTGTTGTTATGGTTTCAAAACCAAAAGTCGGAGTTAGTCCGAGTACGAGCGAAGAGGTGAAAGCTGACGGGGATAGCAGCAAAGAACAATCAACACCAAGGTAGTATTTATATATTTTCAGACCTTCTATTCACCTACTAGAATTTACTATTTACTACTTTTTACGATTTCATACTATTTGGATATTATTTTACATTTTGTGACACTAAAAGTTACTTTTTCTGTGTTTGAGAGTTTGCACTACTTTAAATTCGCTGATAGTTGGAATAAAAAATTATTCTTACAAATTTTAATAAAATTCTTTGAAATAATTAAGAATTCAAACAATTTTAATAAAATTCTTTCAAACGAATCAATTATTTTCCGAAAAATTTTCGAAATTCGATTGTTCTCAATATCTACCACATTAATAAAAAAAATAAAATAAATTGTTATGAAATTCTTTGCAAACATTCAATTATTTTCATAAATAATAAAATTCTTGTCAGGAATTCAATTATTTTAACAAATTTTAAGAAAATTCTAAGCAAGAATTCAATTATTTCTATAAATAATAAAATGAATTTCTCGAAAAATGTAATTATTTTTGAAATTTTATTAAAATTTTTTAAAAGAATTCAATTATTTTAAAACATTTTGATAAAATTGGCTTATTAGAAATTAATATTTATTTTCAATATATTTTAATTAAATATCTAGAAAAAATTAATTATTTTTAAAAAACTTTCGAAATTCAATTATTATTCTCAATATTTACCATTTTAATAAAAAAATTTCCCAATAGAATTCAATTATTTCAAAAAATCTCTAATAAAGTTTTCCACTAGAATTCAATTATTTTTATTAGTAATAAGATTTTTCTTAGGAATTCAATTATTTAAAAAAAATTTAATGAAATTCGTTGCAAAAGTTCAATTATTTTCATAGCTAATAAAAATCATCGGAGGATTTCAATTATTTTTACTACAATTTTAAATAAATTTCATGAAAAATGTAATTATTTTTGAAATTTTATTAAAATTCTTTAAAAGGATATAATTATTTTAAAACATTTTGCTTTTTGTTTATTAGAATTTAATAATTATGTTCAATACATATTTAATTAAATTTTCGAAAAGCATTTAATTCTATTCAAAAATTTCAATGAAAGTTTAAGTAACAACTCAATTATTTTTATAAAATTCTTCGCAGAAATTTAATTAATTTCATAAATTTGTCGGAATTCAATTATTTTCAACATCTACTATTTCAGTAAAATTTCCCAAAAGAATTCAATTATTTAAAATAAATTTTTATAAAATTCTTTTTAAACATTCAATTATTTCCATAAGTAATAAAATTTACGCAGGAGTTTAATTATTTTAAAATTTTTAAATAGAATTGGTTGCAAAAATAATATATTTCATATTGAATAAGACTCATCGCAAGATTTCAATTATTTTTAATACAATTTTAAAAGAATTTCACAAAAATGCAATCATTCTTGAAATATTTATTAAATTTCTTCAAAAAAATTCAACTACTGAAAAAACTGGTATAATTTATTTATTAGAATTTAATGAAATTCTTCCTAATAATAATTAAATTAATTTCAAAAATTTGTCGGAATTGAATTACATATTTTCAATATCTACTATTTGAATAGAATTTCCCAAAATAATTGAATTATTTAATTAATTCAATTTAATTTTATTTCAATTATTTTTAAAACAATTTTAAGTAAATTCTTCGAAAAACGTCATTATTCTTAGAAATTTCATTAAAATCTCAGAAAAAGATTAAATTATGCTAAAAAATGTTGATAAAGTTCTTCATAAAAATTCAATTTTAAGAAATATTCAATTATTCAATGAATTATTTATTCATGTATTTAAATAAATATTGAATTCTCGTAGAACTTTATACATAATAAGAATTGATTTAAAATTGAATTACAGTTAAAATTTTAGATAATTTTTGAATATTAGAAGCGTTAGGTATAGTGTGAATTTTGAGAAATTATAAATTTCCAAAGGCTTTTAAATTGAAATCTTTGAAAATTTGAATTGTTGTAAAACTGTTATAATATTAAAATTTTTATTTTGAAGTAAAATGATGAAAGCTTTTAACAATTTTATCTATCAACAAAAAAACGATTGAATTTTGTAAGAATTGCAGTTGTAATTTTTAGAAATAGTTAAATTTCAAAAAGGCTTCAGATACATTGAATTCATTAAAAATATTTTATTTTCTGTGGAAAAATAAATATTTCAATAGGTATTTATATTTAAAAAACTATTTTATTTTTGAATTTAATTTAATTTTGAAATGATGTAAAATATGAGTCATCAAATTTAATTTTTTGATAGCTACTATTTTTTACTACTTTTTTCAGTCTTAAAGCTACTTTTTAAATATTAATCATCGAGTAAAAAGATTGTATTTCAGCAGTATTTACAAGTTGTTAAAGTAGTTCCCCGGCTGCTACTCTTGATAAAATTGATTTTCGACAGATTTTCATCAAATTTTGAAAAAATGTTTCTTCGGGTGCTCTTAAAATGTGATAAAAATTTCAAAACCCTTTGGCATGTCAAAAGACGAGATATTGCACGTGGTTAACATTTTTTATTTTTAACGTAAACGCATGTAAAAGTTGAAGTTTGAACTTGAATAAAAATTTAGCATCGCAAATTTTCTCCAAATTTGAAAATAATACCTTAACAGGGTTGCCACGCAACCTGGAAACCTGGAAAACCTGGAAATGTCAGGGAATTTTGATTGGAATCCTGAAAAGTTATTGTTTTCTAAAGTTATTGTGCTTATTCTTGAAATCTAATTTTTCTTTAATTCAATTTTAAAAGAGTTTCCTTTACAATTTTTCTTCACAATAAATTCCATTATTTTCAGAAATAATCAAATTTTTTTACAGAGATTCAATTATTTTCATAAATAATAAAAAAATTTATAGATTTACAATTATTTTCATAAATAAATAAAACTCATCGCAAAATTTCAATTATTTTTAATACAATTTTAATGGAATTTCTCGAAAAGTGTATAATTATTCTTAAAAATTTTATTCAAATTCATCAGAGAAATTCAATTATTTTAAAAATCCTTCCTTTAATTTATTTATTAAAATATAAGTATTATTGTCAATACATTTTTAATTAAATTTCTTGAAAGAATTAAATTATTATCAAAAATTTTAATGAAATTCTTTTTAACAATTCAATTTTTTTTCCAAAATAATTTTAATAAAATTCTTCGTAGAAATTTCATTCATTTTTATAATTTATCAAAATTCAAATTATTTTCAATATCTACTTTTTCAATAAAATTTCACAAAAGAATTCAATTAGGTATTTAAAAAGAAATATTATTAAAAAATTCGTCTCAAGAATTCAATTATTTTCAAAAGTAATAAAATTCTTCGCAGCAATTCAATTATAGTTAAAAGTTTAAAAAATTTATCGTCAAAATTTCAATTATCTTTATAAATATTAAAATTTTTCTCCAAAATTCAATTATTTTCAAAAATTTTAATGAAATTCTTTTTAACAAATTCAATTTTTTTTTTCAAAAATTCTCCGCCAGTCAATGATTTTCAATATCTATTTTAATAAAATTTTCCAAAAGGAATGAATTTAAAAGTTTTTTATAAATTTCTTCGCAATAATTCTATTATTTTCAAAAATATTCAATTTATGTTTACAGAGATTCAATTATTTTTATAAATATGTAATACAATTTTTTACAGGGATTCAATTATTATTTTCATAGATAATAAAACTTATTGCAGAATTTCAATTATTTTTCATACAATTTTAATCGAATTCCTCGAAAAATGTGATTATTCTTAAAATTTTATTAAAATTCGTCAAAATAATGCAATTATTTAAAAATTTGTTAATAAAATTCTTAATGAGAATTCAGTTTTGAGAAACATTCATTTATTTAATAAATTATTCATTTTTGTATTAAAAATAATTAGGTATTTAAAAAGAAATATTATTAAAAAATTCGTCTCAAGAATTCAATTATTTTCAAAAGTAATAAAATTCTTAGCAGAAATTTAATTATGGTCAAAAGTTTAAAAAATTTATTGTCAAAATTCAATTTTTTAAAAAAATGTTAATAATAATCTTGGAAATATTTCAATTATTTTCAAAAACTTTTCTCAATTCAATAAAATTTTTTACAGAGATTCAATTATTTTTAATACAATTTTAATCTAATTTCTCGAAAAATGAAATGATTCTTAAAAATTTTATTGAAATTCTTCAAAAGAATTTTAATTACCTATTTAAAAATTTATTGATAAAATTCTTTAAATGAGAGTTGAATTTTAAAAAACATTGAATTCTTCAATAAATTATTTTTTGTTGTATTTAAATAATTGAATTGTCGTAGAATTTTCTAATAATAATTGATTCAAATATGAATTTCATTTAAAACTTTAGATAATAATTGAGTTTTGAAAAGGTTTGAAATTATAATCTTTCACTGAGAGAAATGGATAGTCAGATTTTGATGTTAAAAAGATGATGTTACACGATACTATCATTATGCTACTGCCAACCATCACAGATGCTAAAAAAAATATAGTTATGCTACCCCGTACTACCAAGATGTTACTCCTGATGATATTGATGGTAACGGTGACTATCTAGATAGCTGTCCGTATTTGTAGCATTAAAGATGGTCACCCTAACCACAATTATGTTACCCACTACTATAAATTTCTCTCCGTGTTGATATTGAATGTTTGAATTTTTCATACTTTTAACTTAAAATTGTGTAGATTTAATTTTTTTGTAAAAGTTGAATTGAATTTTTTTGAAGTTATTTCAAGTTTTTATTTTCTAATATATATTTTATTGAAGAATTTCCGAATCGAAGAAATTTCGTAAAATTGAATTGTATACAAAAGGATTTGAAAATTTTTAAAGAAATGTTTCAAAAATTATTATTAATAATGAATTGAAAGAAGAATTTTAGTTAAAATTAAAAATTCTGGAAAACAATAATTGAATTGAAATGATGAAAGTAATTTTAAATTATTAGAAAAAATAAAGAAATCGATTACTCGGAGTGATCGATTTCTTTATGTTTTATAAGAATTTTTTTATAAGTTGTTTAATTTCAAAAGGGTTTGAATTAAAAATTTTGTAAAATATAAATGTAGTTTGAAAAACCTGGAAAACCTGGAAAAGTCAGGGAATTTGAAATGAGCAAAAGCGTGGCAACCCTGCTTAAGGTCTTCGTAATAATTTGCTTTCAAAGAATTTTCTTTTTATTTTGGCAGTAAAATGTGACTTTAATTAATAATAAAAGAAACTTTTTGGATGTAGCATAGCAACGCCACCTAGTTCGAATCCTGCACCCACAACACCACAAGCCACTGCAACACCACAGCCAGCAGCAACGCCACAACAGCAACAGGATGCGGCACAGCCAACTATTACAATAACAGGTCCGGAAGGTCAGGCGGAAGGTGCGCTGCTCATGGGCGAGCAGTACAATTTAATGGTAACCAATATAATGGACATGGGGTGAGCATCTTTTTAATTCACTCTCAAGTAAATCTCCTCCAATGAAATTCTAAGCTAATGAGTCGATTTGCAGATATCCTCGGGAGCAAGTTGAGCAAGCGCTGCGGGCCAGTTTCAATAATCCAGACAGAGCCGTCGAGTATCTCTTAACAGGGATCCCCTATCAGCTGTTGGACGACGCGGCCGAAGACCAAGGAGGAGAAGCCCAAGATGCTCCCCTGGAGCAGGGTCAGGATCCTCTCGCGTTTCTTCGTTCACAACCACAGTTCCAACAGATGCGCCAGGTCATTCAACAAAATCCACAATTACTAAATGCTGTCTTACAGCAAATCGGTCAAACCAATCCAGCCCTTTTGCAACTCATTTCTCAAAATCAGGAAGCCTTCGTGCGCATGCTTAACGAACCTGGTAAGTTCACTTTTCTTTTTTAAATCCACCAATTTCAATAGTAATTAGTGAATAATTATTTTTGATTTTTAGAAGATATGTAGAACGGTGAAAAGAAAATACTCTTATTTTCTTTTTTTCACAAGACGGCGTTTTCGTGGATTGGTTTGGTGGGCCTTCAGTCAGGTCATTTTCATTAAAAACTCAAAATTTAACACAATTTCAAAAATAGTGTTATAATTTTCAAAAGTTCAAAAATATAAAAAATTAAACTATATTTTAAAAAAATCGGATAAGTGCGAGTTTAATTCGCATTGAAACGAACTTATTTAGTATTAAAAAAACTCTATTTTTCGAAAAAAAAATTAGTCATTCATTTTGGCTCTTTATATATTTATTAAAATTTACTCGCAAAGATATAATTTTTAATTGGTAAAGTCAAAAATTGTAATATTTAAAGCTGCTGACACTTTTTTTTCGAGAAAAACTAAATTATTAAAATCATTTTCCAAAAATCGCAGATTGTCACCTTTTCACCTTTTTAAAATTTTGTCACCTATTTCGTTAATTTTCATCTATTTCACCTGCTTTGTACGAATTTTCAAAAATTTAATTTCGAAAAATTTGTAATCAATTTATATGTTAATAAATCTTTATTTTATTTTGTTCTTAATCTTTATTTTTATTTGTTTTTATTTTTAATTTGCTAAAATTTTCATCGATTTCAACTCTTATTTAATTCGTTAAACATTTTTAATATTAGGAAATTCCAATCATGTAAGATCAAATTTAGTTGATTTGAATTTTAATTTATCCAAATTTTAAACAGTATTTAAATTTAAATTTAGTTATTTTAATCAATCTCAAATTTAGTTATTTCAAACTTAAGTTTATGTATTTTTTTATTTAGGTACAACTTATATTTTAGGAACAATTTAGCAAAACATAATAATTATAAATTATATTTTTTACCAATTTTATGCATAAAAATTATATCTAGAAGAAAGTTGCAAAAATAGATTTATCAACCTTTGTAAACTTGCTTTATTCAAAAAATCCATTCAAATAAACAAAATATTTTTTTGTTATTTGAATAATTTTAAATAGTTATCGACTTTAATAAATATAAAGAACTTAATTTAAATATTTTCAAAGTTTTGTAAATTGCTCTTTCTAATTTTTATTGATAAAAAATTACCAGTCTTCTGAATAAATTTTTATTGTTTTGAATCTTCAATTATAAAGAAGAAGAAGAAGAAATGAAATTAATAAAAATCTCGATAAATACAAATTACTTTATCATGCATATAATTCTATTTTACTTAAATTTTTTGTCACCTTCTTATCATCTATTTTAAAGAAAATACGTGATGTGATTTTTAATGCTAAAAATATTCATTTGTTTTTTAAATTTTAACTGAGTTTAAGAAAACGGAAAAAAATTTTTTTTATGAAAATCTTAAAAACACAGTGACAGTGAAATCAAATCATGTTTTGTATATATATTTTCTAGATTCTTCGTACAAAAATACATATTTCAATGAGAACACAATCCGTCGAAATTTTTTGTTCCAGAACAAAAAAGGAATTTCGAGAGAAAGTGAAACTAATATTAAAAATGATCTAATTTAAAATTTTTTTAAGTAAAAGAAGTCGAAAAAATAAAATTTAATAATTACAAATCACAAACGTGTTGATTCAAACTGTACATCTTGTTTCATGTTAATAGTAAAATCATTACAGTTAATGTAATTTTCTTAAAATATAGTTTAATTTTTTTATATTTTTGAATTTTTGAATTGTATTATATTTTGAATTATTAATGAAAGTCGTGGCGAATCAGCCCAATCCTCTGTTACAAAAAAAGAAAAATTTTTTGGCAAAGCTTCTGGTACACTTTTTACGTGATAAATCGACTTGTTTACAAGAAAAATTCGCAAGTTATTTCAAATCAGTTCTTTTTTAATTTTATGATTCAAATTTGTCATTTATTCAGACAGTATTTTAAATATCTTCTCAATTTTAAATACTTTTTACGGCTTTGTCATGGGAATTGTAATAATTGTTATAGGGCAGTTAAATATTTTTATGAATTTAGTAAAAAAATAAAAATATAGAGGTCTTCGTTTGTATGGCTTTTTCCATAACAAAAAAAGTAAAAGAATAAAATACATATATAATTGATTTTAGACTAAATTAGAATAAATGTAAAAAATTTAGTTTTAAATATTTTTCAAAATTTACTTTTGAGTTAAACTTTTTAAAATCTCTTTTATGAATTATATATATTATAAGAAACTTTTTAACTCGCAATTTTTTTAAAATTTTTTACTCTCTAAATCTAAATTTGTGAAAAGTTATCTACTAATTTCAGTTTGTAGATATTTCTACAAGAATTTTACAAGAATTGCTCAAAAAATGTAATTCTCCTTAAAAATTTGATTTCAATTCCTCGAAAAAATTAATTATTTCAAAAAATGGTTTTTTTGAAATTCTTTAGAAGAATTAAATTATTTACAAAAATATTAGAATTTTTTACAGGAATTCAATTATTTTCAAATATTTTAATAAAATTGTTCTTCTTGAAAATTCAATTACCTATTTAAAAAAATTCTAATAAAATCGTTCGCAAAAATTCAATTACATATTTACAAAAATATTAGAATTTTTCACAGGAATTCAATTATTTTCAAATATTTTAATAAAATTATTCGAAAGAAATCAATTGTTTTAAATTCAATTTTTTTAAAATAATTCAATTATTCTTTTAGATTTGAATAACATTCTTCACAAGAATTCAATTATATCGATAAATAACAAAATTATTCCCGGAAATTCAATTATTTTTAAGCATTTTAAATAAAATTTTTTGCAAAATTCAAATGTTTTCATAAATAACAATATTCATCACAAGAATTCAATTATTTTTAAAAGTAATAAATTTTTTCCTGGAAATTCAATTATTTTAAAAAATTCTAATAAAATCGTTCGCAAGAATTCAATTATTTTCAGAGATAATAAAATGCTTTTTAGGAATTCAATCATTTTGAAAAAAATTTAATAAATTTCTTCGAAAGAAATCAATTATTAAAATAAAATTCTTGGCAAAAATTAAATTATTTTTATAAATTTTTAAATTCTTTCGTGAATAATAAAATTCGTTGTCGGAATTCAATTTATTTGCAAGATAAAAAAGAAATATTTTTGATGAAAATTAGGAGAAAGTCAGGAAAATAAAAAATATGGAGTGGACTTTTTGTCAGTTTTGTGAAGTGTCTAAAACGAGTTTTTTTGGTCGTCAAGTTTAATTTTTCGATAGCTATTTTTTTACTACTTTTTTTAGTTTGGAAACTACTTTTTACTACTTTTTTAAAATTAATTATCGAGTGCGAATTCTGGATTCAGAATATACTTTGCGATAGTTATCGTGTATTGTTTAATACCTAGAAAAGCAGATAAAATTGAAAATATTTTGAGATTTAGACAACGAGATGTTAAAATATTGTTTCTTTTACAAAAATAGTAATACACACACACAATGTGCTGAGTGAATAAAATGTCTTGAATTATTTAGTAGGTGCAAGTGGAGGAACGCCAGCAGGAACAGCTCCAGTCTCAGCAACCGGTGGAACAGTGAATCCCCTGTCCGGAAGTGGTGGTGGTGGTGGAACAGGGACAGGTCCAGCCGTAATTCAAGTGACTCCTCAAGACAAGGAAGCAATCGAGAGACTAAAAGCCCTCGGCTTCCCCGAGCACCTTGTTGTCCAAGCGTACTTTGCTTGTGAAAAGAACGAGAACCTTGCTGCCAATTTTTTACTCTCGCAAAATCTTGACGATTGAAAGAAAGAGACGATAAATTGCTATAGAATTAGGAATCTGGTACAGAACGGGTATGACTTCGTTGTTAATTTTAGAAAGGTGCGCTTGACGTTTTTGACTCATTAGTTGTCCGAGTATCTTTCAATTTCGGTAAAGAAAAAAAAAACAAACAAACAAAAACAAAAAAGATCTATTTGTTGAAGACATAAACTAGACACCTTCGACGACGCGCAAATTTTACCATAAAAGAATATTGTTAGTGTTGTTCTTGAAAAAGGAGAAGATTTCAAGAAGAAAAAGAAGAAAAGAAAAGAAAAGAAAAGAAAACTAAAAACGTTTTAAGCGCAAGGAAAATTCACTTTGCCTGGTAAGAATTGAAACGCTTTTTTAATTCTCTAATTGTAATGAAAATTTCTTATTAACTATGACAAGAATTCATTTTTCTTTTTAATCGGGGAATGTTATTTCTAAAGGAAAAAATAAAAGAAAAACTATTCTCAAAGCAATTTCAAGTTATTTTTTGCTTGGAGAAATTCAATGAGAACACAAGAAGATATAGGCACATTTTGTGAGTGATGTGTGCGTATGTGTGAGCTTCAGCGTGCAGCACGCCCACGCTCTTCTTTGTTTGGCGTGCGTTTATAATGTATTTGTATATATGTATATACGTCTTGTGTTTTCATTGATTTTTCCAATGCAAATTAATTATATTTATATACTAAATAATACACTTTTAAGATCTCTGGAAGCTCTTGAAATTGTAAAAAAAGAAAAAGAAGGGGAAAAATGAAGAATATTGCAAAAAAAAAAAAAATTTCCAAAGTTTTCATCAGCGAATGTCCAAAACACATCCACGAACTAATAAAAATTGTTTTATAATACATGAAGAACAATGAACAAGTTTCTCATGCTTGTGTACAGCGATAAATGCATTCAACTATATCTAATTTGTATTTATTAATCGATAGCGAAGAAATGTGTTCGGCGTTAAGCTTAGAAAGCCTAATGATTTTTCGAATTTTCAAAATATTTAAGAACTTCAATTATGTATAGAGTTAATCCTTGACAAATGAATAATGTTACGCGTTTCGTGATTAACAAAGAAATAAATGAAAGTGCATATAAGTTGAGAGAAATTTTATTTAGCATGCACAAGGCGTATACTTTTCAAAAAGACTTGTATATTTTTTACAATTTGCACACAATTCAAGTTTTCATTCTTAATCACAAAATCATGATCGTCATCATTATTCATTTCGAATTTGTTGAATTTTAACTGAGAAATATTTAAATAAGCTTTTTCAATCAATTTCTTTATCTGATCTGAAGAAAAAAAAAATGTAATATGAGAATTGTGCAAAGGCTTTGGGATTTTTCGTGACAGTTTAATAATAATAATAATAAAAGTAATATTAATAATAACGATAATAATAATAATTATTATTATAATAATAGAACAAAATTTTCAGGAAAAACATACGCATATTTGACAATGATCGTATAATATAAAACGAAGTGTCGAACTAATAAGCTGGAGAACATATATTTAGAATTTTGTGTGCATATAGACATGTTTAATCGAGAAAAAAAATGTCATTCTTTTTAAAATAATGTTTTCTTTTTTTAATTTAAAAAAAACAAACGATATTAACATTCATTACTGTTCCAATATTGGTTTTGTGTTTCAACAAGAATTTCATTTCTGTCTTACAAAAGCAAAGATACTTGTAATACTACTTATAAATACATAAATTCAATAAATACTTTAAGGTTTTCAAATAAAAATAATTCTTACTACTTTTTGCTTTAATTAAAAAATGTTTAAAAATAACTTTCGCAGTTATTATAAGTACAACCCGTTTTTATTAATTTTATTGTTTTTGACGAAAAATTAAATATGTACATACATATAAAATACTCATAAATGTATTTCTCATGCATGTATTTAAATTGTTTTCTTTATTTATAGAAGAATATTTATAATATAGAGGGCTTACACCCTAAAAAAAGTAATTTCGTGTTGAAAGGAAAAATTCTCTTAATATTTCCTCTTAAAACAAAACTAGAGATTCCACTTGAATATTTTTATTCTTTGTTTCTCTCAAAAATATTTTTAAAAAAACCTGTGGAAAATGTTCTCCTGTAATTGTTTTAACAAATTCGAATTGGAAATATACAGGCTTCGCACTCATCTACTAAAATCAACTATTTACTACTTTTTTTACTTTATGCTACTATTTCGGTCCTTTTTTTTTAATTTAAGTCACTAAAAGCTACTATTTCTGTTTTTTTGGAGAATTTCTACTACTTTAAATTTCAAAAATTCAATTATTTTCAATATCTAGTATTTTCATGAAATTTCGCAAAAGAATTCAATTATTTTAAAAAAAATTGATAAAATTCATCCGGAATTCAATTATTTTCATAAATAATAAAACTTCCACAGCAATTCAATTAATTTAGAAAATCATTTTCTAAAAAATTTCGAAAAAATCAATTATTTCACAAAATTTTTATACAATTCTTCACAATAATTCAAATGCTTTCATTAATAATAACATTCTTCATGAAAATTAAATTTTTTTTTTACTTTCTGATAAAATTCTAAGCAAGAATTCAATTAAATAATAAAACTCATCAAAGAATTTCAATTATTTTTAATACTATTTTCAATTAATTAATCGAAAAATTCAATTATTTTCACAAATAAAATTTTTCATAAGAATTCAATTATTTAAAATAAAATTTTCATAATATTTATTATATTTCGAAAAAATTAATTATTTAAAACAATATTTATAAAATTCTTATGAAGAATTCAATTATTTTCAAAAATAACAAAATCTTTCACAGAAATTAAATTTTTTTAAACATTTTAATATCATTTTTCCCAATTATTCAATTATTATCATAAATAATAAAATTCTTCTCAGGAATTCAATTATTTTTAAAAATTTTAGAAAAATTCTTAGCAACTATTCAATTATTTTCATAAATAATAAAATGCTTTTTAGGAATTTAATTATTTTCATACAAATTTAATAAAATACCACAAAGACATTCAATTATTGTCAGAAATTTAAAAAAATTTTGATTTTCATTATCTATACAATTTTCATAAAATTTCAAAACAGAATTCAATTATTTTTAAAATTTTTGTAAAAATCTTCGTAAGAATTCAATTCTTTTCATGAATAATAAAAATTTCTCAAGAATTCAATTATTTAAATTAGAATTTGCATAAAATTAGTGGAAAAAATTAATTATTTAAAAAATGTTATAAAATAATTCCTATGAAAAATTCGATTATTTTCAAAAATAATGAAATTTTTCACAGAAATTCAATTCTTTTTGAACATTTTGATAAAATTTTTCGCAATAATTCAATTATTTTCGTAAATAATAAAATTCATCGAGGGAATTTAATTTTTTTAATACAATTTTATAGGAATTGCTCAAAAAATGCAATTATTTTTAAAAATTCGATTTCCATTCCTCGAAAAAATCAATTATTTAAAAAAAATGTTTTTTTTCAAATTCTTTGGATGAATTGAATTATTTACAAAAATATTGGAATTTTTAAAGGAGTTTGACAGAAATCAATTATTTAAAATTAATTTTTTTAAATAATTCAATTATTCTTTTAGATTTTTATAAAATTCTTCCCAAAAATTAAATTATTTACATAAATAACAAAATTATTTCTGAAGATAAGATTATTTTGAGGCAATGGAATGAAATTCTTTGCAAAATTTAATTGTTTTTCTAAATAACAAAATTCATCACAAGAATTCAATTATTTTTAAAAGTAATAAATTTCTTGTTGGAAATTCAATTATTTTCAAAAATTCTAATATAAAATCGTTCGCAAGAATTCAATTATTTTCATAAATGGTAAAAAAATGCTTTATAGGAATTCAATTGTTTTCAAAAAAATTTAATAAAATACCACGCAGACATTGAATTTTTGTCAAAATTTTAATAGAATTCTTTGTAAAATTTAATTATTTTTATAACTTTTTGCAATTCAATAATTTTTAATATCAAATATTTTCGTAAAATTTCCTTACAGACTTCAATTATTTAAAAAATTTTTTGTAAAAATCTTATCCTAAGAATTCAATTATTTTCATGAATAATACAAATTTCTTAGGAATTCAATTATTTAAATTAGAATTTGTATAAAATTAGTAAAAAGAAATGAATTATTTAAAAAAATTTATAAAATTCTTGGTAAGAAATAAATTATTTTTATAAATAAGTATTTTAATTTTATGATGAATAATAAAAATTCGTTGCAGGATTTCACCTTTATTTTTTAAAGAAAATAAAGCGCAGTACGCACGTCGCGTTCGGAATATTTGCCATCTTCATTTACTGTGTTGAAAGCGGTTGAAAATATCTATTTAGGTATACTTTTAAACAAATGTGAAAATAAAGTGACTTTTTGTGGAAAATTAAAAAAAAAATTAATTACAAGTATTATATAATGGCAAAATATTGTAAAGGGCACTCGTGTATTGCCCCCAATTGTAAATCTGGCTACAAGTCAGAAAAAAGTGACAGAAAAATCCACTTTTTCTCGGTCCCTATGGGAAAAGAAAATTTAGAAAAGTGGCAAAGAGCAATTTTGAGGGAAAATTTTGCAATAAGACCAGGGCAAGTAGTTTGCGAAAAGCATTTTCGCCCAGAGGACATCTTATGGAAGCGAGAAGTTAAAGATCCTAGCGGAAAGGTTATGGCGTCTGTAAGTATATATACAAAACTAATATAGTATTAAAACTATTGAAAAAATTAAAAGGCGCCTTTTAAATTTTTATTTTTTAACTTGAATAAAAAAAGAATTATTTACATTTTTATAGATGGATTACAAAATTCCACGTTTGAAAAAGGGAATCGTGCCATCGATTTTCCCAAATTGCCCAAAATATCTTACAAAAATTGTGAAAGAAAGAAAGCCACCAACTCAAAGAGATAAAGAGCCCCTGAATTCCACTCATTCTTCAAACACGAAATCTCTTGAAAAAGATGATTTAACAAAGGCAGAAAATTTCTCGAGTAATAGTAAAATTTTAAGCCCTAATATTGAGGAAAACGAAGTAAATATGGATGATGGAAACAATGGAAACTACGAAGTACCTATACATGAACCCACACTATCCAGCTCTGTGCATCACGAAGACTTATCAGAAACTGAAAGATTCGCCTTTTTTGATTCTTTAATCTCGTCAAAAAATTCCTTTGACTTGCCGGAGACTTGGGTGCGCTACGACATCGATAGTGGAGAAATTCGTGCCATAGAATTTTCGCAATGCACCGCGAAATTGATCGATGACAAAGTGAAAACTATACATCATAAAAAAATTATTTTGTGTAGAGACATGAGGGTACACACTTTAGTTATGAATTGTTCCTTAGAAAATAAAACTGTTGGACTATTGAAACCCTACGTATCTTCTGCTGAAGTAGAAGATGCCATAAAAACTTTGCATAAATTGGAAATTTGTCAAGGACTCGCATCTCCATCATCGTTTATTTGTAATTCGACCACGTCATTTACCTTCAAAGATTCGATAGGCACGTTAAGACATAATAAGTGTTCCCTCATTTTAGATCCGAGTGGAAATAAATCAAAACTTTGTCAATCGTGCGAAAAGGGAAAAGTTACCCTGTCAAAAAAACATCTTACGATTTAGTCAAAAAGATTTTCAACGAATTGTTTTGAAATTGAGTTCTTATGTACTTTTAGGTAATAAATAGTATTTTTATAACAGATTCATAGTTTATTAGGAAAAAATTCTTGAAAAAGGCACTTCTTTTTAACTTTACAACTAGTGTTTCCTCCTTAAATTAGTGAGATTCATAGATCATCGAATTTTCAGCCGATTTAATTCGATGAGCTTAAATTAAGATTTTTAAATATTTTAATTACGATAAAGTTAACGTAAATGTATAATTTAACGTGGGACACTTAGTACTTTGGTTCTTGACAATAAAATAAAAATAAAAAATCTGAACCATTTTTAGAAGATTGCGATTATCTCCTAAAAAATCGACAAAGTGGTGCCTTTTTATGCGGGCGTGCACATTTATAAGGGTAGGGATTAGAAAAATTTCAACCTATCTAAATTTTTGCTGTTTATTGGAAGTAATTTTTTTCTGATAATATTGAGTATTTAAAATTTGAAAAACAATTGATTAGTTGGTACCTATTTTCTAAAATGAAAATCGAAATTTTCTAAAAATAAAAATTTTAAGTTGTGATAATTTTGATGATTTTTATCGTCTATTGCATGATTCTGTGAACAATCAGTCGTATGGATTTTGAAAAAAATGATCATTTATTTAACAATAATATCAATTTAATTCGTCGTAAATTTAAAAAATTTTCTGGAATTTTGCCTGTTAAAGATTTTTAAGAAAATTTTAACTTAAAATTAAAAAATGTTTTTATCTCATTGCCATATAAAAATCTTTAAAGAAGAAAGATTTATGGTTTGTAATAATTCTTATTAACATGGTTGCCGCACAGAGCCTGGAAATCCAGGAAAACCTGGAAAAGGTACCCAGTAAAAAAAAACTAATTCAAATGAATTGAAACGAATTAACATTTTTGGTAGGCTCCAATTCGTATTTGTCACAAAGCGGGATTCACTCAAGCTCTTTGTATATTCAATTGAATTTAATTCAATATGTACCAATTTGTCCAAACGAATTCGCATTCGAAAGAAATGGCCAAGGAATGCATTGAATTCGTGCTAACGAATTGAAAAACAATTAAAGGCTCAAAACTTGTCCAGTGAATTGGTACGGATAGAAGGTTCGGAAGTTCAATACAGTTTTCACGAATTCAGGAAAATTGCATCATGGCTCCAATTCGTATTTGTCACAAAGCGGGATTCACGAAAGCTCTTTGTGAATTGTTTTTAATTCATTTCAATTAGTTTTCGTTTACTGGGTATGGAATTTAGAAAAGGGTATGGAAAACCTGGAAATAAAATGGAATTTAAACAAATTTCTGGAATTTCGCCTGTTTTTAAAGATTTTTAACAAAATTTTAATTTCAAATTACATATTATTCAAAGATTTTCATAAATAATATTTTTTACAGGGATTCAATTATTTTCATAAATTCATAATAAAACTCATCGCAGACTTTCAATTTTTTAAAAATTTTTAATACAGTTTTAATGGAATTCCTCAAAAAATGTAATTATTCTTAAAAATTTTATTAAAATTCAGCAAAGAAATTCAATTATTTAAAAAAATTTTGCTACAATTTATTTATTACAATTTAATTATTATTTTCAAATTTCAATACATTTTTAATTAAATTTCTTCAAAAAATTTAATTATTTTCATAAATAATCAAATTCTTTGTGACAATAGAATTTTTTTAAAAATAATTTTCATAAAATTCTTTGTAGAAATTTAATTTGATTTCAAAAATTTGTCAAAATTCAATTATTTTCAATGTCTACTATTTCAATAAAATTTCACAAAAGAATTCAATTATTAAAAAAGATATTTTAATAAAATTCGTCTCAGGAATTCAATTATTTTCAAAAGTATTCTAATTCTTCGCAGAAATTCAATTATGTTAAAAAATTTACAAAAATTCTCGTCAACATTTCAATTATCTATATAAAAAATGAAATTCCTTTCCTAAATTCAATTATTTTCAAAAATTTTATGATGTAATAAAACTCTTGGCAGAATTTTAATTATTTTTAATACAATTTTCATCAAATTTCTAAACAAATGAAATTATTCTTAAAAATTTTATTAAAATTTGTCAAGAGAATTAAATTATTTAAAAATTTTGTTAATAAAATTCTTTATATGAAAATCCAATTTTAAGAAACATTTAATTATTTAATAAAATACTTATTTTTGTCGTTAAATAATTAAATTCTCGTAGAATTTTCTAATAAATATTGATTTAAAAATCAATTTCAGTTAAAATTTTAGATTATAATTGAATATTGAAAGCATTATAGCGTGGATTTTTAGAAATAATTGAATTTTTAGAAGGTTTCAAATTAAAATCTCTGAAAATTTGAACGTTTCATACTTTTAATTAAGGACATAATTTTTTTCAAAAAGTTTAATGGAATTTTTTTTAATTATTTAAAGTTTTTAATTTCTAATACATTTTTAATTGAGGACTGTCAGAATAATCAAAATTTCATAAAATTAAATTGTAAAAAAAATTTGAAAATTCTCAAAGAACTTTTTCAAAAATTATTATAAAAAATTGATTTAAAGAAGAATTTTAGTTGAAAATTCTAGAAATGAATAATCGTGATGAAAATAATTTTTGAAGAAGTTACAGTAACAAAGTAGCAAGTTTTAATTATTATAAAACAAGAAGAAAGCGATCACTCCGAATCGAAGACTCGGAGTGATCGATATCTTCATGTTTTATAAAATAATATTCTTATAAATTATTGAATTTGAAATTTTTGAAAATTTTAATTTCTATATGAAAAAATAATAATGAGTGTTATTGGGCTAGAAATTTTTTTAATTTTCGACTGGAATTTCATAACTATTGACCTCGAAAATCCTAGAAAAGCCTGGACTTTTTATATTTATCATTTTGTGGCAACCATGAATATGGATTTTAATTTCTAATTTTAATCGATTCTATGAATTGTATATTTTGTGCATAAAAATCATATTTAGAAAAAGTTTCAAAAATAGATTTTACATATTTGTCTTAATTTATAAACTTGTTAACGTTAAAAAAATTCAGAACAATTCAATGAACGAAAAATTTTTTTCCATATAAATAGTTTAAAAAATTATTAATTTCAATAAGAATCAAAATTAGGGGAATAAACTTATTCCGTATTGGAAAAAAATTCCAATTTTCATTATAATCGAAATCTTATTTTTATTACTAATTTTTATTGATAAAAATTGTCAATCAATTAATATACTAGACTAAAGTCTATTAAGTATTATTATTTTTAATACTGCTTAATTTTTATAAACTAAGATTATTTTCAAAAGACTATTTATGTACCTTTTATCTTCTTTGCTTAAAATTCAAAAATGATATAAGCTTTTACATAACACTTATGGTTTGCGACATACATAGCTTATACAATTCCTTCAAAATAAAGTTTTTTGGATTAAATTTTAGATAATTGAAATGTCATACATTCTAAAATTTTAAATTATGAACTTCAATTAACGAAATTGAAGAAATTTCAAGTCATAATATTTTTGTTTAAAAAATCATGATCAATCCACAGGAGAATAGGTTTCTCTGTCTGCCGCGCGACCCAACTTGGCCACAATGAGCGATTCGATACACACGAATTTCTTTAACAATAGATTTTCAAATCTATTGCCAGTTAACTTTTAACCCTTGCTTTCCACTCATGGGTCCTTTAGACCCAAACGTATTTTATCTTCGTTTCTTAGAATAATCACATTTTTTGCAAAAACCACTAAAGTTATTTTACATCAGTAGGAGAATGGGTTCGCATCGTTTTTAAAAACGATAAATACTAAAGACGATATTTATTATTTTGGCTTCAAATTTAAATTATTTGTTGGTTACTGCTCTTTAAGAAGAGAATTGAATTTTTTTGTCCTTTTTGTTTGACCCAAAATTTATGAAATTACCACGACTTCTAATACAAAACCTTCAATTTTTTTATATTTGTAATTCTTTTTAAATAACTTAATTCTTGAAGAATAATAAAATTATTACTTATAAATTATTTAATAAATAACTTTAAATATTTCAAAATTAATCAAAAATTTTAGTGTTAAAAACACTAAAAAAATTGAATTTTGGAAAAGTTACAAATGTTTTCTAAAATTCAATTATTTTCAAAAGAAATAAAATCTTCGTAAAAATTAAATTACATATGTTAACAAATTTTTTTAAATTATCGTCAAAATTTCAATTATCTTTATACTAAATAATAAAATTCTTCATCAAAATTCAATTATTTTCAAAAATTTTAATAAAATTCTTGGCAAGATTTCAATTTTTTTTCTTCAATTCAATTTTCTAAAAGAATTCAATTTTAAATAACATTAAATTATTCAATAAATTATTAATTTTTTTATTTAAATAATGGAATTCTCTTAGAATTTTCTAATAAAAATTGATTTAAAAATGAATTTCATTTAAAATTTTAGACAATAATTATTGAATATTTAAAGCATTGCGGCGTGCATTTATCTTTAGAAATAATTGAATTTGGAAAAGGTTTTAAATTAAAATCTTTGAAAATTTGAAATTTTCATACTTTTAACCAACAATAAAAGAATTAATTTTTTTTGAAACAGTTTACTTGAATTATTTTTGAAATTATATTTGAAGTTATTATTTTCTAATAAGATTAAATTGAAGAATTTCCGAATAATTGAAATTTCGTGAAATTGAATTGTAAACAAAGGGATTTGAAAAAAATCTGAAAGTCAAGGAATTTTTAAAAATATTATTAAAAATAATTGATTTAAAGAAGAATTTTATAGTTAAAAATTCTAGAAAATAATAATTGAATCGGATAATTATTTACAATATTAAAGAAATTCGTAAATAAATGTAATATAGAACATTTTTTTGAGTAATCTAATAATTTTTAGAGTGAATCAGAATATATTCTTCAGGTTCAAGGAAAAAGTCAAAATTTTGTCAAACGAAATTAGGGAAAAACAAAATTAAATTTTTGTGGCAACCCTGTTCTAATATTTTTTCTGTTTATTAAAAATTCGTCTAAATGACATTTTCTTCAATAAAAATTCCAGCAAATAAAAATTTTGTTTTCTTCTTAATTATATAACTTTAGAGACGAAAATTTCGATAAATTGAAATTCCATCTAATGCAAATTCTGTCAAATGAAAGTTTGATTATGAAAAAATGTTGTATTATGGAAATTCGTTTAAATGAAAATCATGTATAGTAAATAAAAATTCGCAGAAACGAAATTTCGGTTAAAGAAAATTGACACATAATAAAATTCTATTTTTCAAAAATTATATTTAGACAATTAGCTTTATGGAATAATTATGGGTCCCGCCTGGTTTATAAAGAAAGAAGTTGTCAGAGTTTTCACAAAATATCAAAGCCATACTATAAAATTGTGTCAGAAATAATCAAAATATCTGATGAATATTGTCGGACTATGACTGTGACGTTTTGCTTTTGTTATGATTCTTTATTATTTGTTTAGAAAAGTGAAGAAAAAATAAAATTACCTAATCGAAATCTCAAAAAATACAAATTGCTTATGTTTTGCATAAGAGTGTATGCAATTTTGTTACTTATGTAAAAATAATTCATTTTTTCAACTTCAAAGAAAAAAAATATTACTTAATATACATGCACCTATTAATAATAATTCATGATCGACGTGATCCCTACTTTTCTATAGATAAAAGGTAAAGTAGATGTTCTACATTATCCGTTCGACAAATGGTAGTAGTATTAATTAAAATAAATGATTTATAATCATTTAAAATTAAATAATTTTTTGTTTAAAGTAATATCTCAAAAACAAAATCTTTTTCGCTTGTTTATCAATTGTAAACATCTGAATATTGTAAAGTGGACGTAAATATTTTTCACTCAAAAGTGAGGTTATGTTATTGTTGTTTAGATTTACCAGATTTACAAATCGCTGAAACACACACATAAGCTTGCGAGTATTGAGAAATCGTTTCCACACATGAAGGATTCTTTAATTATTGAAATTTGAATTTAAAAGTAAATTTCACTTGCTTTACGTAATTTTTTATGAATTGTCAGTACTGATAATAATATATAGAGTACACATATAGTCGCAGAGTATTCACTGCGCCTGAGTGCGCTGTTATATTATTGTTACTCGTGAGTGAACCAACTTGTAAATGTTGTTTTCTTTTTAGAAAGATGAGAAATTACGCAACAAATTCGGCACTAGAATGACATTGAAAAGTTCATCTCAGAATAAGAAAAGAAAAGTTTTCCAAGAAGATGGCTTCGCGAATAGCAGCTAGTGCTACAGTTAGAGCTGTCAAAGGGAGAAAAATACTTCCCACTCGGGCTGCTCTAGTTCTAGTATGTTTTCACTTTTTTATTATTAATACTATTTTATTCCAATAGATTATTACACGACTTTAATTGAAAGAAAAAAAGTAATTTTAAAAATTTACATAAAAATCAGTGACAAATCTACGCCTCCGTTGATAAAGTGCTAACCCAATTAAAATTTAATTTTAAATCGTAATTCAGTTTATTGTTTTTTCAATGTGATTCCTATTTGATGTTCAAAATAATATAATGCTAACTCAAAGTGTCTTTTAACATAATTTCTTTTTAATACAATTCTTTCTTATTCATTTTAATATTATTTTTCAAAAAAGTCTTACGGACGTCAAAACTAAAGTTAGTCCACTGTCATAACTTCGTGTTTTTCGTATTTTAAAAGAAAGAAGAAATTAAATTTTCAATTCGTTTTGGTGGAGGGATAAGGAATTTAATTTTTACGCCTTTAAACAACTAAAAGTTGCATTCAAATAAAAATTAAAATTTTTTGTCAAGAAATATTTGTCAAATTTTAGGTTATGTTATGCTTGCATCATGCAAAGTTGCATTGTTTCGTATTGACAGAAAATTATATTTATTTTAATTTAACTTTAAATTGTTTCAAATATTGAAAATTAAATTCTTTTCACCTCCACTAAGTCGAATTTAAAATTTAATTTATCTTTTCCATATAACTTTTGTATCGATTCTTTGTCGGATTCTTCCAATAAAAAATATTTTATCAAGTAAAAATAAAATAAATAAAAATTACAAATTAAATCTAAAAATAATTATTAAAAGTGATTCTAATTCTAATAATTAAATTTTTATGATACTTCAATAATTAAATAATTTTTCTAATTCAATTTTCGAAGCATACAATTAAAATTATTTTAAATAATTGAAATTTTGTAAAATATAAAGAAATCAACTTTTGAAGACTTTCAATTGCAAGTTTTTAAAATAATTGAAATCTCAAAAATTTTAATAAAAAATAATCTTCAAGTGTAAGTTTAATAATGAAAATTCATGAAAAATGGCTTCTAAAAATTGTATTAAAATATTTTTGAGAAATGTAATTCATAGAATTTTTTTATTATAATTTTTTAAAATCCAATTGTTATCAATATTTTCAATTATAAATATTTCCGAAAATTCAAATTCTTACAAAAAATAATAATATTAAAATTTTTTAGAATTATTTTTAACATTTTAGAAAAAACAATCATGTTCAAAATTTTTAATTAAAATTAAACAATAAATATTAATTAGTTTTTTTAAATTATACAAAAATTTTTTTAAAAACAAATTATTTAATTACATTATAATATTATTAAACAACTAATTCTTAGAATTGTTTTACTATAATTCTTTAAGATTCAATAATCTTCGAAGAAAGTAAATTAAATTTTTTTTTAAATTTACTTTTTTAGACTTATTAAAATTTCTGAGAAATCATGTTCATATTTTTAATTAAAATTATTCAAAAATTTGATTATTTTTTTTTACTTTTTCCAAAAATTCAATTTTATTATTTTTACAAGATTTTACCAAATTTTATTTGTTTGAAAATATTTCAACAACAAAAAATTTCTTTATTATAATTTTTTGAAAATATATCTTAATAAGTTGTAAAAAACATGGATAGTTACAATTATTATAAAAAATTTAATTTTTGTATTAAAATAATTGAATTTTTGAAGAAGTTTTGGAAAATACTAAAAAAAAACAATTGATAGAGATGAAAACTTGTTAAAAATAGAAAAAACAAATAAGAAGTATTTAAATATTTATTTAACAAAATTATTCAAGTTTTGAATACTTACATAATTGAATTTAGAAATCAGTGAAAGGTCAGGCAAATACAAAATAAAATTTTTGTGACAACTCTTAAAATTAAATAATCAACTTTTTCGTCTTATATTTTTAATCGATTAAAGCGACTTTTTTGCTCGTTAAACTCGATGCGAGGTCTTGAAATTTAATAATTAAATTCATTTGATTAATTTATTTTTTTGAGTTATTTTATTTTTTAATTGAATTTTAATTTAATTTAAACATAAATAAAATAATTAAATAAAGGCAAATATTGTAAAAATTATTTTTTACTAAAGGTAGAGGCTGAAAAGATAAAATATTTATATTTCATTTTTTATGTCTAATTGACATTTTATTGTATACGAAAAATTAAATGAGAATTATATTGCACAGAGCTGTTAGTTAGAATAATTTTTTTTTAAAATTGGATTAGCATTTTATCAACGGAGGCGTTGAAATTAATTATTTTGCAACACTCATCTTTAATTGTATTCTATTATTTCGAACAGTTTATATTTATCTGGATGAATTTTTCGATATTTACAGACAGCCAATGCAGTCAAGAAAATTAAGTCAATTTTAAAAGAAAAATCGGACTGTGTGAGTATAATCTAATTAATTTATTTTTCAATTTTTGTCCAAGTCTCATTGATTATAAAGAATTATTTCCACAGATTGGTCTTAAGGTTGGAGTCAAGCAACGCGGTTGCAATGGACTTAGTTACACGTTAGATTATGCAATGGAAAAAAGCAAACTTGACGAAGAAGTCATTCAGGACGGTGTTCGAGTGATTATTGATAGAAAAGCTCAACTTTCACTTCTAGGCACTGAAATGGACTTTGTAGAAGATAAATTGAGTTCCGAATTTGTATTCAACAATCCAAATATTAAAGGAACTTGTGGTTGCGGAGAAAGCTTTTCTGTATAAATTATATATATATATTTTAGTAATTGAAAATTATGTACAAAAGTTGAAATGAATTTCTAGTGTGTCACTCAATTATAGATCAACGTAAAAGTATTATTTTTAATTATTACAACCTGCAATGGCAAGTAAATTAATTAATAACTTCTATTTTTACTACGTTCCTTAATATGTATACATAGCTGATTGCTTTCTCAAAGGAGCAAGTGAATAAACATAGCCGCATAGGAACTTAAAATCTCAGTTTTAAACTTATTCAGTACTTCGATTTCGTTAAGTAGATATTATTAAGAATTCAAAGATACTGTTTGACTATAGGTTTGTTAATGTCATTTGTTGTGAATTTAGTAGTTCTTATGTTAATTGTTTTGTGAGCTACTAGAAAAATAAATATCAATTTCTGATAGATTTTTGTGTTTATTATAAATTTATTCAAATTCTCTGCCATTATTTTTATGGTAATTGGTAACTCAACTATTTTATTAGTTAATTTCAGGCCTCGGATATAATACTTGTCGGTAACCGTCAAAATAAACACTTATTTTGATTCAATTTTTTTCGAAGACTAGTGCAAAACCCAATGCGAAATTTTAGCAGCAAGAAGATATTGCTTCAATCTACATTCTCCAAAAATTTGGTATAAATCGGTATTTCTCCAACGAAGTTACAAACATTCAAAATCGCAATAAAATGAAGAAAGGTTAACTTTTAAGGACAAATTTTTTTTATATTTCTCAGCTGATAATCAAAAAAATATTTAAATAATATTAAAGTGTATTTAAATACTTATTATTATTTGAATAATTCCGATTTACTAAAATTAAATTACTTTGCTAAAAAAAAATGGTTAAATATGATCGATTTTTTACATTTCATACAGAATCTTAAATATCGTATTTTACAATTTATTATATATTATTTAATTTTTTTATAAAGTAGGTACATAACATAAATTCAGCATTTAAAAATAAATATCAATCGGTTTTTTATATTTTTTAAAGAATTTTCTCTCTCTTTTAAATATTTTTGTAATGTCTGTCAATGTAACCTTCTTTCATGTAGTTTCAATTTAAAACATTTTTTTTTTATATCAAATGTAATTATTTTTTACAAATCATCGTGCATTTTGTTATCCCATAACATGTAAGAATATTTTCCCAAAGTATTAAGTTTTTTATAAAGATCAAAAATACATTAGGCGAAATAAAATGGTTTGAATCTTCAATTAAATTTTTTTAAAAATTAATTCTACAGAATTGATAATTAAAAGTATGAAAAATTCAAGTTATCAATAATTTTAATTTAAAACCTTTTCAAAATTAAATTATTTATTTCTAAAAATTCACTCTGTAATGCATTTAATATTGAATTATTAAGTAAAATTTTAACTGAAATTCATATCTAAATTATTTTTATTAGAAAATTCAACGAGAATTCAATTATTCAAATACAAAAATAAAAAATTTATTGAATAATTAAAAGTTTTTTAAATTGAATTTTCATAAAGAATTTTATCAACAAATTTTTAAATAATTTAATTCTTTCGACAAATTTTAATAAAATTTTTAAGATAATTAAATTTTTCGAGAAATTTGGTTAAAATTATTGTAGTAAAAATAATTTAAATTCTGCGATGAGTCATTTATGAAAATAATTGAATCCCTGTAAAAATTTTTATTATTTATAAAAATAATTAGAAGAATTTTATTATTTATAAAGATAATTATGAAATTTTGACGATAATTTTTTTTAATTTCTGAACATGCCTAAATGAATTTCTGCGAAGAATCTTATTACTGTTGAATTATTTAAATTTCTTAAAAATGTCCTAAGCTCTTTAAGTTTGAAATTAAATTCATTCAAAATCGAAATTTTATAAAATTTCAAATTGAATCCTTTTAAAGTTGATCTATTTGTGAAGTTACTAATGACACTTATCTCGTTAAAAATAATGAAAAACAGTAAATTTTCTTAGCAGAGATTTTAAATATCAATTTATTTAGTAAACAATTTAATTCTAAAATTAAAGATAAATAAAAAAATTTGAGATAATAAAATTATCTCAAATTAAATAAATGTTTATTATTTATGTTTTGTTTCGCGAAAGTCGTTCGCGAACGTGAAGCATGAGATAGAAAATGTCACAAATATATCGTTGTTCTTTTTTAACTCATGCTTTGTGTTTGCATTGTACTTAGGCCTTAATTCCTATATTTTTATATTTATTTTTGGTGACATTTATAGAATTTAATCAATATAATTATTTAATGAAATAAAAACCATGAATTTTATTTTATTATTGTTATTTAGAAGTAAAAAAATATTAAAATTTTTATTTTTTTTATAATACGCAGAATTAAAATAATTTGTATTCGAATAAATAATTTCAAATTTTTTATTTTGCTTCCGCATAGGAAACTTTGTTTTAGTAAAAATTTCCAACTGTGGTTTTTAATAATTTAAAAAAAAAATAAAAAATGTGAAAAATTGAAGTTTCTTGAATTTTTAGTCATTTTTAGTTAACAAATTTTGCGTAATTGTCAAACTGCTGTAGACAGCTTATAGAATATTTTAAAATGCTCCAATTGACTTAAATTTCAACACTTTTTGACCCATGTTTATGAAAAGATATTAATTAATTAATTATAAAACTTGGCAGCGATTTTTATATTTTGTTACGAACAAATTGTTTGGTTAGTGCACATTTTATTCAAACACAAAACACACTCATTATTTGTGAATAATGTTCATTATTACAAAAAATGTATGACACTTTTGATAACATTCCTTCCATTTCTAAATTCAGTCCATGTTCTGTGATGTGGAACCATGACAAAAAATACATAAACTTTTTTCCATTTTTGGAAGATGAAGAAATAAATAGAAAAGATATAATATTAATTTTTTTTAGTATGTCGTTTCGGTGACATGGTTTGCTACTCTTATCAGGTCACTAGTTAATTATTAATTACATGAATAACTCGTCAATAAAAATAAAATTCATAAAATTCAATCCATCGAAAATTTATTGTAAAATTTTAATAGAGAAAAATCACTGACATAAGAGAGTATTTAGTGAAAACTGAAACAACACATACGAAATAAAAAGGAAAAAATTGTCCGTAATAGAAAAATTATAAGAATTGTTGAATAAATAATATTTTTATCTATTAATTAACAAAATAATAAATGTAATAAATCAATCTAACCTCACTTTTCACTACATAAAGTTCAATTCATCAAATGCATCCATCAAATACACGTGTGTAGTTTTTTCTCCTCTTTTCATTGGTGGACTGATTTTTCTCGGAATACGATAGCCAATGAAATCAACTCTTTACATTAAAAGACTTCTCTTTTTTTACTTTCCATTATTCTGTATTTGTAACTTTGTAAAATTGTCAACTTTTTAATAATTATTCAGTTCTTTCAGTGTATTTCTCTAGATATCGGTTTATACTTTTGATGGCTAAATTTTTAGATAAATTTTTTTGAATACATAATTCCAATAATTGAAAAGATTGAAAATAAACAACCTTGAAGTGATTACAAACATCACATTACGTAAGGGTTTTTGGAAATCTTAATGACTATGTGGATACTTAAATAAATTCTTAACTACTTTGAGAAAATTGCTGAAATAGAATTATTTTCACGTGTAATTAATAGTTGAGAACGTTGAGAAGTTCTTTATACTTTCGTTTGATGAAACTATATACGTAATCTACTGAAACAAAACATTCCTTTTAGTGTATTAGATTTCGATTTTCATCAGTCTCTCTCTCACTCCAAGATGCCGAAATCTATACATATCTTAAAATCCTAAAAATTTACTCTCTCAAAATTTTCTCGTATTTCTAGAAAATATAATATTTCTCCCCTACATTCGGCACCTGCTGGTGCTTGCAAGCGTGAAGGGCCTTCAGTTTTTTACCTCGGGATGGCTGATGATATCGCCTCCTCTCTTTTCCTTTCATTAATCGGTAATTGCTAAAGGGAGATGGAGCGATACTTTCAAAATTCTCTGACGACAATTCGTAGTGTGTACCATACTTTAAGACAAATAAGAAAATTATTCATTTTCTCCATTGTCACTTTCCACTCTGATTGGCTATTTACATTCTACTCCCCACCACTTTCTCATAAATTTCTTTGAAAATAAAATAAAATAAATATTTAGTTTTAAAATGTTACTCGGAAATTTTTGAAATTAATTTCAAGTTACTTTGGGTGTTATTTCGGAAAAGATTTTTCTGTAAAAGAAAGTTTGTGGAATAAATACTGTGCCCCAAGGGGCAGGGTGGCGTCCTATTGGTTGAAGGTTTAAATATTGTTTTTTGAAAATTGAAAAGTTGGAACTCCGTTAATAGGGGGGTTATTCATTTAAAAGGGGGCGTAGTGTAGAGAAAACTAATTCGATCTATTTAGAGGGATTTTTCGCCGTTATTTGGCAAATTAAAGGGAGGGTAAATGGCAAAAAAGGGAAAAAAGTGAAGAACCAGAAGGAAGGGACAGAGAGAGAGTGGGGGAAATTGACACGTTCTGCTCACTAGAGGCGCTTGTGTCGAAACAGCGTGGGGCAGGGACAATCCAATGCATGCGACTAGACTCGGAGGCACTCGGGGAGGGTATGCGAACGGAGCACAGTTCAGTTGTCGCCATTACGGCCTCCTGTGTTGTCGGATTCATCGATACTCGCGCGTGGAGCCAATTTTCAGCTAGCCAAACTCCGGGCAAGGGCCCATTGAGAGGAATTTCCCCCATGCAGGAATATTGCAACCAGCTGGCCCAAAAATTGTTGCAATCTATTGACTCGGAGTATAATGTAAGTGTTAATTCTCCGCGAATGAGCCGCCCGTCCGTACAGGCACCCGTCCTTTCAGGCACTCTCGCACCTCCGCTACTATTCTCCGATTCTCGGCGTGCGCGCGCCGAGAAACTGTCTATCTTCAGTAGAGTGTGAGTGAATACAAGCGTACGTGCTTAGTGTGTGACAACTTCTCCATCTCCCTCGATGACGACCCAAACCGTCATGCTGTCTCTTTCTTTCCAATTCCCTCAAAGCAAAACCTGCTTTTTTGGGAAAATGCTCTAGAATCATCGCTAAGATGTTATTTATTCGAGATATTTCACCTAAATATCTTGTTCCTTGGCCACTTTTGACCATTTAAAAAAACGCAGCAGGAAATAAGTCCAACCGAATCGAAATCGACCTGCTGGGTCTCTCTTTTGGACATTTAAAAAGCTCTGAACGTGAATAATGATAACGATGACTCAGATGAATTTTCCACTTTTTAGAATGTTACAAATTTTGCAATTTACAATGAAAATAATTTCTCCACCGAAAAGCCATCGTCGTCGAAAATCCAATTCAATGGGACTCGTGTTAGGTCGGGGCAGATTTTACAGTTTTAGTTTCCCCTGGCCGATAATCCTGGGTCGGAAGCAGGAGAAGTTGCTTTCAATTTTTGTATCGAATGATTTTGTATGGGATATTTTCTAGACAATTTCCGTCGAATATGTATTCAAGTGAACTGATAGCGGAAATAAAAGTTTAAAATGTACGTGCATTTGTCGGTAAGAGTTTCGATATTTTAGGGGAAATTTTCACGAATTTTCCCCACGAGACAAGGAACGTGTTTGCTTTTCGCAAAACTGTGCGATTCGGGCGGCATTTCCAAAGGAAAATTTGCCTGTTTTTATAAATTTCGAGTGGATTTTGAGGAAATAGTACGCCCATCGATGCTTGTGTGCGTGCGTGGATTTGTTGATTGTGTTGGGGTCATTTATACGTGTTGCGTTCACGAGCTCTTAAAGCATATAACCTCATTTTTCAACGAATTCTACTGTAGATTATAATATGCTCATAACTGTTTTTCGAATCAACATTTTTATTGTATCCGTCTTTAATAATATGTCGAAAAGAAAAAGAATTATTTTTAATTTGTAAAAATTTTCATCGGGATGATTTTTAAGTTTGTCATCGCTCACAATATAGATATATAGGCATAGGAAGCAAAAAGTTTTTTGTGTTCAGTCATTTTTTTTATCGTTCTTTTATCGGTGGATAAAATTCCCCTAAAAAATACGGTCAATTCTTTTTCAGGTTGTAGTTAAGTACTTAGTATTTACAAAGATGAGAAATAATACTGTATTTCTATATAAGTCGAATTAGGTAATATATTTATTAAATTTCATTTTCAATTGTAAAATATTCTTTTTCATTAAAAAATCATTGAAGTAAATAAAAATTTCTGCAAATATATAATAGATTTTAAATCTTTTTTCCTCTGATACTTGTTGTAATTGTTTGAAAATTGGTGTTCAATATTGCAGGCGATTAGCATTGAAACATGTATAAAAGAAAAGATTACTTTTCGTAAACATACAAAGTTTATGATTGTGGAATTTCTCATTTTCTATTTTTCTTAACGAATTGTAAAGCTTTTGAAAATTCTCTAAAGCATTTTAATGACCACTGTCTTAGAAAATCTCACATTATAAGAAATCAATTAAATAATAATTTACAATTCTCAATCAACTTTTAATGACAGTAAATGGAGAGAATTTAATTGATTTTCCTTCAGCAATGTGACAAGTTTAAACATTCTTTATCTGCACATGTGAATATTTTTTTTTATCAAATTTTCGTTTAATGTTCAGGTCGTCAACATGGCACTTGTTGTGGAGGTCATCACAAGTCTGGAGACAATTTCAATCACCAAAGAAGTGCTTGAGGTATTTGACAATTTTTCCTTTTTTTCAAGACGTAATTTTTTAAATAGAGCATAAATTTTTACTTTTACTCTAATAGGGTGTTCACTGTGCAAAAAAGCGAGAATTGTAAGAGAATTATTTTTTTCCTAAAATGGTCGTAATAATGAAACAGACAAGGTTTTTGATGTTGATTTAAAATAATTTTATATTTTGTTATTTAAATTTAAAGAATATAATACAAATATTATATTAATACTGATTCAATATGATTTAAATAACAGATTTCGCACTCATCTACTAAAACCAACTATTTACTACTTCTTTACGTTATAAAAAAATACTAGAAATCAAAAAACTGTTTTCAAAAATTATAATCAAATTCTTTAAAACGATTCAATTGTTTTCAAAAAATATTCTAAATTCAATTATTTTCGTTCAGTATCTAGTATTTTTATGAAACTTCGCCAAAAGAATCCCATTATTTAAAAAAAAATTAATTAAATTCATCCAAAATTCAATTATTTTCAAAAATAATCCTAAAATTTCCACAGGAATTCAATTCATTTAGAATAGCAATTTAAAAAAATTTCGAAAAAATCAATTATTTAACAAAATTTTTATACAATTCTTCACAATAATTCAATTACTTTCACTGATAATAACTTTTTTTCATGGAAATTCAATTTTTAAAAAAAATTTTTGATAAAATTCTAAGCAGGAATTCAATTTTTTACATAAATAATAAAACTCATCGAAGAATTCAATTATTTTTACAAATAAAGTTTTTCACGAGAATTCAATTATTTAAAATAAAATTTTCATAATATTTATTATATTTTAAAAATAAAAAATTAATTATTTGAAACAATGTTTATAAAATTCTTATGAAGAATTCAATTATTTTCAAAAATAACAAAATTTTTCACAGAAATTTAATTTTTTTTAAACATTTTAATACCATTTTTAGCAATAATTCAATTATTTTCATAAATAATAAAATTCATCGCAGCAATTCAATTATTTTTTATATAATTTTACAGGAATTGCTCAAAAAATGTAATTATTCTTAGAAATTTGATTTGAATTCCTGGAAAAATCAATTATTTAAAAAAAAAGTTTTTTTAAAATTCTTCGGAAGAATTCAATTATTTACAAAAATATTAGAATTTTGCACAGGAATTGAATTATTTTTAAATATTTTAATAAAATTGTTCGAAAGAAATCAATTATTTTAAATAAATTTTTTTGAAATAATTCAATTATTTTTTTAGATTTCAATAAAAATTCTTCTCAAGAATTCAATTATGTCGATAAATAACTAAATTATTAACGAAAATTCAATTATTTTGAGGCATTTTAATAAAATTCTTTGCAAAATTCAATTGGTTTTATAAATAATAAAATGCTTTTTAGGAATTCATTTATTTTCAAAAAAAATTAAATGAAATGCCACACAGACATTCAATTATTCTCAAAAATTTTAATAAAATTTTTTGTAAAATTTAATTATTTTTAAAAACTTTTCGCAATTCAATCTTTTTTCGAATTCAAATTTCTCAGGAATTGAATTATTAAAATTAGAATTTGCATAAAATTAGTCAAAATAAATGAAATATTTAAAGAAATTTATAAAATTCTTGGCAAGAATTAAATTATTTTTATAAATATTTAAATTCTTTCATGAATAATAAAATTCGTTGCAGGAATTCAATTTATTATTAGGATAAAAAAGAAGTAAATATTTTTAATGAAAATTAGGAAAAAGTGAGGAAAATAAAATATAGAATAGAATTATTTTTGTCAGTTTTGTAAAGTGTCTGAAACGATCATTTTTGTTCGTCAAGTTTAATTTTTCGATAGCTACTTTTTTTAGTTTGAAAGATACTTTTTTCTACTTTTTTAAAATTAATTATCGAGCGCGAAGTCTAAAATAAGAATGATCATAAAAAAATTAACTTTTTAAAATTATATTCCTTTTTCTTAATATTATCTTTTAGATAATATTATACAGGAACTCATATTTTATGTACGGGAATATTGTAAAAAATAAATTCAGGAAATGTACGGGAATTATATTTCATATCTTCAGCGGACACCCTGTCTAAAAGTTCCTAAATAATTAATTTAAAAAGAAAATGAAAATTGACAAGATTTTAAAACGTTTTTTTCTGCAATTATTCAAATTCACAGGAATAGAAATAAAATATTTAAAAGCTAACAATTAATAATATATATATAAAATAAACTATATGGATTTTCATCAAACAAAATAAGACCACACTAAAATATTTAAAAGTTTACTGATAGTTTTAACGAGTAATTTACCTTGTGGTTAGAGAGAGTGAAGTAGTCTAAATAAGTTAATTTAATTTTGCAAAAATGAGACTGGAGTGTAAAAATTGTAAAATTTCTAGGCAACGAGGATTGGACTTTTCATCAATAAACTTCGACGGAAAACAGGAAATGTTGAGCTGGCGAAGAGAGCGAAGAATTTGGTTCGACGATGGAGGTCATTTTGTGTGACGAACGAACCCACGCCTGCAGATCCTGCACCTCCAGCACTTAACGGAGCGAGACCTCACAGTCCGGCTTTAAGGGGCCTGCAGCCTCAAAGTCCCCTGTCGAGGACGTCTCATTCTCTGAGGGTGAGTGCCCTAAAACAGGAAAAGTCTCTAATCGCGCATGTCGTAAGATTAGATTGCAGGGTTACCTTAATATTTCAATTCGGCAATTCCACTGCAATTACTTGAAGATTTGCAAAAAGAGAGCAGTCCCCTCATTAAGCAATAATAGCAATTTAAATACCTAAAATACGACCCGCCATAAATTTCATTTGGTTTCGACTTTTCCCCAAAAACTACCTGTTGAATTACGTACGGGGGTCGCACAGCCGTTGGGGAACCGGCGAAAAGAGGCATCCTCCCCCTTGTCCTGCAGTGAAGGCGGTCGACTTATCTCTAACGGCAATCGGACTGAAGCCCATGGCTGGCGGCAGGGAGGCGGCGCTTCCTTGGAGATCCGGGACTTGGGCTGAGCTGTGAACAGAAGAGCAGATGGCCACGAATGGCAAAATTCGTTGGTTCCGCGCTGCTTTTAAACCCGAGTCCCTACCACGGCTGCGTCCCCACCCGTCGCAATCGGTTGCGTAGCGCTTTTGCTGACGTCGACCAGAGAGCGTTCGGAAATTGTCGGAAACGTTTGGAAATACTCACACAACCAGACAATGTGCAATGTGTATTCGTGGAGGCATTTGTCCCTTTACAAAATATGTTCGGTACACAAATTTCTCTCATCCCCTATTATCATATCTATAGTTATTTTCTTCCTTTTAAAAATTCTTCTCATATTTTAAAGCCCACCTTTAACAGCTTCTATTTTCTAGTCTTTCAGTATATTTAATGTTAACTTCACATTGAATTTCAAGCCTTGGATATTGTGGCTTTTTCGACTTTTCTCAACTATTTTTAAAAAATACAACTTTTTTCGACTTATTTCCAAAAATATGTCTTTCGACTTTTCTTCCAAATATTGCAACAAAATAACAAATTTTTTTTAGTGTAAAATGCAACTTATTTCGATTTTTATATTTTGAAAAATAACTATAGACATATCTTTCCAAAATTATTTTGGAATAATTTTTCTAATTCAATTTTCGAAAAATACAATAAAAAAGAATTTGTATAATTGAAATTGTGTAAAATTAAATTGAGAATAATTGATTTTTTCAAGTATTTTGTACAGGGTGGCCACATGTCAGTAAAGTCAGGGAAATGTCAGTGAAACAACATTTTTGTCAGTAAAGTCAGGTAAATGTCATGACAAAAATTTTTGTCAGGGAAATTAAGAAATTTATTTTAATTTTTATAATGCGAAAAATAACTATAAACAAATCTTTCAAAAATTGTTTGTGAATCATTTTTAATATAATTAAATTTTTCAAATATTTATATAAAAAAACAATTTTGAGGAGTTGGATTGTTGTAAAATTTAATTGCAAATATTTAATTTATTTCAAGTATTTATTTACAATTATTTTAGAAAATGAATTTTTGAAGAATTTTAATTGCAAAATTTGAAAATAATAGAAATATAAAAAATTTTGATGAAAAATCTTTAAAGGTAAACTTAAAAATGAAAATTAATGAAAATTAGCTTCTAATTTTTTAAAATTCAATATTTTCAGTATTTTCAATTACATATTTCCAAAAATTCAAATACATATAAAAATAATAACATTTTAGAATTCTTTTTAACATTTTGAAGAAAACAATCAAATTCAAAAATTTGTAATTAAAATTAAAAAAAAATTAATTAGTTTTTTAAATTTTACAAAATTTTCTTTAAGACATTCAATTGTTTTCGAAAAATTACATTAAAATACTTTTTAAAAACTAATTAATAATTTTTTAAGATTCAATTATCTACGAACAATGTAAATAAAAATTTATGAAAATTTACTTTTCGAACTTTTATTAAAATTTTTGAGACATATTTTCCTGTAAAAAAAATTTTGTTAGGGAAAGTAATTTTAATGTCAGTAAATTGTCAGGGAAATTGATAAACTGAAACTTGTGGCCACCCTGTTTATAACAATTTTTGAAAATCAACTTTTGGAGAATTTTAATTGCAAATTTGGAAAATAATTGAATTCTTAAAAATTTTAATAAGGAGAAATCTTCAAGTATAAATTTAAAAATGAAAACGAATGAAAATTAGGTTCTAAATATAATATTAAAATATATTTTGGAAAAAAGTAATTATTAGAATTTTTTTCATTCTCATTATTTAAAATTCAATTATTTACACTATTTTCAATTACGTATTTCCAAAAATTAAAATACATACAAGAAAAAACATTATAATTTTTTTGAATTACTTTTAACATTTTAGACAAAACAATCATGTTCAACATTTTTAATTAAAATTCTTTAAAACATTAGTTAGCTTTTTTTTAATAAGTTAAAATTTTTTTAAGAAATTACATTATTTTCAAAAAACATTCAAAAAAACTCATTTTTAGAATTTTGTTTTATCAGATTTTTTAAGTTTTAATTATTTTCGAACAAAGTAAATTACCTTTTTTAACTTTTTTAAATTTATTAAAATTTTGGAGAAATCATGTTCATATTTATATTTCAAATTCTTTAAAAATTTGTTTATTTTTTTATATTTTTCAAAGAAAGAATTATAATTTTTTGAAAATATTATATCTTAATAATTTAAAAAAAACAGATATATCTAATTGCAGTTAAAATTATAATAAAAAATACGAAATAAAATTTTTGTGATAACACTGAATTAAATAAACGACTTTTTGGACTTTTTTGTATTTTTAATTGACTAAATCAACTGTTTTTGCGCCTTAAAGTCGATTCGAGGTTAGAAATTTTTTATTTAAAATTACTTAAAATGTATAAGTAAAATTGTTTCTCTATAGAAAATTAACAAGGATTAAAGGACCTATTCCTTTAATTTTCATCTACTTTGTACATTTTTCAAATATTGTTATTTTCTTTCATTATATTTAATTTTTTTAGTTTATAAAAATTTTTAAGGAGAGCAACCAGGAAAGTTCAACCCCTTTCGATATTTAACTGTTTAAGGTGTGGTAATTTTTTTTCTGACGTAGGATCTAAATTTACTTTTTATTATTAAATTTTAAAAATAATTTTTGACCATTTTCGAAATTTTATTTTTTGAAAAAATTGAAATTTTTAAAATATATACGACAAATTATTCAGAATTATTATAGGAAAGGTGTATATAAAAGTTAACAGTGAAGAATAATCAAAATTATCAGAAGTTGAAATTTTTATTTGTCGAAAATTTAGAGTTTTATTTTAAAAAATATAAAATGTTAATTAATTTTAATTTTTTAAAACATTCATTTATTAAAACCTTAGTTGACTTTGAATTTAATTCATCAAAATTTTTAATGTTTTAAATAAATTCCACTTTATCTTATTTTTAATTGAGCTCAAATTCAGTTGAACTTTTTTTCTAAATTATACAATTGATGCAAAAATATTTAGAAGAAATGTCTCGAAAGTGGATATATCAGTTTTTGTAAATTTACTATGTTTCGTTGAAGAAAAATCAAGAAACTAAATTAAAAATTTTCAAAGTTTATAATTTTTCCTTAAACGTGAAGCAATATAAAATATAAATACGTACTACGTATTTTAAAGAATATAAATTTCAATTAATCAATATTTTATTTATTTATAATTTTTATTGATAAAGAATTGTCTGTCCTATCAATAGATTTCAATTTCAAAACTTTTAATCTTCAATTATATGAAAAAAATGAAATTAATAAAAATGTGAATAAATAATAATTACTTATTTTGGAAATAATTATTTTAGCTAAAATTGTAAACTCTTAAATTTTGAAATTAAATTTTTGCTTCTAATGATCTTTTTTTTTTAATAATTAAACACCTCTTGAATTTTTATTTTATTATTTTTTTTTTATTTTTATTTTTATTTTTTTATAATGATCAGGTAAAAAGAAGAAATTTTGTCTGAAAATTAAGAAATAGATAGGAAAAAACGAAATCAAATTTTTGAAGCAACCTTGTAATACTTTCTTAATCGAAAAATTTATATTATTATGTGTATTTATTTTAAAATGAATGTCTGATTGAGATAATAATTTTCTTAATTAAAAATTTAACACTATTAAAAAATATCAAAATTTTAAACAAGATAAGGTTTCAATAAAAGTAGTTAAATTATTTTTAAAAAATACTTTTGTAAAAAATATTTTAGAAAAATAATTTTTACATTTTCCACGAAATGTGATCCAGGAAAACTGAGAAATAGAGTCAGAAAAATCTCTTTTCCCCTTTTATATCCCCTTAAATTATTAAAATCCCCTAAAACATCTAAAATCATAAATTTTCTCCTCTTTTCTTTCCCCTTATTTTTAAGAAAATCTTGTAAAAACTGACATTTTTTGTAAGTTGGAAAAATTTTTAGTCATACTTGAAGAAAAAATTTTTACTTTTCGTAAACTTTGGAAAATTTTTTTGTATTTTGAAACTTATAAATCTTTTTATATTATTTCTTAGTCTTTAAACGTAGAAATTTTTTCATAAAAAGTAACAAAATAACTTTTACTTCTGAGAAAAATCCAAATTGTTTGGAATTTTCGACAAATTGTATTAATTTCAGAATAAATTTTACTAAATTCAAAGTCAGGGTGGCCATATGTCAGTAAAGTCAGTTAAGTCAGGGAAATGTCAGGAAAAATTTTTTTGTCAGGGCAATTAAAGAAATTAAGACGGTCATGTAATATTTTTTTTGCTCTAAACAAAAAAATTTTTGTCAGGGAAATTCGTTGTTATGTCAGTAAAATGTCAGGGAAATTGATAAAGTCAATCTTATAAAAAAAAAATTGTCTTTGAAAATAGAAAAAGTTATTTTGGAAATAACCATTTTTAATATTAAATTTTTCCATTTTTGAAGGAAATTTTTCCAAGACCCAAATTAATTAATTAATTTTACTAATTTTATTCTGAAATTTAGTTTGTATTTATCTAAAAATTTATTTAATTTTACAACAAAAGTAGGTAGCGTTGTAATAAATTTTTTTATTAAAAATTTAACGAAAGTTACGGACCACGAAAAAGGATAAAAAAAA